AAGATTGGAATCCGGCACCTTTCACGATGTAGTTCATGTATTCGATCATGTGACCAACATGGTAAAGGGCAACGTACTCAGCATAGCACGTAGATGTTGCAACTAAAGGTTGACGCTTCAGTTGCCAGGCAATTGGTGAATTACCCTTAAGGTTGATAAGATAACCTCCAATACTCTTACCCTTGGATGGATAGCAATTGTACGATGCATCCGCATAAGCTTCAAGTTGAAGGGGTGCTCCCCAACGGTAAGTGAGTGAAAAATTCTTCAGTCCCTTGAGATACTGCAAAACTCGCTTAGATGCCTCAAGGTGGGCTTGGGTTGGGTTGTGATTGTGGCGACTCAACACACCGGTAGCAAATGCTAGGTCATATCTCACTGAATTGGTAGCATACTGGATTTTGCCCATCCTTGACTGGTATTGCACGATGCCAGTCTCATCAAGTAACGGAGAATCAATTCCTTCAAGTTGGAACCCAGGAGACATTGGAACTTTCAGTGGGTTTGCATCGTCAAGACCTTCTTCTGATACGATTCTATCAATGTAGTCCTCATGACTAATGTGAATACCTTCTTCATCAACCTTGAAATTCATCAGTAAGAACTTTCTCACAGGTCCAAGATCTTTCATTTCATAGACAGTCATCAATCGTTTCTTGAAGTAATTCAACGTGTCCATATCTTCACAGCAGATAAGAATGTCATCGACATAGAGTCCTAACTCAACACGGTGTCCATTGTAGGTAGTATGAAACAAACCATCTTCGGCATTGTTCTGTTTGAAACCCAAGTTCGTCAATGTTGCAATGACCTCAAGATTCCACATGAGAGGAGCCTGTCTAAGACCGTACAAGCTCTTTTGAAGAAGGAAGATTCTGGTTTTGTAAGGGAAACCGAGTTCTTCAAGCATTTCATCAGTGATGGCGTCGGGGAGTCTGATGTAAATTTCCCTGTCAATGTCAGCATTGAGGAAGGCTGTAGATACGTCCATGTGGTGAACATGCATATTTTGAGACGCCGCCATCGCAGTAAGAAATCTCACTGACATATACAGTATGACACTACTGTATGTTTCATCGAAATCAACACCNGCAGTAAGAAATCTCACTGACATATACAGTATGACACTACTGTATGTTTCATCGAAATCAACACCCATTTTCTGAAGATTACCGAGTGCAACTAACCGGGCTTTGAATTTCTCGATCTCTTTCTTACCGAGTAACATGGTGGTCGGAAGTACCTTCTTTCCTTTCGGCACTTCATAAACTGGTTTGATAGCATTCAACTTAATGAGTGACCCAAGCTCGCCTCCGTCCATCCCTATGGCAGCTTTCCATTGCTCTTTTTGAGGACCGTTCCAGGCTTGTGCAATGGTTGGATGTTTTGGGTCATGCTTCTTTGGATCTGTGGGACTCCACGGTTTCGGCTGTTTTGTCCCCTTTGACTTGTCACCCTCTCCCCTGGGCAGAGCAGGCTTAACCAAATTGACTGAATCCTCGTAGTCAGGGTCAGCACGCTTAGAATCACTATCCAGTGACAGTGGAGAGTCCACAGAGACAACTTCAATCGGCTTCGTCAGAATGTGTACCACGTCAGAGTCCGACCCATCAGAGTCACCGTCACGAGGGCGTTTGACATCACTTGTGGGACGAGGGGGACTCGGAGTTATCTCATTGCGGGTTCGTTTGCCTAGAACACTGTCTGAGGGTCGTAAAGGGGCCGGGGTGAGTGGTTGTTGGGAAGCGGACAGTGTGGCAGACTGTGACGTGTCAGGTGCGACTTGAGTGGTCGTGTCAGTACCAAGAGGGTTCTGAGGCAGCAGACGCGACAGCGACGCCGAGCCCAGAGAATGAGTCAGTGCTGGAGTAGGGTGCACTTCAGCAGGCCCATCAGAGGCAGACACTTCGGATGTTCGGGAGATAGTAGGCTCCCCTGCTTCTGACTTCCCTGTTTCTGACTCCCCTACTTCTGGCTCTCCTGCTTCTGACTCCCCTGCTTCTGACTTCCCTGCGGCGGAAAACCACTCAGCAGCAGATTCCGAAGTGGCGTCAGGTTGGACGTACTCGTCATCCGTCAACTCCCGAAGATCATAGCGAACATCAGCAAGAGAAACTTCAGTGGCAGACTCGGAAGAACCGGCTTGGTAATCAGGGTCAAGTGCAATATCATCAACCAGTTCGTCATCACTTGGCTGAGTGGATGACGCAGAGACGGGCGACTCTGGAGGGACTCCCAAGGTTTGAAGAAGCACGGGATGTGTACCCGGTGATGGCTGCGAGGGAGCTCTGGATGACAGCAGTGATCCGGACGACGAGGACACCGTAATGACATCATGAGGGTGCGTCGACGAGTTGTGAGACCGCACATCAGATTCAGAATCCATGGAAGTATCATCCTGAAAATCTGGAGATGAAGGGGCCAGTGTGAGTGCAGTTGACTGGGAATCCTCGATCAGCGCTGATGCCAGAGTCCAGATTTGAATAGGCATGGGACTGATACCAATTTGAGGAGCACCCCGACGGGGTGAAGCAAACTTGACGTAATCAGGGTTCGTCTTGAGGGGGAAAGACCGTTCATAGACCTTGATAGTGGGTGTGACAACCACATTGCCATCGTGGCAAGTCCAAACAAAGTCAGCACGACGAGTCATATCAGGCCCAAGGTAAACACCCTCAGCACCATGCGCCGAGAGGCCCTTATAATTCGGATGTCCCTTAGGGACGTCGCCCACAGCCTGACATCCAAATGTCCACACCTTGGGGGGTGTCTCACCAGTACGAAAGCGTTCCCATGGAGATTTCGACTGGTTCTTGAGCTTAGTGAGATTGACGAGGAGAGTAGCCATTCGCCACGAATAGGGCCACATGTACGCTGGTACACCACTCATGTGTCTGAGAGCTGTCTCCTTTTCACGTATAGTTCGAATAGCACGTTCAGCAGCACCGTTTTGAAACAGCGCATGTGCAGACGTTGGTTGAAGCCTTATACCTTCAGTCTTGCAGTACTCTTGAAGTGTCTTGTTGTCGAATTCTTTGCCATTGTCGACACGCAAACGTCTGATGCGATATCCATATTGACGCTCAATGTACTTAATCTGTTGTATAAGCTCGTTGGCCGCCTGAGCTTTCTCCAGAAGTATGACTGAGGTATTGTGACCAGTGAAATCGTCATGAATCACCATTGCCCAGCGATAACCTTGGGGACTGTCTGCAGATTGATGGGCAAGGTCAACTGAGAGACGTTCACCCGGCGCCTTTGCCGGATGTTTGCCCTGCTTAGGTTTACGCAGTGTAATCTTAGCAACACCACACGTCACACAGTTTTGTGAGATTGCATCTGCAGGATGCCCCATCCGATTATGCAATGTTATGGGATCAGTTGACAGGGAGTTGTCTTCAACAGTTTGACCGACTAAGTTATTGACATCACACATGTCTTCCAAGTAGCACACAAATTTCTTGTTGATGAAGACCTTATTGTTCACAATCTTGAACGGAATCTTGTCCCTTACAAGTTGAAGTGGTGATATAAGGTTGAACTTTGCTGATGGACATGCACGAGCATCTTTGAGTGTAATGCCGAGATTCGTAACAAGGTCACCAACCTTAGTGACCTTGATTGGTGCACCAGTAAAACTCTGAAGTGTAACGTTGTGCAGTCTAACATTGGTAAGGAGGTGAGTGTCAGAAATCACATGCTTCCTAGTTCCAGTATCCACTGCAAATGGTTTTGAGGGAGACTTGCTTACAGAATGATAGGTTGACTTACGTTCACTTGGTACAGACAGAGTAGACTGGGATTCTTTGGCATCCTCTTTAGCAGCTGAGGCACCGCCGTTCTTTTTCTTCGATTTACCCTTGTTTTCCTGAACTTTGTTCACAGCTGCCTTCCGACGTTCAAACCATGCCACCATTCTGTCAACATCAATCTGAGTAGGAGAATGGTATTCAGTAAGACCTTCAATGTATGCCTTTTGCAAACTGAGTGGCTGGACAACAAAGAATCCATTAAAGGCGTGACGTTCTTCAGGGGAAAGTCTTTCAACTAGTTGACCAATTTCCAACGGATACAAGGCGAATCGGGCAGTAAAATCTTCATAATTCTCACGATGGGCAACATATTTCTTCATGAGACTGACAATGTCATTTCTCCCAAAGTCTTTGATAATCAATGCTGCAACCCCTTCAGCATTCAATGTGGGCATCTTATTCACAATATCAGGGACAGTAACGTAATGTCTAAAGACGTGCATTATAGCAGTGTTAAAGGCATTAATAAGTTCTTCGTGACCCTCCTCTGTTTCTTCAGCGTGTCGACCGAAGGAGTATGCGGTGTCTCCAAATAACACCAAAGTCCAGTCGTGGACTTTTGTACCATATTTCCCCGAAATATGTTGATAGATGCCTTTCTTCCAGCTTTCGAAGTTGGCAGCACCTTTTTTCAATTTCGAGTCTTCGCAGAGTATCGAAATTGGGCTCATAACCTGTAGTTGAACTTGTTTCACAAGAGCCACACGCTCTTGAGGCGAAAACGCAAGCTGATTATTCATATGTAGAATAGGCTTTGATCAAGTTGTTTTCTTAGTGGGCTAACTAGTCCTATTTATGATAATGTTAACAATGGCTCCTATTTCAGTGTAGCGCGTTTGTCGTACGTACATGTAGTTCACTTATTCAGAGACATTCTACAATGTCCTATTGTCTTGAATAAGTAAACATATACTGAAATAGGCTTCATTGTTCAACAGAGTAAACACAACAGACACTGAAGTAGGATTCACTGTTCAACAGATAAAAATAAACGGTTTGCACCATAAAATTTGTTGGCTTTTGAAGTATATATAGTGTGCTTTTGGATGAGTTGACGTCAAATATGACGAAGTTGAAGCGATACTGACAAAACGGATGTAAAAACAACTGCTAGAACCATGATTCCTGATTTATAACAAATAATGGTACTCGAAGTATTGCTGATATTTTCTTCGATGGGTTGGGTTGACATGAAAAATGGAGATGTTTCAGCAATATCACTACCTTCCCATTATATGCAGGAGTTTTCACATATGCAGTGCTCAACCATATCGTGTTGCTGACGATTATAAATTGATGATAAGTCGTTTGTGTTTCCACCGCCATAATTTTACCACACTTCGCTAATAATCTTGCAAGTTTCATACAGTTGAAAGGGACATTCAAGCACCCATCAAGCTTTCTTGTCGATTCTCAAGATCATCCTGCATGTAGAGGCGGTATCTTCAACTCAGGCTGTCTCCATCTACAAAGCAGCCTAGATGAATACTAATATCGTGTCCATGATCAGCACAGTCTAAATATATGTGTAGTGTAATCAGAACATGTCTCTGTTTTTTTTTTTGTTTTTTTTTTGATTTTTCTTTTGAACAAAAAAAAGTTTTTTCAAAAAAAAAAAAAGGTTTGAAAAAAATTTGAAATAATTTTTGGAGCGCAATGCATTATGTGCAGAATATTATTGATTTTGTTTCAACAGGTCAAGAAGACATATCTCCTTACCATTTGATTTAGTAATCGTATTGAGTTCATATATCAAAGCAAAGTCATGTGTTTTCCCATGTCTCAAAGTACAATAACACGGCTGTTTTCCCAATTTTCACCACGTCCTGCATTTACGCAATGATACTGCATATAATGATAGGTGCATAAGTTGGAGGCCACAATAGAGTACACTACCACTGAAGGCAGTCGCCAATGCACAATGGACCCAGCATGAACGCACCAAACCGAATGAAGAAGTAATAACGGAACTGATGTTCCTCTTTTTTTCGGATTTTTGATTACGTGTCATGTGGTTTGTTCTTAGTAATTCCCAAGTTGAGTGAAATCGAAGCCGAAGCAGTCGAGCAGCACGTCTTGAACTCCATATACAGGATCGAGATAAATGTAGGACTCAACTAGCAGGGCTTTCTGTCTTGTGTGACGACGATCAAGTCAGAGCTAAGCGAGTATCATAATCTGTGGTCATGGTACTATGATCGAAGCAGTCTTTAAAAAGATATCGAGTCTACAACTTGTTCCTGGATTCACAATCAAACCCTGCGTATTCAATACTCATCTCCGCTGAATATTCATACGTTTTACAACTCCATTTAGTTGAATGTGAATATCACGACCGTAGCCTGCTTCAATCGAAAGTTGCGCGTAGTATCAAAAAAGTTTCCTTTTTTGCAATAAATACTTTCATACCTATTTATTTGATCTTGTTTTCATTTTCATTCTTCAAATCGTTACGATCGTCGAAGTCTTGGCGCTAAGCCAGCCTCAACGGCATTGGAGCAACTAATGATGATAATTCAACCCTTTGTGCCTGATTAGCTATGAATGGACGGAATTTGTTGCGCATTGTTAGGACAAGCTTGCTAGGTGGAGAAAGTTTCAAATGCCTTGAATCAGACCGGCAGTGGGTTTCTTTACATCGACCTCGACGAGAGTAGGACGTCATCCTAAGGATATGATGCAGACATCTAAAATGTTTCGGGGAGAGTGAGATGACTGCCTTTTTGGGGCATAGTAGTCTCGGTGCTGCTGAGAACCTGCCCGATGGTTCAAGATGTCTACGGGTGTTCGGTGAGACGCAGCCGTCGTGGGGGGCGTATCTTTGACCGGTTCATCGTCGCGCGCGGCGATACGTATCTCACACTTATTATCGGTATCAAATAATTATATATTCCAAATCGTTCGCTCAGCAGCAAGCGTACCTCTTTCAAAGTTTAGATTACTTAGGTCTATACAATAAGCGCAAAGTCGCTTTGTTGGGAGCCCTGGTCTGGAGGCTTGAGGAATAAGAACTAGCCCGAGCTTTGCATAATGAAGGGCTTTGATTAGTTATGGGGTAAACTCAATTCGCGATGAAATTTAAAGCATTTCCGTTTATGTTTATAGGATGTATTACTAATTCTCTAAGAAAGTACTTGGACATCTCTTTTGGGAGGTGCCGAGAAGTCCAAAATTTCAATGTAGGTTTCTTCTTGAGTCTCGTCACTGCTTACAGTGCTGATTCTTTGAACTGCGGCGACGCAACGATTTTGGTCAATACGAACTTGCCAAATGCCACCGTTGACACCACGTAAAAGATCTCGAGCAAACTTACCGGCTTTAACATCCCATAACTTAAGCATATGCAGCAGCCCACTTACCACGCGCAACCCATCATGTTGGAAACATGTAATCGCCAGGTTGTGACCTTCAAGTCGGGCCTTCATTTCGAATGTTTTCAGATTCCAAACAATTAGGGTAGAATCTGCCGCAGCCAGCACAAGGACTCCATCGACGAGATCAAGTAACCCCACAAGCTGTTGATGGCCTTCCAAGGTTTTGAGTAGACGTCCAGTCTCAATGTTCCACACGTTGATTGTGTTATCCATCAGTCCTGAGAAGCATATCTTCAGCTCAAAGTCAAGCGCTGTTGAGTAGACTCTTTCGGTATGGCCTGTGAGGACATGAACACATCTTCCGTTATCCATCAAGTCCCAGACTCTCACCGTCAGATCGTAAGAACCCAGAATGATAAGATTGCCCTTGCCCAGGACCAGTCTCACCAGTTTAGTGTGACCCATGAGCACCAGGATAAGGTATGGGTTATTGCTTTCGTGCAGGTCAAAAGTGGGGGTATCGTTATCCGGAACAGAGTTATCGCAGAGAGGTAACCGCCAAACATGGATGTTCATATCGCGTGAGCCAGTCACGAGAATGGGGAAGTGAGGGAATATAATATCCTCACCGCGGTCATCCTTGCCAATAACAGTCGGATGTATTATGTCAAGACACCGAATAGTCAGAGTGTGTCCTCGAAAAATGTGGGTGCATTTTCCAGTTTTGATATTCCACACACGTGCAGTGCGATCAGTTGAACCAGTTACTAAAGTGTCACCAGTGTATTTGAGAGCCCACACGCCACTTTCATGGCCTTCGAGAACCCTCAATAATCGACCAGTCTTGGTGCAGTAAATATTGATGATTTTGTCGTCGACACCAGTAATGATCTTTTCGTCGTCATGTTGTAAACAGGTGACCACTTTATTGCCGTGTCCTTTGACGCTTATCCGCCGAGGTTCATACGAGGGATCCATCCACCGGTTGAAGATGATACAACGCTTCTTGTATAGGATTTGGGCACTTGATATGTCACGCGGATCCTCAGACCATTGGCTTACCAAAAGGGGGTCATTAAGTTCAACGTCAACAGCGGCATAATTGGGAAAGAATTTATCCTTTATGAGCAAATCGATCCATATTTGCGGATTGTTGATAAGCTTATACCAACTTTTACAAACCTGTTGTAACAGTAGCAATGTTTTGTGGTCCACCAAACCCAAAATGTAGTGGGAGATTTCAGCGGGAAGGTTGCTGAGAATATCCCTTTTTAACAGTGACTGCATTAACAGTGCAAATGCACAAAGAGCCAGACGATGGGTATTTTGAAGTAATCGGAAGACCAAATGATTTTGATTATGAGGACTGAGATAAGTCAGCAACGTTGATATTTGATCAATAAGCTCGGCCTGAGTGGCGGGTAAATTGAACTGGTCAAGATACAGTCCCTCCAACACTGACAGCTTCGTTTCTGACTGTACCGGTGATGCGCTGGGCAGGGGCAAAGGAAGGGTGGGGACTATTTCCTCCATATCAGGGATGGGCGTCTGAGTGGGGGATTGCATGACTGAAGGTGTACGAGGGTCTTGGGAAGTCAGAATAGCGGTAGGAGTGGCAACTCCTTCCGCCACTAACCGCCGCTTGGGAGGGCGGGTCTCTGAGGATGTCAGCTCGCCCGGATCCAGCCCCACCATTTCAATATCGTCATCGGAACCGAGCACAACTCGGTCGCCGCCATGACGTCCTCGTTTACGGTCTCGCTCCCGCTCACGACCGTTTTCAAGCAGTAATCTCAGGTACTCCTTATGGAGTCCTTCCGTGAGACGGGAGTTGCCGTTATCCAACTTGTAGTCGAACCGCGCTACCGCGTCGCGAAGGGGGAACCGCGGAGGGAAGGTCATTTGCTTGTGTACCGTAACAAGAGTCTCTGGGGTTCGTAGACCAGAGTAGATGCTTTCGTGGACGTCTCCCCAACTAGTGTCAGCGATAGCACGTTCGCAAGCGCTGTAAACAAAAGAAAAACTTTGGTTGTGCGCATGCACCCCATGGCCCACCGAAGCGATTTCTAATGCGCGAGATTTCCCTGGTGAGGGGACGCCACCGCAAGCGAGTAACGTGATGCTACAAACGTGGTGACGAGGCGATTGACGCGTCCGGATGACGCGTCCCCGATCGAATCTATCTGACTAGTTGTTCTTATACGGTGGATTTTATCAACTGACGCGTCTACATGCTTCCTGGGCCCTGGAGTTGTTAGGGAGTGCGGTTTGGTGATTTTAGCGGTAAAACCGAGTCGTTAATTTGTGCCACTTTAGCCTCACTACTCAACCGAGTCGGGGCATTATGCAATATCACCTAAAAGTTGCTATTGTTGGCGATCTCGCGAAAGAGATATAAGCCCTGAGGCGGCTACTTGATCTAATCAACTCTATTCATATTATTGGTAAACTAATTACAGATTAGATGTTTTGGATTTGCACACCAGGTTCACCAGGGACGGTGCCCTCGATGATCTTGGGGGTAGCGGTGAACTCGACGGCTTCGCCGGTAACAACGTTGGTACCCTTCTTTTCACCGTTTTCGAACGAAATGATCTCAACCGAGTCAACGGTGAGCTTGTAGGGAGCGCGCTCAATGACGCTGATAGCTTGTTTAAGAGTGTCCAATTCGTCAAAAGTCAACTTACGGTTAAGCACAACTTCGGGCGATTCGGTGGCCAAACGACTCTTAAGGAGCGAGATGAAAGGCATGGCACGCTTCATGTCCTTGCCCACTCTTTCCTTGATCTTCTTGTTGTCGTCGATGGCGCCTTGCTCGTACAATTCCTTGACCAAGTCGACGTACGACGCTTGCCATTCGGGGAAGGTCAGCGATACGTAGACGGTGATCTTGACGGGCTTGGAGGCGTCAACATCAGCAGGCTTACCCTTCTTGGGCTTAAGCGCCACCACTTCGACTTCTCTGATCTTCCGCAGAACATCTCTCACGTAGTTCAAAGCGTCGGTCAATTCCTTGCTCACAGGCTTCGAGGCACGAGGGAAGTTGGTGTTGTGCACCGAAGTCTTGTTGCCCAACAAGTCACGGTGGAAGTATTCGGCAATGTGGGGAGCGACAGGAGCCAACATGAGTGCCAACGACAGGATGAACTTGACCACCAAGTCCTTGTGCATACCGATCAGCAGCGACACCGCGTCACGGTATTGGTCTCTAGCAGTGGAGAAGTCAAACAACCCATACTTGAGAGCCGCCTTGTAGTTGGTTTCGGAGTATTGAGTGTAAGTTTCCTCAATCAAAGCGTTCATTTCGTTTTCGAAAGTGACATCGAAGAAGTTTTCAATAGGGCCAGTACGGAGTTCATCGACCTTAGCCATCACTTCTTCACACCATTCCTTCAAGGTGGTCAATCTCAAAATAGCAGCGTTGGCGTTCGATTCGTCGAAGTTAGCATCTTCAACGGTGTCACCAGCATCAGCAAGAGCAATTCTCAGGGCGTCAGCACCGAACTTGTCAACAATTTCCTGCAAAGTCATGAAGTTACCAGTGGACTTGGACATCTTGGCGTTGTTCAACATCAAGTGACCGTTGGCACGGATACCTTGGGGCCAGAACTTCTTGGGGAAGAGAGCCACGTGGGTGTAAATGAAGAAAGTCAAGTGGTTAGGGATCAAGTCCTTACCCGAAACTCTCATGTCAAGAGGGTAGAAGTATTCAAATTCACGACGCATGGCCACCAATTGTTCTTCAGGGATATCGGTCTTGATGTCAGAGTAAGCTCTTCTCGAGAAAATGTAGTCAAACACTTCGTCGGTCATTTGCTCAGCCTTGATATTGAACTTACCCGGAGTCTTCCCGTAGTAGTCCGAGTGCAAGAAGTTAGCGATGGTGTAGTAGGCCATGTAGATGGTCGAGTCGGACAACGATTCCACCAACAACGACTCGTCCCAGGGCAACTTGGTACCCAACCCGAATTGACGAGTGACAGCCCAGTTCTTCAACCAGTCCAACACACCTTCGAAACCGTGTCTGGTTTCCTTGCTGAAGGTTTGCATCGAAGCCAAGCATTCAAGAGCTTGCGACTTCCACGAGTCTTCACCGTAGTCGATGTACCATTGGTCTTCAAGCGAAACCACACATTCGTCACCCGATCTCGAGATGACTAAACCTTCGGGTTCGTTGTAAACGAAGGCGTCACCCGAGGCAATGAGGTCAGCCTTAACCTTAGGCTTGGCTTCTTCCACCTTGAGGCCCTTGTAGTCGCCGTAAATCATGGTACCGTTGTAAAAACCTTCCTTGTACGCCATCTCCTTAGCCTGAGCCAATTGCACCAGGTCCTTAGGCGATTGAATCTTAAGTTCCTTGATCAAGAATTCGGCACACTTGTCACCGTACTTGTCAGTGTGGATGAGAGGCTTGATCTCAGTCTTAACCCAGTCCTTTTCGATGCCGTAGTATTCAGGCTTGTTGGCAAGTTCTTGCGAGGTAATGAAGTCGTCAGGAGAGTCCAGAGGCACACAAGTGACGACACCCGTACCCTTGTTGGCCAACACAGTTTCCATAGGCAACACTCTCAAGTCAGAGTATTGCGACATGGGGGCGTCGATCTTCGAACCGATAAGAGTCTTACCGTTAATGGTCAACTCAGGCTTGTAAACACCTCTTTGGGGAGTGATACCTTGGAAGGACATGTTCTTGAAGGCACGTTCAGTGGTGATGTAGTATTCACCGTTACCGGCGTCAAACACACCGTAGTCGATCTTAGGCGAAACGAAGCAGCACGATTGACCGTACATGGTTTCAGGACGAAGAGTGGCGGCAACAAGGTACACCTTCTTGTCGTCAGTGGAAAAGCCGGCGTCCTTAAGCACGGCGGCAGCTTCAGAGGCGAATTCAGTCACCTTGATCTTGATACCAACGTATTCTTGAGGGTTGACACCTTCACCGGATTGACGGTCGTGGTCCAAACAAGCCTGGCCATCCTTTTCCGAGTAGATGGTGTATCTTTCACCGAACTTGATCTTACCACAGTCACGCAAACGGTTGATTTGCCATCTCACAAAAGCGTCGTAGTACAAGTTGGCATCGGTGGTGACGAACGAACGTCTCCAGTCAACTCTACCACCGAAGTTGGTAACGTGCTCTTCAACAAGGGGAGGGAAGTACTTGAGCCAGTAGTCGGGATCGGCGAACTTGGCGACTTCTTCACGCAGCAAACCCAATTGCAACATGATTTCGAATTGGAACTTACCACGGCCTTGCTTAGCCGCAGCCTTAGACTTCTTAGCCTTGAACTTAGTGGGGTCGACCTTGGCATCGGGTGCGGCTTTAACTTCCTTTTCCTCTTCTTCATCTTCAGCGGGGGCACCAGAGAAGTCGGGGCCGAACATTTCAATTTCCCGCTTGATCTTGTCGGCGGCGGCCTTGATGGGCATACCGGTGCAGTGGAAACCCAAGGGGAACAACGCCCGCTTACCGTTCATTCTTTCGAAACCAGTGGCGAACTCAACCTTGGAAAGAGTGAACGAGTGACCAGCGTGCAACACACCGTTCATGTAAGGGTAGGCCATGGTGGCAAAGTGCTTGGGGTGGTCTTTGCGGACTTCGTCGATATCATCTCTGGGGTCTTCCTCTACGGTGACGGCATCAACTTCAAACAACTTCTCATCCTTCCAGATTTTCTGGTACTTCTTCTCGATCTCGACCAACAAGTCTCTCCGGTCGGTCTTTTCGAGGACGATGGGAGCACTCATATTGAAACCTGGAGCTGCTTAGCGATCCTACTGAAAAGTTTTTAGGTAGCGCGCCTGGTGAGTCACGTGGACGGACCGTTACCGGGGGCTCGGTTATCGGTGGAAATGCGAAGGTTTCGATCTACGAGAATCGTGTTCCGTTTTGGTCATTGTGTTGTGATTATGTTATTGAAGGGGGTATTACCCCATGACTAATACTAAAACTGCATCAACGCTTCCGCTTTTGGAGCGATGGAGGAATCATGCTCTTTGGTTTCGTTTCAGCGGATCGTTTAACTGACTTAGTTAACAAGTCAATGTCGGCTTTAGATACCACCCTTGCCGTCTCACCCAGCTGCTGAATTTCTTCAAGAGCAGGGGCTAAAGTGAATTTTCCTGCTTCAGCAGGAGACTTGAATTCAACGAGAGCGGCGTGGTTAGCTGGAAATATTTCCACTTTGGAAATGTTGTAGCCCTTTTCCTCAAAATACGCCGCTATTTGGTCTATAGATAGACTTGAGTTGACACCAGTAATCCCAACAGTATTGGGTTCACGGAATTCACGATACAGGCGCCCAACACGAGTTACGTGGATATTGCGCCCGTGAAATTGCGTGTCGTCTTTACTGAGAGCATTAGTTGCTTGATCGGGGTCCTCAAATATGACAATCGCAATGCCGTCATTATGGTGATCTTTGCGGCGGTTTTTGTTGACTTGAGGTATTACCACGTCCTTAGATGAGAAGAACTCGCGTATTTGACTTTTGCTCACTTCATATGGCATATTCGACACCCGCACTTTGCAATCAGCGTAAGTGGTGTGCCGATGCTTCACGCTGGGATCAGAAATTGCTACTCCCAACTTGAATTCTCGATTATTCTCCGAGAGCATATATCCGTTGAATTTCGTTACAGCTTCGTTTGCCGAGTCAGCTGAAGTGTATTCAATGTAGCAAAAGCGGCGTTGCTTTTCATGCGTTTGATTGGGAAATCTAGCATCAACAATGTTGCCCACTTGACCGAAGAGGTCAACTATGGCTTGCTGGCTCATTCGAGGTGGATAATTGTAAACATAAACCACGCTGAGCTGGTGGCGCTCAACTGTCACCACTTCGTCATCAACAATCTTTTTGTCTTTGGTTAAAGCAGCTAAGACAGATCGTTCACCTGTAAGCTCAACAAACGCAGCGTTTTCGTTGATCACAATATTCCTAATGGTGCCACAATCTGCGAATAGCTTTTTAACCAGCTTTTCGTTGGTTATGGGACTAACCTTGACCATGTACCATTCCCGCAGACGCTTCATATCGGGATTCTCATAGTTCTTCTGCTTCTTTGTGGAAAACAGCTCTTTCTTTTCCTCTTCCTCATCATCTTCATCGTCTTCTTCTCTGTCCCGCTTTTTGCTGGGTCTATCCTCAATTGCACCCTTGACTTCTTCTCGATACAATGAAACCTTCTTCATTTGAGCATTGGCCTTGAGCACAGCGTTACGATAGTCCTGAGAGTTTCCTTGTAGTTGAACGTGCTCTAACCATGCTTCGATTATGCCCTCAGGCCAATCCATATCAACGATGTTAACAGCTTGCTCAAAGAAGGAATCAACGTGTGGCTGTCGGTATATGCGAAAACAATTTATAGCAAACATCCACACTGAATGCTGGTCAGGGAATTGCTTCACCATCGCCTCAAGAATTTGATAGGCCTTTTCAGACTCACCGATTTCGTATAGGATGGTGGTTGCAAGCTTTTCAACGGAGTGAAAGCCGTCATTGTTATGGTCAATTGCGTATTCAACGAAGCTGAATATGTCTTGAAGTAATGAGGAAAGCTCAGACTTGTCGCCACCATCGATTAGGTGTTTGCGATGCGACAAGATTGCTTGAGCAACTATTTTCCACTGATCATAATCCACTTGAGTCATGAGCCGCAGTGCCCGATCATAGGCGTAACTGAATGTTGTGTTTGAATCAGCAAACAGATCACAATTACGGATATATTCGGCGTAAGGAACTGGCAGATCAGGGAACAGTCGGATGAACCGTAAAAGTTCCAACTCCAAATTATCAGGCTTCAGGTAAAGAAGGTAAATGTAAGTGAGATACATCTTGAAGTCGTAACCCTGTTCAAGAATGTAACGTACAAACGGGACACGCAAATCATCCAACAGCGTACGATATCGATTGAGAGTTTCGAGGTATTCTTGCCATTTGGCAGGAAGATCAAACTCAAACTTTTCGTAGTAAGGCAACTGCTTCTTAGTTTTCGCATACACCTTGTTTGCTTTAGTCATCTCCGATTGATAATCATCTTTGAGATTGGTCAGCACCCATTTCGACAATTCCGAAAAGGACTCGTCAAGACCCTCATGAGGAGCTGATATCATGTCCCACAATATCTCCCGGTGATCCGGTTCGTCGGCCACAGATAAAATTTTCAACCAAAGCTTTCGGGCATTTTTGAAATCGGCCTTGGCCACGGGCACTGCCCGCCTCCAATCTTCGGTATAGTCAAGGTAGTCAACCCAATAGCGAACACTTGGATAATCTGCTATTACAGCTTCATATACGTTGCCAATCAATTCCGGTTTGTATGTTTTGGTATCAATTATCCAATCGTCAATCTCACGAGTTGTGGGAAGAAATATCATGTTATAAGTCGTTCGGGCAGCTTCAAGCTCGTCCCATAGCTGGGGCAATTGTGACTTTAGGCGTACAATGAGCTCGCGGTGAGATGCCCGATTGTAAGGATCCTGAGCAAGCTTTGCCTTGGTGGCATTGAGCTCCTCTTCAAGCATGGGGCATTTGCTGTGTGGTGGTCGCCGTTTATCGCGACTCAATCGTTTGCGGGCTACGAACCAGAGTAAGCCGTACACCTTTTGTGAAGTTATATGCTGAAAACCTAGGGACTTTCAAACTAGTCCATCAGTCGAGAAATCAGCATTATTGACTTGATTTGTTGTCGTGTCAGAATTTTGTTTTTGATCTCACTATAAGACGATTCGCATCGGTTGAGTTAACATATTTGCGATGGATGCAAAGGCATATTTGGAGCTGTTCGGGTGGAAGAATGGGGAAGCGCTACAGAAAGGGGGGATAAAGAAGCCTATTCTTGTCAAGCACAAGAAGGACACCAAAGGTTTGGGTGGTGACAAAAAGGATGCCGATACCTGGTGGGAACTGTTGTTCGATGGCACCCTCAAGAACCTTGATGTCACCAATACTCAAAGCGGCATCTCCATCAATACCAATAAGGAAAAGGTTGCCGATGATATGCGGAAAAAGACCCTGCCGTTATACCGTATGTTCGTCAAGGGTGAAGGTTTGAAGGGTACGGTTGGGGTTGTACACTTGACCAAGAGTAAGAAGATTGATCGCGATGACGTTGCCAAACAGATGGATCTGGTTTTCCATTTGACAGCAAACGAATCCAAATCAAATGGAAGCACCAGAGATCTGAAATCTCTGGAGAGACGAGATCACAAGGAAACCGCCGACTTGGTTGAGGAGAAAAAGGAGAAAAAGGAGAAGTTGAAGAAGAAGGACAAGAAGGACCAAACGGAAAAGAAGGAAAAGGAGAAGAAGGAGAAGAAGGATAACACCGAAAAGAAGGATAAGAAGGAGAAGAAGGAGAAGAAGGATAAGAAGGATAAGAAGGAGAAGAAGGAAAAGAAGGAAAGGAAGGAAAAGAAGAAGAAACCAAAGGACAAGGAAGACAAGAAGGAGAAGAAGAGTAAAGATCTGAAATCGAAAAAGCGGAAGTCCGAATCCGATGAGCGACCATCGAAAAAGTCTAAACTCCGTTCTTAGGTTTTCATCCCCTTCATCACTCCCTGCATTAGATAACAGTATTTATAGACACCCCTTATAGTAATACAAAGTAACGACGCGTCCCTGTATACAATTACATTGCATAGATCGCGGACGAGACACAGCCCATCCACACTGTTGATGGAACGTGTCAAGGCACGTCATGCCTTGGCAATATTGTTGATTTGGGGGCTCTTTTACCGACCTCTGTTGGTACTCGCAGCCCTTGTCGCCGTGGTCGCGGTGATTGAAGCTGTGGCTTTCACTAAAGTCACTCAAATCAATCTTCCTCATGCAAAGAAGTTGAAAATACATTATGATCTCCCCCAATCATTTAACTCGAGTCTGGTCAAACCTAATGAGGAGCTCGTGTTCCCTTCATATCCACTATTATCGCAGGAGGTTGAGGAGTTTATCAATTACGTCTTGAAGGAGTTTGTCTCAGGTTGGTACAGCATCATCAGCACTGACGACACGTTTGAGAGATGCGTGACTTCAGAGCTACACACCATCCTTCGCAACTTACATACCAGTCTAAGTGCAACCCAGTACTCCGACTTGATAATAACCAAGATAGTACCCGCCATCACCACGCATTTCAAGCGTGTCGTTGAAGCCGAAAGAGTGTCTCAAATGCTCAACACTAATATCACACAAGCTTTTGGGGAGATTCATCCTGGTGTTTCTACTGATTCTGTCGATGGTGAAAATCATAATGAAAAGTCATATTTGCGTGGCAGGGTCCAGCAACTCCTACCCAAGCTTCTCTCTGAACAAGAATCAAATCCTCTAGTTCGGACATTTGTTACTGAACTTTTGGCTTGCACCATTTTGACACCAGTGGTAAATGCCATGAGTGATAGTGACTTCTATAACATGACTATGTTGAACATCATTGGTAATAACTTGAAACACCAAGAGAGAGTAAATCAATTCAGGGCAGCATTGGAACATCATACTTTGCATCACGGCAATACACCTGGTGACCTACACAAAGGCTCGATGTTTGCAATCAGCGAGCACACTGACGCTAACTCATTTCAGCATATACTTGATATCGTCTCAAAGACCAGTTCGATTGAAGAGTTAGACTTAATCCTTCAACTGACGGAAGCTCAGCTTAAGCTTGCGCGAACTCAAAGTGTCGTGGCACGTCTTTGGCAATTACAGGAGGCAGTCAAGAAAAGACGAAAATGCATCAGCTCTCCAGAGTTCGCCGATGTTATGCTGAATCTAGCATACCTTGAAGCATTTCGTGCTTACCTTGTCAAAATAAATCATGATCGCTATCTTCAGATTTGGGAGTTCATCAGATTGCAGCATGAGAAAAATGACGAGTCTTCATCCGAAAGGGATGACGATAGCACCTCCGAAATTGATGTGCTTTATGAGCGGTTTCCAGAGTTGTCAACTGTGAATAGCACGGGGTCATCTCTTTATATTAAACGCTCAGAAGTAGAAGCCATCTTGCTTGAAGACTTTGAGCAATTTCGTGACACCGACGGCTACAGAAAAATGTTACTGGTTAACCCTGAAGTTGTGGAAGCGGTTGAGATTGCATTGACTCAGATTATGAATGTTGATGATGTTAACGATTCACTTGTTAATTATGATAAGTATGAAGGAGACGCAGCTGCTAGACTTACTGGGATATTTGAAGCGGAAAATAGTTCTGCTCAAGAGCAAGTTGATGGCCCTTTGTTGGCAGCACCTAGCAATCTCAAGTTGGCTCAAGAAATCTCAAATATCGGGTTACAAATTGGGAAGCTACAAGATCAGATAAGTGTGCTTGAGCCATTGCTCCGTAAAGCTCAACTTACCCAGCACACTAGTGAGATCAAGGTGTTGCAAAAAAGTAAGGCCAGTTTGGAGCGAGAGATCAATGCGTTGAAGTTGCAACGTCACCAGTACATCGTTCAAGAAAATGAAAACCTGTTGCATGGGAAAACTAATGTGTGCATTCCCTCATATGTTATTGAGAATGAAAAGGGTCGCGAGTACGTTATGTACATCATTGAGGTACAGAAGTTGAGCGGCGATCAAATCCTGGCAGGATGGATGGTTGCGAGGCGATTCAGTCAATTCTACAAATTGCATGAATACTTGAAAGCTCACTATCCCTCAGTGACATCAGTCAAATTTCCTAAGCGAATGGTAGCGACGCTCAAGCAAAAACAATTGGTAAATCAACGGAGAAGACAACTTGAGAGCTATCTTCGCGAAGTCATAGAAGATACTAATGTGTGTGCTGATCGGGTATTTCGTCTGTTTTTGTCAAACGAAACTTTTGAAATTTCGAAAAGTGAGGAATTCGTTTCTACGTGTGAGGTAGACTTGAACTCGATGACGTCGTCATATGTGAAACCGATAACCAATCTATTAACGACTGTGTTTGGGTTGAATGATGGCTGGCTGCGGGGGAAAGCAGTAGTAATAATTGTCCAGCAAGTCTTTGGTACTACTGTCGACAAATTAGTCAATCAGCAAATTGACTCGCGCTTACGTCAGCCTCAAACATCCGTCGATGTGGTGGCGGCTCTTAACCGAATTGTTTTTCCTGGTGGCAAATTTCGAAGTTCCCCCCCTATACGTCTGGTTTATGAGCGTGCCGAGACGCGCCAAGAATCGAGCGCAATTTTCAGAGCGTTCATCCATCAGACGTGCGATAGCATTTTCGGTAGCTCTAAAAGTGCCTACGCTGCCGACAAGCTTTTTACAATGATCCAACACCCAACACTCAACCGCCATCTCTTGTTCACTTTGCTTGATATTGTGTTTGGGGAAGTGTTCGGCATATAAGAGCACAAGCGATGATTCGCATGACGAAGGCTGTGGCTTGAATTTGTACTGCATACAATGATGTCATATTATCATCGACCCCAGTGGGATCGCAAACGATCGCAATCCAATGGCATTCAACGATAAGAACAAAAAGCCGGACGTTCCTGATGGATGGTTAGCCAAATGGGACGATAACTACAATCGATGGTTCTTCGTCAATTTGGAGACGAAAAAGTCGCAATGGGAAATGCCGGAAGATGACAAGGTCAAGCCGCCACCCTACGCTCCCTCTGATTCCAAGCCTAAGAAGGAATCGTCTCGTCCCCCAGTGTCCCCACCGACCCAATCCCATTCCCTGGCACCTAGTAATGCGGGTCAAACCGACCGTGGTTGGTTCAGTGGCAAGAAGCAACTGAGCAACTATCCCCCGCAAAACTCAGGTAACTACGGTGGTGGTGGTGGCTATGGTGCTCCTCAAGGTGGCTATGGAGGCCCTCAAGGTGGCTACCCTCATGGAGGCTACGGCGGTCCCCAAGGTTACCCTCCTCAAGGTTACCCTCCTCAGGGCTACCCTCCTCAAGGTTATTACCCTCCCCCACAACAGTACATGGCTCAACCGCAATACGTTCAAGCGGCACCTCGTCGTCAAGGAATGAGTCCCGGCACTGGTGCGTTGTTAGGTGCAGGTGGCGGTCTTCTTGGTGGTATGATGTTGATGCATGGTATGGACGAGATGAGAGAAGACGCCTACCAAGATGGCTACGACAACGGTTTCGCCAATGGTGACGATTATGGTGGTGGTGACTTTGGTGGTGGCGACTTTGGGGGAGACTTTTAGGGTGTTCTACGTGTGAGCAGCATACCAGTATTTAGGGTGCGATGACACTTCCACTAGCATTTTCTATAAATGAATACATGTTACATATGACGTAAGACTACTTCAATGTTTGGTTTTGCACTCTTTTTTTCCAATGAATGTGGTATTAATTAAATTATAGTTTACACCGTCTAGATGTCAAGATGATTATGTTACACGATCCGCTGCTTTGAGGGTTCGAATGGGTAGAACAATGACACTACCCCTAAAAGACCCATCAAACCGGCACAAACAAAGATAGGCACGTTTGTGTTGGGGTCACCATAGAACGCGATAATGGGGACAAAACAAGAAGCAAAACGAGTGATACCAATACAACAGGCATTACCCGTGGCTCTAGCCGAAGTCGGCAAAACCGAAGGCGAGTAGGCATAAAGCACGGAGTAGTAAATGAACACGGCTAAAAATGACACAGAAGAAAGAGCGACGTTTTGTGCATGAGTGGAGACAAAGGCATAACCGATGAGGAAGCCACATGACACAAGACCACCGAAACACATCACCCCACGAGACCCCAATATCGGAAGGAGCCACAACATAATCCCCGAAATCGCAGGACCAGCAGTAGAGACGGCATTGGAGATTACCAAATCAACATAATTCTGATGCAATGAACTCGACCCCGTTGCCGCTCCCTTAGCTTTAAGATACATCGGCAAGTAGGTCGTGTACAAGGGATAGGCAATACCCAACACCAACCACGAGAACAATAAGGTCGTAGTAGATCTGGCCACTCTACGGTTGGAGAACAAATGAGCGATGTGCTTTCTCACGATTCTAAGGGTACCCTTGATATCGGATGATCTGCGGAAGTCTTCATTGGAGATGATCTCACCACATGCTTCTAACTGTTCCACAGTTAATGAGCACGTACGGTTGTACTTGTTGGCAATTTTGTGAAGCACTTCCACTGCCTCTTCATCGCGCTTGTTTGCAACCAAAAACTTGGGGGTCTCTTCCAAATTCACTACCGTGACTCTAGCGAGAGCAAGGAAAAGCACAATCGACCCATTAGTGTAGAATAAGTATCTCCACCCATTATTGGCGGGGTCGGGGCATTCAGTTTCAGTACAAGACCAACGAGGAAGGAACCCAAGTGCGGTGGCAGATGCGATGGTGCCACCAACACCCCAGAAGACGGCGAAAAATGTGATGAGCCAGTTCTGTTTGTGGGGAAGAAATTCCATAAAACAAGTGGTGTCCAACACGAGGTTGCCCCCAAAACTGAATGCGATAAGGTAGATCATGATACCGTAAGAACTAAGGGTACCCATAGTACCGCAGTAGATTGTGAATACTGCTGCGAGAAACAAGGTCAAGTTAAACGCTAATCGCCGACCGATCAAGTCCGCCAGAAAACCCCAGAACATCGCCCCCAGAAGCATCCCCGCATAATTAAGCACATTAGGCACAGCAAAGGGTTTACCGAAGTCATAGTTGATCATCTCTCTGGTAAGAGATTCCAACAAGGTGAGTTGGGAATCGACAGCGTATCTAGACATGTGTTAGTATGATGTTGATGGTCTGATTTTATAGTAAATCACGTACCCCATGCCGTTAAGGCAGAATAACTTGAAATGATACCACGTAAAACCGATTTCGTCGAGGGCATCGTTGATGAGTTTCATTTTCCGCTGCATAATCACATCACTCTGGTCCAACTCTGCCATGTCGACCCCACCATATGTGAGTGACTCGTCATAGTTGTCTTGGTAAGGTTCTTTTTCAGCCAAAGACCCCACCTCCAGCCGGGAAGCTTTGGAAGATCTTGATTTTATGCTCATTTCCCGAAATGTGGAGACACCGAATTAGGAATTTCAGAGACTTAAGTACCCACAAATTATATGGTTACTCGACAAGCAAAGGTCCACATGCATGAAAGTCCCAATTGATGCATAGGCTCTTTCCCGCTTCTGTTGACGTCACTATTCTTGTCTCAGCCAAACATCTGCATGAGAAAGTCTAGGCAAAAGAACTTCCCACCCCTCAGTTGTTTTGGTGATAGGAATCATAGATGAATTATATGATCATTCGTGTATGGTACGGCCGCATCCTTCAATGTATGTCGAAAGTTAAAAATAAAAACGTCATCGAGCATGGACCAGGATGTATCATACCGGAGAAAAAAAACAGTCTCGTGCGTGTAGTTGAAGGTGTACATGGTGCCCCAACCCTAATACGACATGGCGTCGAATATGGTCATCGATGTTTGCCTTCAAACCATAATTCGCACTTTGTGACACCACGTCGGTGAACGCTCGGAGTTAAAGCAACAAAGAACAACCCGCACAGATGGAGAAGTCTTGGCATGTAATAGTAGTGTTCTACGAGCGCCGTTTACTACGTTAAAAATGTTCTGCTGATCATTGCACCATCCCCCATACGGAAACGCGAAGGTATTCCTTAGAGACTCGAGGCCTCGCATGGGATGCTGCACCCAAGATCAACTGATTCGATCTCCGGTCCACCTTTACAAACAGGCAACAATATTCTATTAGTCCTGGGTCAGAACGCCAAAGGGTTCAACCTCCAAAGAATGCTGTAGCGTCGCAAATGGCCGTGGTTTTTGCGTTAGTTAAAAAAAAGCGTTCCAGTGCGCTTTATAGGTTTTTTCTGCGATGAGGCCGGGTAACTCTTACGCGTCCCTGCACAAGAGATTATATACGGGTTGAACGAGTCACGAAAGGCACCAACGTTCAGTTTCCGAATTATTGTAAGTCCCTTAATAACGTTTACGGTTTCGCATAATAGCATTTCTATGTACAGTTTCTCGCCATCTAAAAAATCCACCACTTCTTTTTCTTGCTACCTTGTGACGAGTCATTTTTGTCGAATTCTTCCATTTCCTTTTGCAACTCCTTGGCATAATTTTTGTGCATCTCGATCTCCCTTAACATAGCTTCTTCCTGCTCCTGTTGGATTCTATTCGCTTCCAAGACGTGTCTTTCTGAAGGCCGATTCAACGCAAACTGACCTTCTTGGGTTTTTCGTAACTCTTCAGGAATGTAATCGGCATCCCTAACGTTTTTGATGGTGACATTAGAATCCTTGGGGTGGTGCAAGTCATTATACTCTTGATCGCTCAATCCGAACCATTTCTCTTTCAACTTGAGTCGAGCCCGATAAAAGTCACTCATGACGTTTTCCCGGCCATCGTTCCAACGGTGGAAGAATGCAAAGTATATGATCACCAGACCCGTAATAAAAGTACCGAAATAACGGGATCCAGTGTGTAGGCGTTGGTTCGTGTCCACTCGACGCAACACCTTATACTGACCAGGATACAATTCCGACGCCGGACGAGGGGTGTAGTTGAGACGTTTCATAGTCTCGTTAACCTTTCGGTATTGCGTAGGGTTCTTCGGTATCAGAGAGAAGCCCTGGGGGCTCTCACCGGGAGTCTTGAACTCAGAGGGATACCCTTCTGGAGGTCTCTCATCAGTAGGGTCATACGGGTTGTATGGAGCTTTGGGAGGAACCCATCCCTTAGGGTTGGGGCGTCTGGTGAGATCTTCACCCATTTATTACCTAAAAAGCCTCTGCGAGGGGTTGGATTTTCAGAGGTGCGACCCCCCACAGAAACTCGACACTGAGACATATTGAATGGGCTGGCTTGGTGAGTTCTTCAGCCTAGAGGCGTTGGACACTCGACTTCAAGCACCGGCCGATTATAAGAAAAAGGATGCAGTGGTGAAACAAAGTCTGCCTCCTCGATGGAACACACCCGAATTCAAATTCTACTTTGTGGCATTCTGCTTCGTGGTACCCATGATGTTGAAGGCGTGTATGGAGGCCAGCAATGAACACAACCCCAATTACCCTAAATATGCAAAGTACCTTTCACAGGGGTGGATATTCGGAAGAAAAGTCGATAACTCTGATACCCAGTACCTGTTTTTCCGGGATAACTTCTGGCTTCTCATGGCTCTCGTCTTTGGTCACTCTTTGTTAAGAAAGGGACTCAATTTGGCGGTTGGAGGAGCACAAACTACGATCACGCGTACTCAGTATGACTTTTGCTTCGGGTTAATTTATCTAGTGGGACTTCATGGAACTAGCATCTTCAAGATGTTCACCCACTATTTGATCAATTACGCAATTGCAAAGATTGCGGCTCCTCGTCTCGGTAAGAAACCAGCGGCTTTGCTCACTTGGGCTTATGGATTGTCGACGTTGTTTCTTAACGATAAGATACGTGATGGCCCAATTGGAATCTCCTGGATTGACAGCAGTTACATGGGCATAATCAAACGGTGGGACGTGTTTTTCAACTTTTCTGTATTGAGAATGATCTCCTTCAATATGGATTATATTGAAAAGCTCGATGAACCGGTGTCTGAAGAAGTCGTGGTTGAAGGTTTGGACGACCGCAAACGGTTGGTGGCACCTTTACCACTCTCAGATTACTCGTTTTTCCACTATATTGCATACTTGACATACGCACCTTTATTCCTTGCAGGCCCCGTCTTGACCTTCAATGACTACATTTATCAGCTGAGTTACTATCCCTTGCCATCGGTACGTGATTTCCGCCGCATTGCCATCTACTTTGTACGGTTCTTATTTTGCGTACTTTGTATGGAAATCATTTTACACTTTGCCTATGTGGTTGCGGTATCCAAGGCTAAAGCATGGGATGGCGACTCGCCATTCCAGATCTCTATGGTTGGTTTTTTCAACTTGATCTGTATTTGGCTCAAATTGTTGATTCCTTGGCGCTTGTTCCGCTTTTGGGCTTTATTCGATGGTATCGATCCGCCGGAAAACATGATCAGATGTATGTCAAACAATTTCAGTGCATTAGCATTTTGGCGTGCTTGGCATCGGTCGTTCAATCGATGGGTCATCAGATATATCTACGTCCCACTTGGAGGCGGCGGAAATAACCGTATTCTCAACTCCTTATTGGTGTTCTCCTTCGTCGCCATCTGGCACGATATTGAACTTAGATTATTGTTTTGGGGTTGGCTTGTGGTATTCTTTTTACTTCCGGAAATTGCCTGCACCCAATTTTTCAAACCGTATCGTGAAAAGTGGTGGTACCGCCATCTCGCTGCTCTCGGCTGCACGATCAACATATGGATGATGATGATTGCCAACTTATTTGGTTTTTGCTTAGACAAGGATGGTATGTTGAACTTATTGCGTGATTTATTCAAAACCGTCGATGGTTTCTCCTTCCTCGTCGGCTCTACCATTAGTCTTTGGATTGCCACTCAAGTCATGTTCGAAAGACGGCAAGGTGAACTTCGCAGAGGGGTCAACGTTCGTTGTTAGCAGGCTGACATGTAGTAATAAAAAACTTTATTTAATCGACACATTATTCACTTCAACTTGTAGAGGGTCTCTCTTTATACGGAGACGTGAGCGCGACTTTTCCCCATGTCGCCTCCAGTACCGGTGTACTCCAGAGCCGAGATTGAGAGACGGTATCAGGCACTCGACAATCCAGAGAAATACAACTGTCTGCTCAAAAGCATAACACAGCATGAGTGCACGTTCCGGTTCGTGGACGATCAACAAGAAGTCATTTGCTTGCCATTCAAACGTCTTTTTCAGCGGTGTCTCCTACCACACACAATAAAGACAAACGGAAAAGTCACCCAAGTCGATCGATGGACAAACATTGAAATCACCGATATCGAAACCAATCGTGATATTGTTACTGATCCGAAATACGCTAAAGATGTCGACGACTTCCAAGGGGCGGAAAAGGAGTTCAGAGACATGATGTGGAAAGAAGTGGAGGCATCAGGATAAAGCGTTTACTTCGAAGATACTAGACTCTATAATGCACTAATACATGGTCCCTTCTTGGGGTTGGGGTAGGCGCTTGTTAGCAGGAGAAGCCATCGCCATTCTTAATTCCAACAACACCGTCTCCATGGAATAGCTCCGCTTCCAGTTTTTCAACGTATCGAATTTGTCGGGAACGACGGTGCCGTCGTGATCAACGCAGGGCAAGTTAATTTTGGTCAAAAATCTGACTTTCGGGGGTGCATCAGGGTACAGCTCGTCACAAACAATAGTAAGCAGGTAGATGCGGTTTTCATAGGTCAGATGAGGCGGTCCGAGAATGGTGCCGTTCCAGTAGGTCATGGAAATGTCATCTTGGTTGACCAAACCGTAAGTGACAGATTCGGCGCCGAGGCCCTTTTCCCCCTTCTCCAACTCTTCAAGGAGCTTAAAATTTCTTGGGCTTTAATGTTAGTGTCAAGCGATATTTCATAATCAGAACATAGCACATTATACTTACATCTTTGACATCTGGCTGGGGTATATGGTCGTCAGATTTGTTACATGCGAGTGATTTATCCACCCTGACACGTGACTCAATACACCACAACCGCAAATACCACTTGTCTGGCAAAGACAGCAAAAATTGGTTGGCTTGTTTGAAGTGATCAACCTATATGGAAATACGCCGTTTACTTTTATCCCGTCAGATCACTTGTATTCAGATTGCTTGAGTATCGGTCATCATGGGTGCGACTACGGGCCGCTTAAGCAACAACCCCGCCATGCCTCCGCTAGATGCCTTGGCTCAGATGATTAAAGATGGGCGAAAGATCACCTTTTTCCAAGGTGCCGGGATCTCCACAGGAGCGGGTATCCCTGACTTCCGCTCTCCCAAAACGGGTCTTTATGCCAACTTGGCTCAATACAATTTACCTTATCCTGAAGCCGTTTTTGATATCGATTACTTCGAAGAGAACCCCCTGCCGTTTTACACATTAGCCCATGAATTGTACCCGGGCAATTTCAAGCCTACAAAGTTTCATTACTTCCAAAAGCTCTTGCAAGACCGCGGACAGATCAATCGAATTTACACCCAGAATATTGATACTCTCGAGCGCATCGCTGGGATAAAGGATGAATTGATCGTTGAAGCCCACGGTTCATTTGCCACGAATCATTGTATCAAATGCAGCAAGGAGATGGACAATGACACCATCAAAAAGCATATGCATAAAGAATTTAACGAGGATGGTATCCCTCGTTGCTCTTGTGGGGGACTAGTCAAACCTGATATCACCTTCTTTGGTGAGGGATTACCCTCTAAATTCTTTGATCTGTGGGAGGAGGATGCCGAAGACGTTGATTTAGCCATAGTCGTGGGGACCTCATTACAGGTATATCCATTCGCCAGCTTGCCCGAAGAAGTTGGAAAAGACGCGACGAGAATTCTTATTAACAACAACCGTGTCGGTAACTTTAAGAGAAAGCTGGATCTTGTGATCATTGATGACGTCGAGAAGGTGATTGAAGATTTAGTGGAGCGCTTAGGGTGGAACGGAGAGTTAAAAACCCTTTCACAGGGTGATGACAAGGAGGTTACTGAGCTTGCTGATGCTATCGCTAAGTTGGACGTTGATAACAAACCCATCGATGACGAAACCGCTGATTCCAAGAAGCTTGACGACGAGACTACTGTTGAAAAGAGTGCTGATGAAAAACATACTAATGAGAAGCAAGATGATAAGAAGACTGTTGATAATAAGGTACTGAACAAGACCAACAGCGAAAACGCTAGAGGAAAAGATGCTCCAATTGTTACCGACGGGGAAAATCTCAAAGATGATGTCGAAAGCGATAAAGTTAACGCCAAGGAAGTGGAAACACCCAATGATGAAACTCCAGAAAACACCGCAGATCTTGGGGCACCCACTGAAAAACCAGTTCATGATCCTAAAAAAGATTCCGATTCTTAGTCACTTATTGATGATAATGAATCGCTAAATGCATCTATCACATCGCTTAGGGCTGAATTACGCGAAAAGTTTCTCGATATACCCTTGGACTCCTTACTTATGCTTGTATAATCGATAAAAGAACCGCATGTTTTCAAGTTTCATCGGGTAGTTCAACTCTCCACGAACACGATACCAGCAAGATTCGCTTTGATCAACTACCTCCCATGCTCCATTGTCTTCGCCCTTCTTCCCAAGTAGAACCATGTCGATTAACATTTGCACAGGGAATTTCTTTGACCCGACCTCAATATGGGAGTAAGAACCTGCCAGCTCCGCCATCAAAAGCAAAGAACCAGGCTTACATTGTGCCAGGAGGCGACTCAAAAAGCCGATAGTCTCTTTCCGCTTTTCAGTAAACAATTCATTGGTAGTGAACAAAACGGTAATCAAGTCATAGTCTGAGAACGAAATTGACAGGCTTAAAATGTCGTTCTTCATGAATTTTGTGGTAAATTGGGAAGGATCATAGAACCACGAAGACATGTTGTTGTAAAGCGACGCCACAACATTCTTCCAGTTAGCAATATCAACTAAGTCAACAGAGAGTGCTGGACATTGGGGGTTAAGCTGTTTCTGTCTGGCATAGACAGCTCCAAGACCTACAAGTTCGCCGGCAGCACCACCACCAACACATAGAGCCTTACGCTGTCCGTCGTTACTCTTGAACAACTCTGTGATCTGTTCAAGGCTTCCAAACAAAGAGGCGTACGCAATTGCTCGGGAGGGAGTCCATCGCAGGGCGTAGGCGTATCGTTTTTCATCGTCGTCAAAAGCTACAAGGTAATCACGACGGTATAAATCGCCTTTGACCTCTTGAATTACATCTTGAAGATCTTCGCTCTCCAAAATGTCAGCAAGACACGTCTTGAACATTTCGATAACCTTCTCTGGTTCGATGCATTCTTCACTGGCGAAGGGGAGATGCTCGTTTGAAGAAGTTACGGAGGGCACTTCGGCTTCCTCTTCTTCTTCAATCTGCTGTCGTAATTCTTGACGCTCACGGTATTTTTGAGCTCGGCGGTTACTCATTGTCCTGGTTTAGTGTATATCATCAACCCTTGAATTCAGGTAAAGTCCGGGTTATCAAGTTATATGCAGGATCGCATCGCGTTGGTGAATATAAATTTGTAGGCATCGCACTTCTTTTCTTCATCATCAATCTGTGCTGCGGTTGCCCCTCAGATGACTATGGACTCGTGCTGTGGTTGACTGTAGGTGGAAGTCGTAGCAGTTCGGCGCTCGTGAAGTAAGTAAGTTATTGTGCCAGTTGCCTGACTACAATACTGCTTCAACTGTTTGTCCTGCTTCGGCGGTTGATCGATGGTTGGAGGAGATGTTAGGAAGAACAGTACGATTAAGTTCCTTCGGGGACCTTGTTACAGAGTAATCTCCGTCGACAGATTGTAAAATGAGTGGGCCGGCTGAGCTCTCGCCTTCGGGTGATGATGCACGCCATTCGTCCACGGCAACATATTCCTGAACTTGGCTTTGAGGTCTTTATAGGCTGATGAAGTTTGAGTAAAACCATGTTGCACACATCTATTCTTCAAAATACCCGTATCATTTTTGTAGCGCATTAACTCTCTACTTCCTCGTAGAATCCAGTCACAAAATCAGCGTCGTCGCCATTTTTATGTTTGTCTTTGTCTAATCCTCTGCTTTTTCGCGACGCCTGTTGACATCAGTCTGCACCGTACTCGCTTCCAACTAGATTACACGTGATCAACACGATTGTTCCGGTGATACCAAAGTGCTGCACCTGGACAACATGGACGGAGGTAGCCCCACAGAGACTTCTCTGTCCAACATCGAGTTGCTGCACGTGGCGTCAACTCGACGTCACTTCATGCAACTGAGGAAGACGGCCCTGGCTCTCCCGTCGCTACCGCTGCTATTACCCGCTGCAGACGAGGATGAAGTTGATTTGGCGTTTATGCTGCCCCGAGAGACGAGTTTCGTTGAGTTTGACATGAAACGTGTCGGTCTGGATGACGTGTTGTCCCAGAAGTTCATTCGTTCCCATTCGGACTTGTCTCTGACTCTACTGCCAACTACGGCTCCCTCACGTATACTGATGGCATCCCCTCAGGTCAAATCTCCGGCGGGCAATACTTTGAACCGAAATCAAACGGATCCTCTACCCGCTGAACCAGAACTAGACAAAGTTGAGTTGAAGGGAAATGACGACGACGATTTTTTTAATGACAAAAACTGGAAGGTGATGCTGACATTCACCGAGATGGACTACTATAACGAAAAAGGTGAGCTTGAATTCACCAAAGATGAATACGACTCTCTTGGTCATGCAGCTTATACCCAAGGTTACACCAAGATCGACACAGCCGAGCAAGTGGCGAAGTATGCTGAAATGGACCGCCAGACGGACTTTCTCTTCACAACCCATGCTCGTACTAAAGCTCCTGGCGACAAAAAGGAGTATGACAAGGAAGATATTGCATTGGAACGCACTGATGAACTTTCGGATCTGGATTTCGATAATGACGATATTGTTGATTCCATGCAAACTCTTGAACATACCAAGGATATGCTTACTGAAGCTCAAAGATTCGCATATGTTGGTATCATCAAGCTTATCACTGTCGATATGGCAACCGATCTTGCTAAACTCAAATTGCACACCTCTAACAAAATTGCCCGTCACTTAAGTATGGGGCAAAAGAATTTCAGCAATTGGACACTCTATGTCTTGGATAAGCTTTTCGAACATATGGCGTTGCTTAAGGAGGAAAATCAAATGATCGAAAACTTGAGCAAGCATGGTGTCGAATCAAATGATTTGACGGCATCATTATTAGATAAGTCGATCACTTATCACAACCCAAATTTCGACATAAGATGGGTGATCATTTGTGATCTTTTCCTCATCCTCGTCAGCGATGGGTACTACGACCTGCGACTGCGAACCCTATTGGTAAAATTTGCAAAGCTCATTGGCATTGGTTATATCGAGATTCATCAGTTTGAACGTCGTCTCATTGATGTGCTTGAACTTGAAAATAAGGACAAGAGTCTCGAAAACGATGATACGAAGTTAGACGATAATAAGTTCATTGATCGTCATATAAAGAAAAATCGCAAACGGCGACTTGCATATATTGGTCTTGCAACTTTGGGCGGGTCCTTAGCTATTGGTTTGTCCATGGGTTTGTTGGCCCCCGTTATTGGGGCTGGTTTGGCTGCAGGTTTCACCACGATCGGGATTACGGGTACCTCAAGTTTCCTCGCCGGTGTTGGTGGGAGTGCTATTATCACTACCACCGGTGTAGTCATTGGTGCTAAGGTTGGTAATAAGGCTGGTAAACGACGAGCCGGTGATGTACACACCTTTGAGTTTAAGCCTCTCCACAATAACAAGCGCACAAATTTGATTATCACAGTCTCTGGATGGATGAATGGTAAACTAGATGATGTGCGGTTGCCATTTTCTACTGTTGATCCAGTGATGGGTGATATCTTTTCGTTGCTTTGGGAACCCGACATGTTGCAACTGATGGGTCAAACAATAACAATTTTGGCTTCTGAAGCATTGACCTCGTCGATTCAACAGATTTTAGGGGCAACGATTTTATCCGCATTGATGCTGGCGATTCAATTACCTGTCTTGTTGTCGAAATTGACCTATCTTATCGATAACCCATGGAGTGTTTCGTTGGATCGAGCATGGAAAGCTGGCAAAATCTTGGCAGACACTTTAATCAGCGGGAATATGGGTGTTCGCCCCATTACTCTTGTTGGGTTTTCCCTCGGCGCTCGGCTCATCTATCTGTGCTTGATTGAGCTTGCGAAGCGGGACTGTTATGGCTTAGTTGAAAATGTCATATTGTTAGGTACCCCCGTTGCCATCAACAATGATCATTTAGCTTTAGCTCGGTCGGTGGTTTCTGGGAAGTACGTCAACGGCTATGCCAAGAATGATTGGATTTTGGGGTACCTTTTCCGAGCTACCCTGGGTGGGTTACTGTCGGTGGCTGGCTTGTCGGCGATCGAGAAGTTTGGCATTGATGACTTCGACTGTACTCCATTTGTCGATGGGCACATGTCATATAGATCGGCAATCCCTAAAATCCTCAAAGAATTCGGTTGGGAAGTGTTGAAGGATGAATTCGTTGAAATCGAAGAGCCTGATCCCGAAACAAACGAGCGACAACGTAAATTATTGCTGGAATTTGACGAAGCAAGAGCAAAGATGATGGAGGAACAAAAGAATGAAAACAAAAAGAAAACTTGGGCGAGCTGGTTCAAGCCCAAAAACCGTCTGTGGTGGGAGATTCGTGAGAAGAAGCAAAACTCTCCCGGCGCTAATGGCAACGAAGAGGGTGACTCAAACCCTCATGAAGAATATGATGTTGATGGCGATACACCTCTCTTTGATGTTCAGCAAGAGGTTAATGAATTAGCACACCACGATCTAGGCGAAACTGTGGGTGCTGCGTTAGTAGCTGAAGCTCGGCAACACCCTAAGACATTGCTTAATGAAGAGAAGGATTTGTTTGACGATAGTGAGTCAAGCACTCGGCAATCGGACATTGTCAAAAATAACCGTCAAAAACCCTCGGCTGGATAAGTCGACCTCACGACACTTAATATCCTGAAATAGTTACCTATATCATTGCACAAAACTACCATAATGATACATATTAATCGATTTAGAAGGTCACGATTTGTTCTCACTCTGGGGTAGGTTCAACGGTTGACTCAGAGGCTGCGCAGTGGCAGCGCGCGCATGGTCAAATTTTTCAAATTGGAATCGCTAAGAACAGACAAGAGCCATGCCCACTGTTGCCGTTGACAAGGCTGATCTTTACGAGCTTCTCGGTAAGGAGTACACCACCGAAGAGTTTGACGAACTCTGTTTCGAGTTCGGCATTGAACTCGATGAAGACACCACCGAAGATGTCAAGGGTACCGACGAACGGCCTCAGTTGAAGATCGAAGTCCCCGCCAACCGGTACGACATGTTGTGCATTGAAGGCATTGCCCAAGCCCTTAACGAATTCTTGGGCAACAAGGAAGCTCCCAAGTACACCCTCAACCCTGCCACTCCCGAAGTTACGTTGACTATCAAGGAACTGGTTAACGAAGTCAGACCCTACGCCGCTGGTGCGATTTTGCGTGGTATTGAATTCGACGAAAGAAAGTACGACTCTTTCATCGCTTTGCAAGACAAGTTGCACGCCAACTTGTGTCGTAACAGATCGTTGGTGGCTATTGGTACCCATGATCTCGACAAGTTGACCCCTCCTTTCACCTACGAAGGATTGAAGCCTGAAGACGTCAAGTTCGCTCCTCTCAACCAAACCAAGGAAATGACTGGTCCCGAATTGATGGAATTTTACGAAAACGACAAGCACATCGGTAGATTCTTGCATCTCATTCGTGATTCCCCCGTGTACCCCATGATCTTGGATGCCAACCGTACTGTGGGTTCGATGCCTCCTATTATCAACTCCGACCACTCGAAGATCACCCTTGACACCAAGAATGTGTTCATCGATGTTACTGGTACCGATAAGACCAAGACCGACATCGTCGTTAACACCATGGTTGCCATGTTCTCTGGTTACTGTAAGAAGCCCTTCGAAATTGAACCGGTCAAGGTCATCTCCGAACACAACGGTGAAACCAGAGTTGTTCCCAACGTCACCCCCAGAAAGGCTGAAGCTGAAATCGACTACATCAACTCGTGCGTGGGTCTTGACTACTCCGGCGACCAGATCGCCGACTTGCTCAAGAAGATGTCGTTGCAAGCTAAGCCTGCTGGTGACAACAAATTGGAAGTTGAGGTTCCCATCACTCGTTCGGACATTTTGCACCAATGTGACATCATGGAAGACGTGGCCATCGCCTACGGTTACAACAACTTGAAGAAGACTAAGCCTAAGGCCGAAACTTTGGTTGCCCAACCTTTACCCGTGAACAAGGTTGCTGACATTATTCGTCAAGCTCTGGCGCAAGCTGGCTACGTGGAAACTTTGCCGCTTACCTTGTGCTCCCACGACGAAAACTTCAAGTTCTTAAGACAAGTCGATGACAACAAGACCGCCGTCAAGTTGGAAAACCCCAAGACCGTTGAATACCAAGTCGTGCGCACTACTTTGTTGCCCGGTATTTTGAAGACCATCAAGGAAAACCGTAAGCACTCTTTGCCCATCAAGGTGTTCGAATGCGGTGACATTGTTCTCAAGAACCCTGAACTTGAAAGAGGTGCTTTCAACCAAAGAAACTGGTGTGCTGTGTACGCCGGTAAGACTTCTGGTTTTGAATACGTTCAAGGTCTTCTCGGCAAGATCATGCAAACCATGAGAACTAAGTGGTTGGAAGACCCCACCAAGGACCTGGGCCGGGGTTACTGGATTGTGGAAGACAAGGAAAACCCTACGTTCTTTCAAGGTAGAGGTGCCAAGATCATGTTCAGACCCGCTGAAGGCGCTAAAGAACAACATATTGGTGCCATCGGCGTTTTGCACCCTGAAGTGTTGCAATACTTCGAATTACCGTTCGCTGCATCTTCCGTTGAGATCAACGCTGAAGTGTTTTTGTAATTTAGTGGTTATAGATAATGAGATCGTCAATGAGTTAGATTTCAATGGCCTAGGCCCGGCCACACTATACGACGAAGTCATTTTGGCATATCGATATCGTACCTGCATATGGTAGGTTACGGCAGTTGCTCGGTCAATTCTGTCTATCATGTCTATTGATAGGAGGTAAATCGCGACGCTCAAAATACGTTATAAACGCGACGAATTAACACCAATCAACCGGGCAAGCTCCAAACTGTATCATGATGGAAAACAATTAACCCATTCAAAATAGTGTAGATACCTCGGCTCATCGATTGCCGGGGCCCGACGCTCGTGGCACTGCCAGCACCCTGTACACAAGTCGCGACTGCGCCATTAATGCATGGCTCGGGGACGGTGATGACCGTCGCTTCGCCGAACCTCGTCACTCGAATGACCACAATTTATCTCGCGAATGCGGGATTGCTCCATGTTTCACCCCTCCCACACTGAGCCCCCCGACGTTTCTTTTGCCCGAAAAATTTAGTGTAGGCATCGTAGTACTGGAGGAAATAGTGGGCGGCACACTACCCGCGGTCGCACCAAAACCAGCTGTATCATTTGAAGTGCCACCAAAACCCTCGGCACCATGTCTGGCAAAGCTCCTAGCAGATCCTTCGACAAGATCATGAAATTGTTGCTTGTCGGCGACTCCGGCGTCGGCAAGTCGTGTCTTCTTTTGCGATTCGTTGAATCCAAGTTCAACCCGTCGTTTATCACTACCATTGGCATTGACTTCAAGATCCGGACCATCGAAGTCAAGGGCAAGAAAATTAAGTTGCAAGTGTGGGACACTGCCGGTCAAGAACGTTTCCGTACCATCACCACCGCCTACTACCGGGGTGCCATGGGTATCGTTTTGATCTACGACGTCACTGATTCTAGAACGTTTGAAAATGTCGAAAACTGGTACCAAACCGTGATTCAATATGCTAATGAGAATGCCCAGATTTTCTTGGTTGGTAACAAGTGTGATGACGAAGCAGGAAGACAGGTGTCCAAGGAAGAAGGTCAAGCGTTGGCTTCGAAGTTGAATGTTCCTTTCCTTGAAGCTCTGGCTAAGTCCAACGAAAACGTCGACTCTATCTTCTACGAATTGGCGGGGATTATTCTCGATAAGGAGGTGGACGAACCGGTGTCGCTGCCCCAAGGTATCGATGTGTCCAAGAGCGGCGAATCCAGTGCTAAAAACAACTGCTGTTAAATGATGTCTAATGAGTGTGTTTTAATATATGCTACTAAACGAACCGTTAAGTCGTATTATCATTGCGGCCTTACTATGTCCACAATAAGTGCATCCTATCAAATATGTTACAGGGTATCAGATGATACGAAAATTAATTTAATCTCGTTCATTATTATGTAAATGCAATTTTTAAACCTTCTTGCCAAAGTAAACCCATTGGTCTTCAAGAGGGGGTTCTTCCAATTCTTCCCAAACCTTGAGCTTGGCTAATTCCTTGGCCAAGGTCAACTCTTCGTGAGCTTGGACAACGACTTCTTCGATCAAACCCGAGCCGATCTTGGATTCAATGTTTTCCCGGATTTCCTCAGATTCAACAATTTGCAATCTGTTCTTGGTCAAGGCTTCGACCGATTGACGGTACACCGAGTTGGAGGGGAACTCAGTCTTCAAGAAGTCGAGGGTGTGGTTGTAGAGGGCAATGAGAGCGGGTCTGGGGTTGGGGTGTTGGTACAACCCAGTCAAACCGGTGGGGTAACCAGAAGCGGACTTCACCAAAACTTCTTCTGCCTGACGTAACACTCTGGTAAATCTCATGATCGATTCGGTCCTTTGTTGGATGAGTATTTCGATGGATGTGGTTGGTTCGCAGTCAAGTCACGTGATTGAAATATTGAATTCGCGTTGGGAGTTTACGTTAACTTGACGTGTATGAGTGTGTCACGGTAACTAATAGAGATTGTGTGTGTCTAAACAGTCGATAACTCGTCTTTATTTGAACAAGCATGTGTGGGGAGATGTATCATCTGATTCCGGTTTTGAGCTTAAGAAAATCGTCCAATTTTTGACAATGAAGTCTGTAGTAAGATACGTAGATCTACCATCCTCTGCTTTATTTATACAATTCTCTTGGCTCATTGGAGCTGGTTGAAATTGCTGTATTCCACACGGTACACTGATGCTAACCTTATTAATGTTTCATGTGTTAATTGCTGCTTTGGAAAACACTGCCTAAATATCAAAATACCATTTATACAGTAGCTTTTAATGAGCAACATCAGGACACAGAGGTGATGTCACTCGATTTCTCCCGTGTACTAACAATTTGTCTCAAATTTGTACTGCTATAATTAGTCCCTTTCCAAATTTAAAGTATATATTCACGCGCTACCATGCAGTATGTTACGTGCCCCGCAAAGCGTTATCGTTTCTAGACGAGTCTACAACACTTTCCAGCGATGACATATGTGGCCGAAGCCGTGAATGGGACGGTCAGGTGTCTTCCATATCTTCTGGATTCTCCTTGTGAATACATACAGTCCAATTGTTCCGGCGGTGGTCTACATATATGGTGGCTTGCCAGTTACTATTGCCAGTCTGGCGTGGTGGCCTTAGTTGGCGCTCTACTCTTTTTGACGGCTTGCTTCGTCGCCCTTGGCATAACCGCCGCTGACTACTTGTGTCCAAACTTGTGTACCATATCCAAAGCCATCGGATTGTCTGAAGATTTTGCTGGTCTCACTCTTCTTGCATTCGGAAATGGGGCACCCGACATTATGAGTACCTTCAAAGCCATATCCATGGGCGAGGGACTGCTTGCATTATCGGAACTATTGGGTTCCTGTTTATTTATTATCACGTTTGTGGTAGGGATCATCAGTTTGATCCACCCCATCAAAGTTAACCCAAGAATGCTCTACGGCAACATCGCCATGTTCATGCTCATGGATGCCTTCATGTTTATCAGCATTGCGGAGCGTAAGTTGACAGTTTTCCTTTGCTTTGCCCTCATCATTGCTTATGTTGCTTACATCTTGGTGGTTATGATGATGAACCATTATGATAACAATCGCTTAGAAGCCCAAACAAGCGAGGCTCGTGCGCGTGCCAATTTTGATGTCGAGGCCGGCCGGCATGACACGGGCGAGGAGGTGACAATTGAAAACTTTGAAACGGCCAAATGGGGCGTATCGGGGACCTTTGGTCTCACCATGATGATGAAAGACTTGTCACGGTATAGTCAAGCGATCTATCTTGAAGAGGACGAACAGGGACATGTGCCGGATCAAGTTGCAAAGTTTGCGCCCACAGTATTACTGATTTTGTTAGCATTTATCCACCCTATAAGATGGACGCTTCTGTGGTTTATACCCGTCAGAGATGCTAACGCAACCCCCATAAATGATAACAATGCTGACAAACAGCGTCTCATTGTACAGTGTGTCGCCGGCAGTATATGGTTGACGTTCTCCTTATTGCGGTTCAAGTGGTATACTCCATTTGTAGCTGTCGCTGCGGCGGTGGGAATTGCATACTTTGTTTCGCAAATGTACCGTCACCACAACTTAATCACAAATTTTGCCGCTGTGTTTGGTTTCCTTGTGGCAATTCAGTTCATCCTGCTCATCGCGGGAAATATCGTGACTGTGCTTCAATTTTTGGGAATCATATGGCATTTATCTAATGACATTTTGGGGCTCACCATCTTTGCCTGGGGCAACTCCATTGGTGATCTCATCTCTAATGTGACAATTGCGAAAATGGGTATGCCGGTGATGGCGTTTGGGGCTTGTTTTGGCGGGCCTCTTTTGGCAATGACTTGCCTTGGCACGAGCGGGTTGTTGTCGATGTCGGGCTCTTCGTATCCACTTCATGTAACTCTGATTGGATCGACTGCGGCCATCATGATCATACTCAACTGCGCTTACCTACTTTATATTGTGCCTCGAAATTCGTGGACTATAGACGGCCGTATCGGACAAGTGTTGATTGCAAATTTCGGATTTTGCATGATTCTATGTGTCATATTAGAGTTGTTCTCCAAATTATAACGATGGAGCATATACACAACTATTATAGATTAAAAACCTCGGGTGTTTTATTGGTTCAAAATACACGTTCAGGGAATCGGAAACCTGCGATTTTGCATGAAACTTTAAACTCTTGACGTAAACGAAACTCTATTTCAAAAAGCTAGTGCAAAGATCAATGCTACAAAAATCAGTTGTAAAGCTTTGTTGTTAGAAGCTTTATGAAAGTGGATCATTCGTTGATCCTTTGCCCCATAGCTTAAATGCTTTCAAGCGTGATGATGGTGGGATGCTTTATGCCAAGATCGTGGAGGTAGCCAAGCTTATCAAAATTTCAACCATAGCCACATCCACCCGCATCAAATACGCCATGGCTACGTGATTCAAATCGAGTTATTCTGAGTTATGTCCGCGTTTTAGTGTTTATGGAGCGCAAAGCAAGCCGCAGTGGCAAACTACAAGGAAGCAAGCAAGTTTGATCGACAATAGACAATCACAGTTCTGGTACTGACAACTGTCGTTTCCGTAGTTTCTTTGAAATCGATGCTTTTATAAAATTACCTAATATACACAAACTAATCCACAGATAGTTCAAATTTTGCCCCAAGTCATTAAAGATGCTTCGCCGGTTCTGTGTTCAACGAGCTTCAAACTGAACCATGCGCCGAGTTCTAGCCTTGTAGATAACCCGGTGACCACATTCTTTGCATCTAATGGCGTCATTTTTACCCAAAGAGAACAGGGCGGAGCACTGAGCACAGTTGTAGCGGACCCCCAACGACTTAGTCAGAGCTTGACCGAAGGCAGCATGCGAAATGGAAGCGGGCTCAGCGAAGCCTTCCCTTTGAGGTGAGCTCATTATGGCAACTTCGAAGTGATGTCGATGAGATGTTCGATGATCAACTTTTGGGTGCGCGGCACGTGACCATTACACGGCGACGTGACTGGAATGTGAATACGAGCAACTGGCGGAGTCGCGGTTTTAAGCGCGGAGTATCCCACCCTTATCTGAAAAACCCACGCTGATCTCTTCCCAAAGCAGATAATGAGACTATCTAGCAGTGTTTATTGTTTACTAGTGGCCCTCTTTGTGCTGGCGCTTGTGATTGAGACCCAGGAACAGGGCTTGGTGCCCCTCGAGAAGAGAAAAGGAGGCGGTGGCCGTGGTGGTGGTGGTGGTGGCAGCTCTGGCGGCAGTTCCGGTGGTAGCTCTGGCGGCAGTTCCGGTGGCAGTTCTAGCGGCAGCGGCCTGAGTGGCGGTGGCAGTCGCGGTGACGGCGGTGGGTCGTCACTGGGCTCGCTGGGTTCCCTGGGTGGTTCTGGCCTGGGCTCCTCCGGTAGTGGCTCGGGCCTGGGTGGCCTGGGCTCTGGTGGTAGTGGTGGTAGCCGTGGTGATGGCAGTGGGTCCAACCTGGGCACTTCCAACACTGGTGGTACTACTGGTAACACTGGCAACACCGGTAACACTGGCAATACTGGCAACACTGGTTCGTCGGGATCGGGTAGTTCTGGTGCTGGTGGTCTCGTGGCTGGTGCCGCTGGTGGTGCTCTTCTTGGTGGCGCTGTTGCTGCTGGTCACGGTGGCTCTGGTGGTCGCAACAACAGCACTCAGACTTCTGGCGCTGCCGTGCTGCTGGCGTCCCTGAGTTCGCCGTCTGCGACGTTCTCGTCCACTTCTGGGACGAAGACCGGTGGTGCGTCGTTGTTGACCTCGCCCAATTTGCTCTTGTTGGGTGTTATTTACGCCTTATTGTGATGACCTGAATTACATGACACTTTAGACAACCATCTTTCACAAACAACAATACCTATAGTTATCTAGTGTAACATTACAGCCACTATGTTGTAGCGTATAAGAAATACTCATATGATGCGTCAGGACATTTCCCCATCTCATGTCTCAGTCATTTTATATGCGAAGGCAGCGCCTAAAATTTTTATAATCCAATTAAATATCATTCGACCTTAACCACAGATCGAAGAAAGATGATCCCCCCAAGTCCGTGACATGCAGTCGACGCGACCACGTATATCTATTGTGATCTCTGCACTCTGTCGTACTCGTCTAAATCAGTGCGATTTGCGGGACAAGCGCACCGAACACCGTTGGGATGGCCCTGCTTCACGTCAAGCTGACGCTATCTCGAATAGCCAAATCGACCCCTGATTTCCCATCACTATCGAAACCAAGCGGGGCGGTGGCATTTGGAGGCGACGCTGCCTCGAATCATCCCAAAAAAGTCACCAGGTGGGTGTCGAAAAACGACCTACGAAGATGGCGGCCGCATCTCCACAACTATCAAACCCAGGTATATCAGAACTTTCTAAGACCGTTGAACATAGAGAACTTGAAGGTCTACAACGAAGTCAAACATTTCGATAGTCAAAAGGCTCGGCTCAACTGGCAACGACAGCAGTCGATGCTGGCAAAACAACAGTTCAAAAACTACTTGGATGAAAAGACCCGATACGAATCCGTCGTTCAAACGATGATAAAGGGAACTCCTAATCATCTCAAGGGTATTGCTGACCTGCCGAGTAGGGTCGCGGCTGCCCTCGCTGAGCATGAGCAAAACCGGGGACCCCACACACAACAGCTGTTTGAAGAGCTTCCAAAAATGCCACAAGCATTCACCTCAGAGACCTTTCGAGACTACATTTCGTCACTTTGCCGTACCACATACCACTATCGCAACCTGCTGTCGTTACTGCTGGGCCTTGTGCCTGATATTCTCCTATGGACTCATGATCTTTCCAATCCCAAGTTTCGCCCCTACCGGCTGGTTCATACTTATAATGAGCTTATTTACTGGTTTGGGCGCAAAAATCAAAGTCTGTTTGCTCGTCAATTGCTTCTCGTCATGACACATGATGGTCATTCACCTAATACCGACACCATTAACCATCTTTTGCGATTGGCAGCAAACCACAGTCATGGGCGAGCAACAACATCAACTCTAAGCATTCTCAAGCGAAGTATTGGCTTCGCCGTCCACATGGGAATTCCACTTAACTTGGACACTTACGCACGTGTTTACGATGCAACAACCAATATCTTTTTACGTGAGTACCTTTTGGCACAAATGAATGCTGCTGGCATTCCACTTACACCTGGGCTTGTTCTCAGGATTGTTGACGATTATGCGAAGACCACAACAAACACAAATGATCTCATAAGATTCATTGAACATGACCTTAAGCGGACCAATTGGCAACAAGAAAACGGCTTATTCAATAAGGTGATCTTCCACAAGTCGTTGCATCAACCTCATCACTTGCCTCAATTATTAGAGGGCGTCACTCCAGACTCCTACACTCTCAAACTGATTATCGAGGGTATAAATGATCGGCAGGGGGTAAAGGCATCGATGATGTTGTATTGGTACTTCAAGATGACGGAAACGACCCCCGCCATGCATCCATACATCTACGCTAAACTCATCAACGCCGTCAATCAAGAAGGCGAAAATATTATACCTACAGCAATGGTGATCATCAATGGCTTGTTAAGTGACATGAAACTGGCATTCAATTGTTCATCGGAAACAACAACGCTTTTGAACGTGCTTGGGAAACCTATGTTCAACATAGCGGCCAAGGTTCGAGTTTTGGGTCGTGACCTCAATGAGACGACCGAGAGCGAATCGAGACAGTGGCAACTTTTGAGGCAACACTACAATGAACTTGGGGACCAACCAATAGAGTTACCCAAGGCATTGGCGAATGTAATCGAAGTCACAGAAGGGAGTGTTTCTTCGAAGCCTGTCAAACAACAAATGCACATCCACCAAACGCGTGGGTTGGCAGCAAGAGATCGTATTCGAATCCAAAAGGCCCAAGAGGGTCTTCATGCATACACGGAGAGAAGTCTCATTGAAAGAGGCCTACTTAATCATTCATAGAGCTATCATTAATACCATACCTTTACTATATTTGGTCTACAATTACTTTCCGGTACAAGTATTCACCCAAGCTTCGTTGTATATGCCATGTTTTACCATTGACGACCACATACTTCAAGTTTGGAAATTGATTGCCTTTAAAGCTCTTGAACCACTCGGTGATTTCTTCTTCGCGATAACCTTCGTCAACTCGCATGTTGCGAATCACAGCCGTAATGTCGAAAAACACGATTTCCAAGGCGAACTTATGAGCGACGATGAGATGCTGAAGCAGTTCACGCTGACTGCTTATGACCCGCAGCACTTCAGTCAAATTGAACGGTTCTATGCCATGAAAGCGAATAAACCGCAAAATATTCCGCTTCAAGTGACTCATGAAGTATTCAAACAGTGGCACAAGGTCGTCATGCCAGTCAAACAGGATGGACAAGTTTGTGAGGCGATGCATACGTTTAAGAAACTTGCCACTCATGTCTCTTTCAAACGTCAAGTGCAACAGACGCAAGTGAGACATATTCACAAATTTCAACACACTTGGATTGAAAAGTCCTCGAAGTACTAACAGATCCAATAACATTTTGGGTCCATTATAGTTGACCACAGGACAATCAGGAAGTGCTAAACGCTTGAGATTGTGAAATTTACTCAAGTTCACATACGTCTCAGCAGTTTCCTTCAAAATATTGATGTTCCGAATGGAGCCAGCCCATTGGGTGAAATTGCTGAGTTCGTCGCACTCTACCTGGAGGGTTCGGACATTGACTTTGTCGTTCACCACGTTTTTGTAGTACAGGGACAGAATGATACTGAAGTCCGTGTAAGGGAACTTTTCACTGAATTTGTAAATGAAGCGAGGAGAGAAACAGGGGTTGTTGAACACGATCTCTTTAACGTATCGAGGGTCAAGATAATCCTCGCCCGCAAGTTGCATGAAAGAATCGTAGTTGACCCCGGTATAATTGCGGTAGAACTCGCAATCAATGGCCAATGCCACTTTGAAAGCCAGCTCTGGGGAATCAACAAATATGCGTTTTTGTAGCTTGGTAAGTCCAAGCCGGTGCCACTCCTGGCACACTTGGCAGACGACCAAGATGTCGACTTGAGTCAAATTTTCAAAGATCTCACACCAGATTTCTGGAGGTAACGGCAGACTCTGCTTCCGACGGGGCTTGCTGGTGTCAAGAAGGAGCTCGCCCATTTTGGACGATATCGCGTCGAGAGTGGCGTTTGTGCGGTCCAAAATCTCCTGTTGATGGGAAATTTGCCGTTGTTGGTTCTCTATGACCGCCATAAGGCGTGAGAGGACCTCGTCGTTCATTGCCCTATCGTCAGGAGGATTCGTCGGTGTGCCAAGCGTGGAAGGGTTCAGTGGTTTAGAGGTGTGCAGGACGTGTGCACGTCAAAATTTACCGAGATTAAAACTAAGATGCGGGGTTAGCCACCGTTAGCTTACAAACGGCAATATATGTTGCACTAAAATGGAGAAGAAGATTATCCTATGATGTTTTACTATGAAGTGTAATGGGTCGCAAGCTCTATCTCGGAAGTTGATTTTGTATGATTGCTCACCGGGAAAAACGATCTCATCAAGCCGGCATAACGACACTAACAAATTGACAAATTTCAGTAGCGCCGCGCGGGAGGGGTAGCTCGACCAACTAAACGAGCAAGCAGTATGCTTTTGCAATGCTCTACCGTAGACATTCCCTTGTGTAAGTTGAAAGTGATATCATTCATTATAGCTCATTAAATTCTTTTATGCAATGCAAGAAGCGTTAATACTTCTCAAATACTCAATGACGGTTTCAACGCTAGAGTTTGATGGTGGCTCTGGATTCTGTTTCCACTTCAACTTTGGAAGCTCAATCGGATCGCTCGGATGGTCTCGACAATAGCACGCCTTGTTGACATACCAACGTATTACGTCTTCATCACCAAAGCCATTATCCCAGAGGAACTCCATCCAGTCGGAGAGCCAATTTGCTTCGCCAGCTTTCCGTCGACATTGGCGTACCCAGGCGTTTCCGAAGCCCATCAGAAATATCAATTCACGGACAGTCTCATCGCTGATGTCAAACGTTACATCAAGCGCCCATTTTGTGGTTGCGTCTATCGGTCTCTCAGCAACCAGTCTGCCAATTTCAAGGAACATCCGCCACATTTCAGCTTCAATACGATACCAGCTATCGTCGCCCCTCGCTTTAGCGATAAATCGACTCCATGTGTCACATATATCACCAAGTTGAACCCTATAGTGTTTGAGGTCGTCCTTACTAGCGTTTTGCACCTCGTGTGTCAAATTGTGAACAAACTCCCAAACTTTAGTCTCCACTGGAGCGATCAATTTGCTCAAGGCGCTCAAGCCGAAACGAAATTCTCCAAAAATGTTTATGATACTGGCGGGTAACCTTTCTCGGAATAGGTTCCAGTGATTCAATTGGGACTGTATGTGAGGGATCACGACCTCTTGTTCAACTTGAGGTTGTAATTCCGTGATATCCTTGACAGCGTCGAAATCTCCAGAGTCAAGCGCCACTTTACACCGTTCCCTGGCAATTTCGTCGATTATCTGGTCATATTGATCACTCGTTCCAAATTTTTCATCGAACTCTTGACGGAATGACGTGAGTTCTTCGAGACTAGCTTCATCTTTTATCGTATCGATGAGGGTCAAGAATACCAGTTCGGAGAGCACTTCTGAGAGACAAATACGCAGTGGAAGAACTCCTCTTTCAACGTTTATCAAAACTGCTTCATCATTTATCGTAGAACTTATTTCATCATCAATCAACCCATATACCAGGGGAAGTCGAGCTAATGTCGATTGTAATTCCACTTCTTCGTTGCTCAACGCTAACAATTCCAGGGTTATTCGTCTAAGCCGTGAGTTGTGAGTTTCAAGTACCGTTTTATCTCGACTTTCAGCGGCTTGCTTGAAAGTAGTCGGTACAGAGACACCGAGGTCTTCTAGCTGATCAATGAGCTGGATATAGTCCCTTACAAACTTGCCATCCGATTCAGTGGTTTCATCTGGCGAATGCAGAGGTTTAGCCATTTGTTCTGCTTGTTCTGTTTTCTCATTAATGCCACCTACCCCTAGACCTTTCGGTCGAAGCTTCACATCGAGTGGATTGACCAATCCCTTGTCACCGGAACCGAGGGCTTTGCCCTGTTCGTACCCCATTTTTATCAACAATTTAGCACCAATGCCATATCTTTCATAAGTTTGCTGGACCTCAGTTGTCTCATTTTCGTGTTCACCGTCGTCATGGTTATCAGCGACAACGTCATCGTCGTCATCGGAAGACTCCACATCAGAATACTCAAAGGATCGTATCAGCGACATCATACCAGGTTGAGGTGTTTGAGTCTGTCCATTGCCGCTCTTCGTGAAGGCCACGTTGAAATTCATTGCTCATGGTTACCTTTTGGCAGCACGACTCGCATCACACTGCGCACATCGATGGAACCTACCGATGCTAATTTACTAAACGAACCTCACAAAATAGAGACTAAAGGGGTCGTTTTTTTTAGATTGAGAGTGAATATATTTGGTTTAGACTTTCATGGTGCCTATCAATGAAATTTACTTACGAAAGCCATAACTAAAGCCTCAATTGACCAAACTAAATCATTCCAGGGTCTACGAATTTGCGGTGTGTATCAACCATACACGAACGTGATTTCATCCATTACAAACTTGAATAGTTTAGCCTGATACCTTGAAGTCTTACTTTCGTACCAGCTTATCGACATTAATTCAGTCGCGTGGCGCGTCGCGAGGTCTAGTCAGCGATCATCTACAATGTTGATTGGAATTAGTGGAACAATATCCTCTGGCAAGGCTGAGGTTGTGCGTTATCTCACTTTTCAAGGGTTTGAGATAATCCAATTGGCATCTTCGTCGTTCTCCATTTCAACTAAGGCAAAGAATTTCGATGTCCACAAACTGTTTGAGACGATTGATGAGCTCGTCGACTTCGTCACCTTGAACTGGCGACGCAACTTTGTCATCAGCCACATGGATAACCCTGATTTGGTTGATATCCTCCACAAACGACCGTTTTTCTTGCAAGTTCTGGTTGATGCTCCCATCAAGATGCGCTATGAGCGGTTCGTCGCCTCGGGAGCCAGCTGCACACTAGAGGAGTTCATCAAGCTTGACGACGACCTTCTTTACTATGGCAAGACGCCGTTGATTCAGATCATTCATCAAGCTCACGTGGATATTGTCAACACCAGTGCGTCGGTGCGAGACCTTTACGTTAAGCTTCTGGAGCTCAATTTGCTAGACAAGGAGAGACTCCGTCCCACCTGGGATCTGTACTTCATGCGATTGGCCGACTTAGCCGCCTTGAGATCTAATTGTATGAAGCGTCGGGTGGGGGCGGTCATTGTGAGACTGCTGAGAGTGGTAGCCACCGGGTATAATGGTACCCCGCGCCATCTAACCAATTGTAACGAAGGAGGGTGTGATCGGTGTAATAAAGGGCCGGGTCTGGGAGCGGGCTTGAGTACCTGTCTTTGTTTACACGCGGAAGAGAACGCTTTACTAGAGGCCGGTCGCGACCGTATCGGGGAGGATCTGGTGCTCTACTGCAACACATGCCCGTGCTTGACTTGCAGCATCAAGATCGTACAAAGCGGGATCAAGGAGGTGGTTTATGCGCAAAGCTATCTGATGGACGAGGCCACGCATCGGGTCATGAAGGAAGCGAAGGTGGTGCTCAGGCAATTTCAGCCGCCACGCGACGAATTGTTTGTTTAGGCGTAATCGCGGCATTAACGGCGTAAAAAGATTAAAGTTAGCATGAATGCATTATTGAACTAGATACAGGTGTGACTTCTTATATGTACCGATAACAGAGACCCGGGGTTACGTTTCCTTGTACTCGTAAGGGCCGGGCTTCTGTTCGGCGTCGAACTTGAGCAGCTCGATGGTGGTGCCGTCGACGTTAAGGAAGGCCTCGACCTTGTCGCCGGGGTTGATGGGGCCGACGCCCTTGGGAGTACCGGTCAAGATCAAGTCGCCCTTTTCGAGGGTCATGATCAGCGACATGTGCGACAAGATCTTGTGAATGGGGAACAACATCAAGTTGGTCAAGTCCTGTTGCTTGGTTTCGCCGTTGACCTTAAGCACCAACTCGACGTTGTAAGGGTCGGGGATCTTTTCCTTAGGGATGTAGTGAGACAACGGCAAAAACGTGTCGAACCCCTTGCCGATCAGCCACGGCAACCCCTTCTTCTTGGCCTCGTCCTGGACGTTTCTCGCCGTCATATCGATGGAGAGGGCGTAGCCATCGATACACTCCAACGCCTCCTCGGGGGAGAAGTCGGCGGGCAAGTTTTTGAGGGTGCGGTTCAACACAAATGCCAACTCGACCTCGTGGTGGACGACGACCCCTTTGGGGACGAGGAAGGGGCCGTCGTTGGGTTTGAGCACCAGCGACAGCGGCTTGAGGAAGAAAAACGGCTGCATCGGCTTGGCATTGTTGAGCTCGGCAATGTGGGCGGCGTAGTTGCGGCCGATGCAGAGGATTTTCCGGGCGTTGTCGATGTACTTGAGGGACATTTGTGTGGGGAGAAAAAACCGCTAGTGGTGTCTCGAAGGGACACTTTTTGTGCGGCTGCGAGGGCGGGGGTGCGGGCGTAGTGCGTTGTTTACACTCAGTCACCGAGGCCACGTTTTGTGATCAGTGGCGATGAGGCCTCGGATAGTGTGTGGGCCCATGGGAAGGACGGGTAGAGACACGGCCGATACCACAAACGTAGATAGGCACGATAGGCACGATCGGGACGTCGGCGGCGCGGGTGGCGGCGACGGCAACCTCCGGAGGTTAGAGCATAGGGCCCGCGATTAGTTTACGAGGTGTACTAAGCGGGAGATTTCGGGTGCAGGGCTTCGAAGCCACTCGCCGCGAGATTATTATTGGCCAAGCCCTGATGAGGGGCGACAGTTGATAATAGCGGTGGGGCACCTGCCTCGTGTAGGCTTTGGGCAAAGCTAGCGGGCTGCATGGCGGCTCCGAGGCCCGAGGTGCGATAGCTGCCCTTGTCACCGGAGAGCACCGGCCATCTCAGAGTCATCCAGGCTGCGAGGTGCTGACGATGCCGTCACCCGGCGATCGGAGGCAACCCCGGCGGGCGAACGGGCGACATGGCAACTAACCCGACAAGGTACGAAGATAAAAGCAACGGTTAGCCCCTCGGGGCACCCATGGGCGCCATCGAGTCTGCCATCGCGCAGTGTCGGCGTCGGATAGCGTTCACAGACGGGCGTCAATGTAAACAAAGCCGAGAGCAATCGCCTCGGGGGTGGGCGTCGATGACCGGATAAACAATGGCGGGGGGATGTTTACCCGGGGTGGTGGCTGACAAAGCCGGCGTCCCCGTGCCCTGGAAGCAATGTCAACACATATTTTCTTTTAAAGTTGCCGTTGCTTCTAGGGGATGTGTGTTCGCCCCGTAGTGCAGCGCTCCCCAGGTACCGCCTCTCGCATGGAGTGGATGCCAAAAATAGGCTGCCGCCATGGGGCTGGGGACACCACTTGTCGACGGCGACAAATAACTAGCCAGTAGCCCCCTAGACAACAGCCTCCGCCGACCAGCCTCGAGGTCACCGCTAGCCAAACGCTAATTCCCGCCCCCCCTTGGTGATTACCTTTCCCCTTCCGGCGGCGTGCAGCAGATCGAAAACCCTTCCCGATAATATTCCAACAGGGGAAATCATAAAAAAAATAGCAAGCCGAGCTTATAAAGAAAAAATCCGACGCCGCTGAATAACTTTTCACAAACGATGAAGTTTTGGACGGTCATGGCCTTGGTGGCGGGGGCGGTGGGGTTGGATCCAGCCGTGTGTGCCAAGTACAACACCGGCGCCGGCTCTCAGGGCACCCTGGACCAGTGGATGTCCAACGGCCTCTGCCACGACCACTGCCAGGGCTTCGCCTACGCCGTCACCAACGGCAACCAGTGTTGGTGCTCCAACTACGCTCCGGGGGACACCGTCGATATTGGCGAGTGCAATCAAGGGTGTCCTGGTATCGACTTGGAAATGTGTGGCGGCAACGGAGCCTTTGGCTATGTCAAGCTAAACGGGCAGCCCAGTGGCACCATGTACGACTCGAGCAAATCTACCTCTACCTCGTCGCCACCGTCATCACTGACGGCGCCTACAACTCGTACCACTCCCTCGACTACACAACCACTGACCCCACCGCTGACACAATCGCTGACACAACCGCTGACACAACCACTGACCCCACCGCTGACACAACCGCTGACGCAACCACTGACGCAGCCATCGACGCAGCCACTGACACAACCACTGACGCAGCCGTCTACACAACCGTTGTCGGCGGCACCAGTGCAACTGCTGGTGCTGTACCAGACACTGGTGTTGTTGGTGACGCTGGTGGTGGAGCTGGTGGTGACAAAAACTAACCAGAGAACTGAGACCACTACCACCGTGCACACCACCGAGGTGCTGGTGACGACGACATCCACGGTCCAGACGTCGGAAGAACCGTCGCTGACGTCATCGAGCGAGTCGTCGTCTTCTTCTTCGGAATCGTCATCTTCTTCGGAATCATCTTCATCTGAATCGTCGTCGTCGTCATCATCAACGTCATTGTCAGAGTCAAGTCAGTCTTCGGAGCTGAGTTCGTCGCTGTCATCATCGATGCCTGGCCCCACTACGGTGGTGCTGGTGATGACGGTGGATGGCTCCCCCGCAGTGACGACACGCTTTATCACTACCCTGACCGAGCCTGTGGCCACCGATAGCGCTGCTGCAGCCCCCACAGCACCTCCGCAACAGAAACTGAAGGGGTTCTTCGATCTGGCGGGTAAAGTGGCGGGGACATTCACCGCGGTGGGTGTGGTGGTGGTGGCGCTCGCCGCGCTTCTCTTGTGGTGCTGCTGCTGTGCTGGTCGCCGCAGCGTCACCGACGATGACGACTACACCGACGAGGACCGCCTGGTGAACGACCCCGAGAAGGGCGTTACCCAGGTTAATTACGTAAATACCCCACTGAGCGTGCCTCCAGCGTACTCCAAGTCCAATGTGACTACCACCCAGCAACTGGTGCGGCGTCTGCCGTCGATTAGCGGGATGTTGACCTTAATGGGCGCCAACACCTCTAACGACAAGGAGATGAACCGCTCCCAGAGTCGCAAGAAATTGATACCCTCGGAAGACGAAATCATCGTGCCACCAGCACCTCAGTTGGATCTGCGTTTAGACCCGCTGACAATGTTTTTGAGCCAGAACTTGCTGCAAAAGCTGTTGGATGACGACGTTGACTACTCGCGCCGGGTGTTGCGGGTGGCCAACCCGGACAATTCGCTCAACGCGGCTATGGATCCCCTGGAGGGGCCACAAGCTTAACATTTGTCGACATGAAAGGCCCGTGCCTTTATTTAATTGCATACTTTCGTTAATTTGGAAGACTTTATGAATGAATACACATTAGATATGAACTAATCAGCGAGTATAAGAGCTTTTGTTTTTGAAGCCTCATGAAATGGATCACTGTCAGCCATTTAGGGACGATGGCATTGGCGAGATGAATCCAGATTGGTTTGCTTTTTAAGATTAGCGTTGCACTGTCAAGGGATCTGATGACGTCATTATACTTGCTCGCTTTGATTTTAGCAACATTTCCATTTGGTTCCAAATATTGCAAAATTGTACGATAAACACATGTGGACAGAAATGAAAATTGGAAATGTTAGAAATGTTGCACGTCAAAGATCATGTTAAAATCCATAACGAGTAGCAATATTCCTTACGACGGCGATTGAAGTCACGATATCAAATTCTACTACCAATAATACGTGAAAATGTCTTCGAACACGATTTCTTTTCTAGCTTCCATACACCAGCATTTCTGACTCGTAATACGTGCTAATTAGGATTCCGACTTCTCGCCCCAATTTGGTAACGAGATCGCAAATCTCATCTTACAAATTTTTGCATCAAAGCTTGGCTTTCAGCGGAGACACAGCCTTAATAAATGCTTGTCTACAGCGCCACAGTGGGGTCGTATAATGTGATTCTTTTGGGATAAACTGTAGAGGTGGATGTTCTCAGCTTGCAAATGTCATCGGTGAGTACCAGCTTCGTTTGCATTAAAACTAATATTCTCGCCGAACTGAGCGCACAAACAGCTTAGAATTTTTACATAGATGATAAGAGAGGCTTTACTAACACAATCGTTCCTCCTTCACATCATCAAGCTTTCTCCTATGGTGGATAATGGGGTTTACATGACCCCGCATCATGCGGTTATTGTATCTTAGAATGCGGCTGCGACTCGGTTGCCGTATGGAACCCACGTTTCACTTTATCAGATGTTCGCACACAGAAATTTAATCTCGCTCCCTCGGAGTCATGCGAAGACGTTGAACATCTGATTTAAACACAAAGAGCAAACAAACTTGAAGAAATGGAATTTGGAAACCAACTTCACCAACCACGATTATAAAGCACACCTAAAGCCAAGTTTTTAGCAAAAGTTGCAGTGGTGGCGGAGTTGCCAAGCTTTGCCATTTTTGTCGGCAAATTGCTCCCGTCAAATGAGGAATATCGACCACAACGTGTCTCGGAAGAATTTCGCCCCCGCCAGATCGCCGTGGACTCGCTCGATTTAGGCGAATACTCACCGTAGCTGATAACCTATCACCATCTACCGGCGACACTCGTTTTCTTGTTCCCTTGGCGCCTGCATAAACCGTCTTTTCTTGGCAGTGGTCTTTTTTCTTATAAACCGCACCTCCTCCAGGTGGGGTCACTAGGCGCACTCATGATGAACTTTACCCACCCAACAAGCATCTTGAATGCCAATACCATGAGCCAACAACCCGAGTTTGATATGAATCTGGACCTGCCCCTGCTGATGGGAAGCCCCCCTAACTCGAACGAATCGCCGGGGTCGCTCACTACCAATTCTTCGACCGGATCTCCCCTTCAAGACAAGTTCCACTACCCTCAGGCTTACCCGAATGGAACCACCGTGGCCACTCCTCCCAAGCCGAAGAAGAAGTACATGAAGATCAGAGACGAGGACATGCGTGGCCCGTTCTACTGTAAGTGGGAAGGGTGCACTACCGTCTTCGGGACTCCCGAAGCTCTCTATGACCATCTCTGTGACTTGCATGTCGGTCGCAAGAGCTCGAAGAACTTGAACTTGACCTGTCTGTGGGAAAACTGCGGTACCACAACCGTTAAGCGTGACCACATCACCTCTCACTTGCGCGTGCACGTTCCTTTGAAGCCTTACCACTGCGAGCTCTGCCCCAAGCTGTTCAAGCGTCCTCAAGATTTGAAGAAGCACGCCAGAGTGCACGCCGATGACCACCCGAAGAAGTTGAAGCGTCAACGTGAGACGCCCAAGTACGACTTGCCGTTCCCGGAAGACACCCGTAAGCGGGTGCCCTACGACCCTGGTCAACAAGCCCACATCGTCAACTCCCTCCTTTCAGAATTCAACTTCCCCTTACACGGTGACCAAGCTAACAAGAAGCGGAAGCCCGACCCTCTGTACAACCCCGACATGTACCAGAAGTTCCAATCGGTTGAACACGCTGAGCTCGTACCGCCCCTGACACAGCAAGGGTATTACAACTATCCTCAACACCAACCCCTGTTTGGTTCTGCGGTGGCCTTCGCTGCTCACTCAAACCCGGCGCTGGTGTACGAGGCCGAGCGTTTCTTCTCGTCGCTTTCCAACTCCATCGACATGCAATTCCCTCAGTTGTCTATGCCCACTCATAACAACTATGATCAAATGTTGCAACCTGTCAACCACGCTGGTTACACTCTCCCTCCTGTGAGCAAGCCCGGCATGGCGCAAACTCCTCAGGCCCCTCAAGCTCCTCAAGCTTCTCCATACCCTACCGCTCAACTTGGATCCATTCTGACGATGAAGACGGACGTACCTCTGTACCCGTTGGCGTCTAGATCAAGCAATGACTTTCAAGGAAAGCCGCAAGCGATGTACTCTGTCTACGGCCAACGTGAGGCGCAACCGTTGTCGGAAGACGAATCTGAGTCTGCCACTGAATCATCCGAATCTGACTCGGAACTCGAGGAAGGTGAGTTGATTCTGGCTTTCGAAGACATGTCTGTTGACAACATGAACATTCGTGCTGTTCAAAGACACAAAGAAATGGTTTCTTTGGTGCTCAACTACTTGCGCCAAGAAATCTCTCAATTGGAATTGAAGAAGGCTGAACCCATCGAACACGAGAAGAAGGGTTCGCTTTATCCTACTATGATTGCCATCTAAGGTAATGGTGATTAAGAATCGCTTTGCCGCGGTTTAACGACGATATGTATTTTGGGTTTCACGGGTTTAGGAATAAATTTTATTTTGTTAAGACGTAAATCATTAGCAGTAGGGTTGCTACTTCTCTATATACAGAGATCAGTTTATGTACAAGTTAGCAAATGACGCCGGAACCCAAGACCTGGTTGCCACTATATAAAACGAGGTTTTGCCCTGGTGCCATAGCTCGTTGTGCGTCGCATAATTTTAATTCGATGGTCGAGTCTTTAACCACCCACGATTCTATCTTCACCGGGGTTTGAAGTGAACGGTATTGCATGGTTAAGCCTTCGGAGGGGACTGTCTTGGGATCGATGAGCCATCTCCATTCGTTGGCTTTGACCTTATCCGCGAAAAGCTTGGGATTATCTCTCCCTCGTACAATCACCAATTCATTAGTATCGTATCGCTTTTCACTGACAAACCACACACCTTTATAGTTTGGGTCGCCCTGTGGCATCAGGATGGCCAGCTTCTGGCCAATCGTAGCATGCCAAAGACCCTGGTGCCGCCCCCATACTTTGCCATCTTCAGTGATGATATTGCCTGGATTAGGTGGAATGTATTCGTTGAGGAAATCACGGAACAGGCTTTGGTCCTGGCTTACAAAGCAGAGGCCTTGTGAGTCGGGTTTAGACTGTACGTGGAGATCAAAGTCCTGGGCGAGTTGTCGAACGGCGGGCTTCACGTAGTGTCCGATCGGCATGAGGACCCTCAGAAGCAGTTGCGGGGCGACGCTGCTCAAGTAGTACAGCTGATCTTTTTGTTGAGAGAACCCCCGAAGAAGGTGTACTTCGCCTGTTGGGTTATGTCTCATGATACGGGCATAATGACCAGTGACTAACCACCACTTCAGATCACCCAAAAGCTTAGTAAGGTATTCGAGCATGACCCCAAACTTGATAAACCGATTACACCCGGTGTCTGGATTAGGAGTAAGGCCACGACGGTACATATCAATCATCGGAGTGAACACATCTTCCCAGTATTCTCGCTCAAAGTTGACTCTGGAACAGGGCATGTCTAACTGATCACACACACGTTTGACGTCATTCCAATCGGCCTCAGTACACTTGGCCGTCTGAGACCAGTTAGCCATGTAGATTCCTCGAACGTTCTTGTACTTCTTCTTGTATAACGCCGCCGCCACTGATGAGTCCACTCCCAGGGACATCGCGATGACGATCTCATCTTGCGGATCTGGTGTCGGAATCAGGTATTCATTAGCATCAACAGGGTTGGTCAACTGAAGCGACTGCTCTAGTTTAGACAAGAGCAGAGCTGGCTTGGAGGCGATTGAGGAGTAGGCCCGGACTCGTCGTAGGCAAAGCATTAGATGCGCACAACTGGAAGCACCGTTTGTCAGCCATCTCATCACTACCTGATCAACCGGTTTATACTGTTCTAATATTGGAAAGACGATTACTAATTATATTCTATTCTGTGTTTCAACTTGTTATCGTTGTATTTGCATCAATTTTGTTAACCACCTATTATTTCCAACTGATTAGATTTCAATGATTTTTTAGTCAAGACCGATAACCCATTCAACTAGTTACACTTAGAGTTACAAACAACACAGCTACCTTGTTCATTCTTCATATCAATAGCTTTGATGTGCTTATCGCCACTTTGGATCATCTCATCGCCGTTCGTGCGACAGACGTCGATCGCTAATGGCACTTCGAACGCTTCTCACCCAGCTCTTGTTGGGTGTCCTACCAGCTAAGTTTGAAGCTACCGATGATGAGAAGTTTACCTCTCTTGTTGGTCCCATCAAAAAGATCATTTCCGGCGAGGCTGACGTTCTTATCGGCTCAGATGAGCTTCAAGCTTTGATCAAACATAATACCAATATTGATGAAGTTGTCAATCAGACCCTTACTCAGATGGTGGACAAGTTTGGTCCCGAACTAGGACCTATCCAAATGCAAGTGTTGGCCATTTGTGCCCTCCAGCTCTTTGTTCAAGCCAACTACACTGGTCCTGAACTTGTCAATGGTGCGGCGCAGACGCTTGGGCTCAGCGACGATGCCGCCATGGTCAAATTGCTTTCAATTGAAGGCCAACCTGCTTACGATTTGATGATTGAACCGGGATACCTTTTGTTTGCCCTCCGTACCTTTGAAAAACTTATGGGGGCTAACGCTGACTGGCACCTTCAGCTGTTCGAGGAGATCAAAGAGACTGCATCTCAGTACATTAGGGGTTCCGAAGGCAACCCTGTACAAGCGTCACTTCAGTGGTGGCGTACCAGAGCTCTCCAAGTGCACATGATGGTCATTGCCGAGCCCGCTGATGTTATCGGTACGTTGTGTCAAGTATTGCTTACTCCTAGCGTTGCCACTGCTTTAGCTCCCGCTGCTGAAACTGATCCTCAAGTGGTTAGCGCCGTGCAACAATTGTACCTCTTAGAGGCGATCCGTATCAACATCCATGGTAACACTGAGCATTTGGCGGAACCGCTTTTGAAGGAGTTGACGCGGGTTTCTCAGTTACAATTGGTGCTTACCGGTGCTAAAGCTAAGCGGACAAAGTTCCAAACGTACTTGGCACTGCTGTTGGTGGTGTTGGCTAAGCTGTGCTCACCCCTGATCTACGAAGACGACCAGGGAGCCGACGAGGCCCCCGTCAACTTGGACCTTGAGCTGGACTTGCTTTTGGAAAAGCCCCATTTTGAGCTGTTGGAGAACGTTGAGTTTACTGATGACGACACCCCTGCTGCTAAACGCTTAAAGTATGACGTTGAGGACAGTGAACAAAGCCGGATTGTGCCCATTGCTCTTAGTTCCGACAAGATACCCGCTGAACTTCAAAGTTTAGATTTGAACAACCAACCCAGACTAAACGATTTGGACAGCATTCAGTTGATTCTGAGACTCATCATCTTAGCGCAAACCCTGCCTCTGGGTGACCCTTTAATCGAAGAAGAGTTGATGGCGATTGTGCTGCGCATCATCTACGCCGACAATGCCGATAAGAAGCCTAACCCCACCGTGTTCGGGCGGGCGCTTTGGCAACGACTGGTGCTTGAGACGCAGAAGCCCAAGACTATCGAGCGGGGCATCTTACAGATGACGGCGCTTGTGGAAGAGGCGGGTATCAAGGTGAAGACGAGAGTGTTTGCCGAAGAGCAGGTGACGGCCACCGATGTTGCCCACCGGTTGCGGTTTATCCATCAATTGCCGCTTTTGCTGAGTTGGGCGATGAACGGCGAGTTGGCCAAGAGATACATGCTGTTCGGGGCTTTCAAGTCGGCCATCGACATCTACGAGCGGCTTGGCATGGTCCACGATGCTGCCGTGTGCTATGCTGCTACCGATGACGTCGCCCGCGGTATTGAGATCATTAAGGGTCGTCTTGCCACTCACCCCGAAGATGCTCGAGCTATTGCCATCCTCGGTGATTTCACCATGGACCCCGAGTTATGGGAACGGCTGTGGCAGGTGGGTAAGTACGCCAAGGCCAAGGCGTCGCTCGCTCGCTACTGGTACTCGCCTCCCAGTGATCTGGGCCATCAACGCAACGTTGATTTGTCGATTAAGCACATGAATCAGTGTCTCACCGTCAACCCGCTCAATTTCGAAAACTGGTACTTCTACGGGTGCTGTGGGCTTGAGCTGGGCCAATTTGAGCTTGCGGCGGAAGCGTTCAGTCGGTGTGTGGCATTGGACGACACTAACGCCCAGGCGTGGCTGAATTTGGCGCTGGCACTTTTGCAGTTAGAGGATAAGCTTAAACCGGCGTTCCAAGCCCTCAAACGGGCTGCCAGATTGGGCTACGAAACCAAGCTGTGGAAGATCTTCGAAAACTACCTCACGGTGGCGCTTAAACTTCAGGAATGGCAAGAAGTGGTGTTCTCCGCTGGTCGCCTCTTAAAGATGAGAGCTAACGATGGTGAAGCGGCGGTGGATACCGCCGTATTTGAAGAGCTTTCAACAGTATTATGTTCGACCGATTACCCTAGCGATGCCAACCAGCTCCTGCACTTCCAACGGGCAGCGATTGACCTCATCTGTCAAGAGTTGCCGAAGGTGATCACCCATAACCCGCACTTGTGGCGGATTGTGGCGAAGGTGGAGGCGTGGCGCAAACGGCCGTGGGCGGCGCTTGAAGCCTACGAGAAGGCAGCTCGTGTGGTCACGCTCCGCCCGGAGGTGGAGTACGAAACGGCAGTGTGGAATGAAGCCGTGGACGCGGTGCTGGATTTGGTGGCGGCCTACGAGAACTACGGCGACCTTCCGGGACGCCATGGTGGCGATGACGTCGTCTGTGCCAACTGGAAGTATAAGGCGAAACAGGTGGTCCGCCTGTTGACGCTGAGGGGGAAGCTGCTGTTTGAAGGCGACGACGGTTGGGAGCGGTTGATGCAATTGAAGGCCGACTTGGTGTGATTGTCGGCCAAAGGGCTTACGTATCCCGTGAGGACTAGCTCGGGCTTAATGAATAATGATCGTATATAGGGGTTAAGCACCACGGCAGTCACCTATCTAACTCCGTAGAGCCGGGTCGCCATTGACCCGACCCGGTGACCCATGACTTACTCAATCGGTGACGTAGATAATGTGCATCTTTACGGCGATGACGGTAACTTTGTGGGGCCATGTGCTCTACTTTCTCCGAAATCGGGTACGGTAGCAGCCTACGCAATGTGTACATGATCATTGCGCCGTACACTTGTTGAGCCCCACAAATGGTAAACACTGATGTTTTCTCTCTGCAAGGAAGCGACAACGTTTATGTAGACGCCACTTCAAATTGCAAAAACTACGACTGCCGAGTCGAGGTGCGGAAGCGTTGTACATTGCGACACTGTTTCCATACATCATTGTGAGCCACATCTCCACTTGCTTATTGTGGACACACTCATGATCATATTATTTTCCTCAATCTCGGTAAATTACTCAATTTACTACCGTTTGGGTGGCCCAATAGGCTAGCCACATTACAGTGATGCCGCCACTGAGTCACGTGGGGGGTGAAATGGTACGTTAATGATTTGTGGGGGTAGGCCCACAATCTGGCTTGGCAATACTAGGTGAAAGCCCCACTTGTGGGGGTAAAAATATACTCGGCGCCCTGAGTCCGTTCCAAATGTATGATAGTGGTTCCAAACACCGACGTCACCCCACAAAAAGTTGCGCCGCTTATAGAATCAGGGCTCCATGACTACCCCACCACAATGACTACAACTCGGTCGAGTCTTGGCGTAATCTCCGCAGCGTTGATCGATACGGTAAGATTAGCGGCTCCTTTCATTGGTTGAATGGGGCTTAAGCCCCGCAAATGGCGTCATCGCCACTAACCCATGGAATTCCATCGTGATCATCTAATTGGTGAAAAGCGTGTCATTACTCGATCAAACCTTACCAAATGTTGAAAACTGATAGCTGAATTGAACGATCTTCGACCGCTAATGTTTGTACGCCATCGTCGACGCCATCTTCGGCATTTTCCGCTCCGTCAAGTTCCTGTTTAGGCGAGCGCGCGGGGCTCCAAACGAGAGGTGAACTCAACATTTTTTGAGTGGTGACAAACACCACCTGCCGGAAACTCCGAACCAATAGCCGAATGCAACACCGCTTACAATATCGTCATCAATTAAACAACCACCACGTTTAGTGGTCCATTCAGCGTGTTTTTCACGTAGTTTTCACCGTTCTCACCCTGGTCTCGCTTGACCCAAACGTTTGGGGGCGGGGTAGGTCGCCATCAACGTCGAAGAGACGCATTAGCAGACACATAAATTTTTGTGGTGTGTTTTTTTTAAGATTTTGTTAAGATCGCCACTGAAACACCACTCAATTAACAGCGTACCGCCCGCCGACAGCCAACACTTTACCACAATCGTTAGTCTACATCGCCACCACGACGCGCTTGCGGGGGTTGTGGGGAACCCGCCCACTTTTAAATCCTTTGCAGGTAAGTGCGTGTGCCGCCCACAACCCGCAGCGTACCCCAAGCTAAGGCTGAGATTATTTAAACCCCCCCAACGCCGCTGGTAACGCTTTTGATTTCTTCACCTTCCAGACCAAAAGCTACTTTTGTTTTACCCATGGGTGACGAAGCACACTTGACTTTGGACCACGAAAAGGCCGCTCCCCCTCCCGCTGGGTTCAAGGAGCGCTCCAAGACCGCGCCCAATTTGGCGTCGTTCGAGGAATACGAAAAGTTGTACAAGCAGTCGGTTGAAGACCCGGCCTCGTTCTTTGGCGAACAAGCCAAGACGTTGTTGGAATGGCTGAAGCCTTTCGACAACGCCAGAGTGCCCGCCCACCCCAAGGACGACTTCAAGAACGGCGACTTGCCCGCGTGGTTCGTCGGCGGTGAATTGAACGCTTCTTACAACTGTGTCGACAGATGGGCCCGTGACACTCCCGACAAGGTCGCCATCATCTACGAAGCCGACGAAGTTGGCGAAGGCCGTCAAATCACCTACGCCGAATTGCTCAAGGAAGTGTCGAAGCTCGCGCAAACTCTTTCCAAGCTTGGTGTCAAGAAGGGTGACTCCGTCGCCGTGTACTTGCCCATGATTCCCGAAGCGGTGATCACCTTGTTGGCCATTGTTCGTCTTGGTGCCACCCACTCGGTGGTATTTGCTGGTTTCTCCCTGCTGGCGTTGCGGGACCGGATCTTGGACGCCGACTCGCAGATTGTCATCACTGCTGATGAACTGAAGCGTGGTGGTAAGACCATTGAAACCAAGAAGATCGTTGACGACGCTCTTAAGCTGTGCCCCAGCGTGCGCAATGTGCTCGTGTTCAAGCGTACCGGCAACTCGCATGTGCCGTTCCTGGCGGGCCGGGACTTGTGGTGGCACGAGGAGTTGGCTAAGTACGGTAACTACTTCCCCCCTGTTCCTGTGCAAGCCGAAGACCCTATGTTCTTGCTTTACACCTCCGGGTCCACTGGTAAGCCCAAGGGTATTCAACATAACACCGCCGGTTACTTGCTTGGTGCTGCTCTCACCGCCAAGTATACCTTTGACCTCCACCCCGAAGATATCCTCTTCACCGCCGGTGACATTGGTTGGATTACTGGCCACACCTACTGTGTGTACGGTCCGTTGTTGAACGGTGCCACCACTGTGGTGTTTGAAGGTACCCCTGCCTACCCCGACTTTTCGCGTTACTGGCAAATTGTCGACCAATATGGCGTCAACCAGTTCTACGTGGCTCCTACTGCCTTGAGATTGTTAAAGCGTGCTGGCACCAAGTTCATTGAACCCTACAAGCTTGACTCCTTGAGAGTTCTTGGCTCTGTTGGTGAACCCATCGCCGCTGAAGTCTGGCACTGGTACAACGACAACATTGGTCGCCACAAGGCGCACATTGTTGACACCTACTGGCAAACTGAATCGGGTTCGCACTTGTTGACTCCTCTTGCCGGTGTTACCCCCACCAAGCCTGGGCTGGCCTCGTTCCCCTTCTTCGGTATTGTTCCCAAGATTTTGGACCCCACTCTGGGTGAAGAATTGACCGGCAATGACGTCGAAGGTGTCCTTGCCATCAAGAACGCCTGGCCCTCGATCACCCGTGGTATCTTTAATGACTACGCTCGTTTCATTGACACCTACTTGGGTGCTTACCCTGGCCACTACTTCTCCGGTGATGGTGCTGCCCGTGATAAGGATGGCTTCTACTGGATTTTGGGCCGGGTCGATGACGTTGTTAACGTGTCGGGTCACCGTTTGTCGACGGCTGAAATTGAAGCCGCTCTTATCGAACACGAATTGGTGGCTGAACTGGCTGTCGTTGGTTACGCCGATGACTTGACTGGTCAAGCCGTGGCTGCCTACGTGTCGCTTAAGAACAAGGAAGTGCCTGCCGAAGAACTCGACGCCATCAAGAAGGAATTGATCTTGACTGTCAGAAAGGAAATCGGTCCCTTCGCTGCTCCTAAGTTGATCTTGTTGGTTGACGACCTTCCCAAGACCAGATCGGGTAAGATTATGAGAAGAATCTTGCGTAAGGTTTTGGCTGGTGAAGCTGACCAATTGGGTGACATCTCCACCTTGTCCAACCCTCAAGTCGTTCAACAAATCATCGACATTGTCGCTGCTGTCAAGAAGTGATTGGGGTATGATTATTTATTATATGAATGTTAAATTTAACTCATCCAAGTAGTTGTGATCCTGTATAGTACTCTTAGGACGCACGTGATACTATTGTCGTATTAGACAATCTTTTTCGCAATCGTAGTTACGGAGTTGGTACATGTCACGTGGCTTCTCTCTCCCCTAAATCGATGGACCACCTCTACAACTTGACACAGCTTGCCCTGCAAGTGTTTCCTTATGTGACGTCAGCTGTGGAGATGTGGCATAGGTATCAGTATACATGTTCGATGCAATTGCAAAAAGGTATTACTTTTGGTGGATTACACACCGGAACAAGTTTAGAATCCCGTTTATTATTATCCCGAAACATATACAAAAATAAGATTTCATTGAGTCGTCAAAAACCCCGAACACCAACCGTTACCAGATTGCAATTATGTGTGTGTGTGTGTGTGTTTCCAGTAATAGTTAATGTTGGAGTCATCTTTTGACAGACGGCAATGAAAACTCATAGACCAAAAGTGTTATGTCCAATTCACTTTTGGTAGGAATCAACTTCCTGCATCTCAATGTTAGCATTCTGGTTCTTCACTTGGTTGAACAAGTCTTGCTTCTCAGCTTCCGTCATTTCGTACTTCTTCTTTCCCTTAATGTGGTACATAGGGTTCAATTCCGCCAACGTCATAGACTTGGTGAAAGGCAAGTGGCCGTACTTTTCTTCGTAGAACAACAACCCCAAAACGGCGAGGATGAAGATCCAGTAAGCGTTGTACGAGATAACGGACCCGTAAGTGGCCGAGTTTTGCCAGCCGAAAAGAGCGTTGAAGATATCCCAACCGTGATCCATGTTGGGGTTGCAACAGTTGACGTGCCACACCGACTTGGTGATGTCGTAGGTACCAGGACCAGAGCCATTTTCAGCGGCATCACCACCAGTCTTCTTCGCGTACTCATACATCTCGGCATACCAGACACCTCTTGAGAACAAACCGGCGGCAATAAGGTAAAGAATACAAGTGGAAATAATCAAGAACACCTTAAGCGAGACAGCAGAGCCAAAGAAATACAACAAGATACCACAGGCACTACCAGCAATTAACCCGACAATAACAGGAATGGGGAACGCCGAGGCAGGGGAATTGAGACCAACACCACCAATGAAAACGACAGCTTCCAAACCTTCTCTCAAACAAGTAATGAAGGGAAGAATGAACATGGCGTATTTCTTCATCAAGTGACCAATCTTGAATCTGTCCTTCTTATCGGTGTGCACAAGTGCCTTAGCCAACTTAACCCGCCACTTTTCTTGCATCTTGTTGATTCTCAACATCGGCAACCCCATGGCTGTGATCAAAATCGCCGCAATAAGACAGAAGATCGATTCCCAAAGGTCTTCAGACCCGCCCCAAATGTCTTTACCCAAACCGTAGAAAGCCCCAATGAAGGCACACCCAAGAATGACACAAATCAAAACCCCTATAATCGTACCGAGCCACACTTGACGACGTAAACGCTTATAGGTTTTGGGGTCATCGGTGGGAGCACCGATACCTTGCTTCAAGAAAGCCAAAAGGGTGGACACCACAATGGCCGCTTCAAGTGACTCTCTGAAGCACACAAAGAAAACTTGGACATTGAACACCTGCACCATGACGGGGTTTTGGTTCACAGGTTATTCAGAATGTTGGGATAATAACAAACAAAGAAATCGAAACTGACCCGAGATTTCCCCGAATTTTATATAGCTTGGGTTTGCAGTCTCTGCTAGCCGTGCGCGAGGCGCTAAAATCAGGGTACATAACCGATACATCCCTTGGATTGTCGCACATGGCTACTGTCTGATCAATCAGATAAAAAACAGTGGCCATGTCGAGGAATTTGGAATCACGGGGCTTTCCAATGGTACAAAAGAAACGACGCTTAATATCACCAACCATACGAATAAAACCTATAAGGTTACCCCTTCAAGAAAACGAGCTTTCCTATTGTCGAAAAACTTCTTGGCTTCTCTCAACATTCGTGCCAGCCAATAACCGAACCACGGCAGTACAATCAGCCAATAACCATAACGGATCCAGAACGTCTAGCATCATACGGACGCGCATGCATCAACTCACCCAGGTCAATTTCTTGAGGGCCAAGAAAAATTGTGAAAATTTTCTGACTGGCTGTGGTTGACGAGGGGCATTCTCTTGGCGTCGACGGATGACCAATCGGCAACTCAGGCTTTACCAAGACCATCTTAAGCATCGTGAAAAGAGGTTTTCATCAAGCAAACTATTCTAGCTGAGTTCAGATTTTCCCACGGTGCTCTCGCAAGCGAAAAACCTTCTTTTTATACGCGTACATCGATACATTGAAGAAAATTGCGACGTGCATTAGGTTGGACATATCAAATTACTATTCATACATTCAATACTCATGATCAATCAAACCGCGGGGTTCTCCTTTGTGTTTGAGTCTTGTACAATGCTCTCATGCTTCTCAACAATCAGGGCATACACGGCCCCAAGAGATGGACTATTGAGGGCAATCCGTTTCAGGACTTCACTTTCTGCAAACGCATCAGTATAGCCATACAACTTCAATACGAAGATGCATAGGTCTTGCTCTGCCGCCCAAATATCTGATTCTTCGAGGGGTTTTGATGCGAAGGCCTCTTCGAAAGGTGCTTGCTCTTCCAGGTTCCGCTTCATGTTCACCTGAAGCAAGTTAGCTAAGAGTGCTTCCTTGTACAAGAAGACTTGAATGATGTTTCTCAAGCAAGTAGATGAGATACCGCCGTTTGCCAATTGACCTAGAGGCGCATCTTCAGCAAAAACAGACGAAAAGCCATCGAAGGTGTTATCCGCGGAATGGACATTGTAGAACCCACGTAGCACGACTGACAACTCGAGGATTTTTGTTGCAACCAATGAAGCCATACCGTATAACAAAGCCACATAATCAGGAAGGTTGTTCGCCATTACCGGTGCCTGTGACAGACCATGATTAACTTCAGCCTCCGTCACCAATTCAAGAGACGTGCTCAAAATTCGGGTAAGATTCGCAACAAACTTTCGGTACCCTCTGAATTCTCGCTCAAGATCATATTTGGATTGAGAAGCAACTTCAACTTGACTCAATGATTCAATTCTCGAAAGCAAAAGAGAAAGCTCAAGATCGAGAGCATCACTTGTTGCCTGAATTAGATCAGGTGTGAGTCTCCCAATCATCTTTTTGTCCATTGCCTCAAATAATTCACGATTGAGCGTGTGCGGGAGTTTAGAATCAAAGTCACGAAGTTTGATGTCTTCACTGAGTATTTCGAGTTTTCGTAAATGGGGGGAAACCGCTAGAATCTTGGCGCTCACATTTGAGTTCTCTTCGAGGTCCCCAGGAATCTGATCGATCAACTGACGAGCACAATCATCAATGGCATCTCGAATTGCGCTGGGACACATGTCCGCTCCTGTCGGCGCAAAGAGTAGCCTAAAATACTCACGGTAACCTTCGATAATAGGGGCTTCGATGAAATATCGAACCAATTCAACGTTGATATCATTGTAGGTGGACATTTGATCCAACGCAGTCATTGTAGAGAAGATATTCCTCTCAGAATCAGAGCCAAGAATAAGCACCCATAATTTGATAAAGGACGGAACAAGCCCATTACGAATTGCGAATGTCGCCAAATCTTTTAAAACACCAGCCAATTGAGTTAAAGTGACATCGCTCAACTTATTTTTAGTCTTTTGTTTTGAATCATGAAGCAAATGAGCAAATTGGCCGTGGACCACATCCAATAAAATCCCCTTCTCTTCGCGATTGAGTTCCAAAGCTTGCAGAAGCATTTTGGAATTTTCCAACCCATCGACAACGATAGCCAGAGTGTCATAAAGAAGATACTCCACAATGCCCTGCCAATCACTATAACGTGCTCCGATAAATTCGTAGAGTTCAGGAGACTTCTTCAGAGAGGTCATTGCGTCACACAAGCACTTAAGCTCAACCACACGGTTCAAATCAAGCTTTCCAGTCTCTTCGCCATCCCAAGATACTTGATCACTGGTCCCATTCTCTAATGCAAGCAACAACTTCTCAATTTCATCCTTAGCCGCTTGATCGACGTAGATTTGGATGAAATTGGCCAATTCAGGACCAGAAGTAGTAAATTTAATTACCTTTTGAGCATCCTCAATCTCCATATACCCCAGCTGTAGTAATTCTGCTAATATGGCGACAACTTGAACTCTAACAGCAGTGGAAGGATCAACCTGGACCATTTGTAGAAATTGGGGGTAGAACCTATCGGTGAATTGACGGATACCCAGACCGAATTGAGTTTTATTAGCAAAGTGATACACCTTCGCCAAATATTTCGCAACTTCTGTTCTGACAGCGGATGTCGGATCCGAAATAAGCCAACCAAAATATTTTAAATAATTGGCATTATAGAATACCAGAGGAATGCTGACCACCAATTGTGCAAGTTGCTTGATACATTCAATCCGCACATTCAGATCCACATCCCGATATCTATTACCGATCGTAATAGCGGTAATGTCGTTGAAGTATTCATTAATCGTCTCCAATTGGAGTTGATATGTCAGTGCCAACTTTTCAAGCAGCGATTTACGACGACTTGTGGCTCGCTCAATTTGTGCAGAAACTTTCTTCAATGTGCGTTCTACTTGATGGTGGAGCGACGCCAATTCATCGACCACAGCGAGGAGAAGCAACGTCAGAGTGTATCTCAACAGTCGAATAACGGTCAGAGACAGCAGCCCAAGCCATGCGATTAGCAGCTTCATCAAAGACAGCTGGTGAGCAACGCCATCCTCATAGTCGTAAAGCAAGCCATTCTCATGGGCTTGGGATATAATCAGTTGGAAAAACAGCCGTTCGTTTTGTCGAAAAGCTGTTACGGCTTTAAAGGGAAATCGATGTTGAGTTTGCAGCGAGAAGCGCAAAGAAATTTCTTCAATTGTGATGGCAGCTTGCTCAATATCAAGCATATCATGTGGTTCAAAGTAGCACACAGCCCCGCACGATCTCAACACCATGTTCATCAATTCCAGGAGTGCCAGAGTCGCATCCTCTTCGTACTTCTCCAACCAGTCCGTTGCGACTTCTCCGGTATCAACATCAGGACTAGCAAGTGCTTCAAATAGAGCATTGGAGGGAAGCTTTTTCTCAAGGTCATCGAGATCATTGCCTGCAATCTTCTTGATCCGCTTATTAGTTCGCTTAGATTTTGCTTTCAGTGGGGCTCGACGCTTTCTTCCAACCGGTTTCAATTGAAACGCTTCGTCCAGATCACTTTCAGAAGACTCAGACGAGGAAGCATTAGACTCAATGTCATTCTCGGAGTCCGATTCAGAGCTCAGCTCAGCGTAGTTGACTTTCTTCGTCGCAGCCCTCCGTGCCATAATGATCGTATACGCGTCGCAGTGATAGACGCGACTGAGGTCACAACAAATGCTAACAAAGACATAACCTTCATAGCAATAAAATTTACGATCATACAGAATTCCATAAAGTGGTGTTAATGTTTGAATTGAGCTTCATGTCTTATTTAGATTGCAAAACTAAGTCCATGGTGGCTTTTGGGCCCCTGATTTGCCACGATTCTCGCAAGTCCTACATCACAATGCACCAACGAGAGTCTCACCTCAATGGAATTAAAGACAGTCGAGTCGAACATGAATATGCTGTGAATATACTTGTACGACTACCAATTTCTGTTCAAACTTGAATTATCTTTTTCAGCGAGTGAGTAGAAAAAATGCCGCTATTTGGAGGAGCACAAACGGAATCATGAACTACGCTCGAATATCAACCTACTAATCATTGAAATTTACTCCACAAATATCAATAGCAAACCTAGGAATCAACGTGGTTCATACACGACTACGTTATATTGAAGTGAAGGTCTGTAAGACAGTTAATCCTGCATGCAGCCGTCAACATTCGCACCCCGAAAATTTGTTGTTTTTCACTTCATCCACCAGTGTCGTCATGTCCACCCTGGAAGAGCCTCCCGTTGTCAATGGCCCTACTGCTGAAGTAAAGGCGGAAGAGGAGCAAAAAGACCCTGCGGATCTTGAGCGGGAGTTCCAGGAAAAGTCGAAGCAATACCTTGTTGAGCAAACCAGTCATGTGATCATCCCCCTGTTTGCTCAATGGTTTGATATCAATAAAGTTCACTCAATTGAGGAAAAGCTGTTCCCTGACTTCTTTCTGGAAAATGCCGTCAAGCTGCCTCACAAAACGCGTGATGTTTATGTGAACATGCGTGACTTTATCATAAATGTCTACCGTCTCAACCCGAAAGAGTATTTGAGCATCACAGCGGTACGGCGAAACCTCGCAGGCGATGTGACCACTATCATCAGAGTACATCAGTTCCTCGAAAAATGGGGTCTCATTAATTACCAAATTGACCCCCGAACCAAACCGCTGGTCGTCGGACCTCAATACACTGGGCACTTTCAGATAACCATGGACACTCCCACTGGATTGGTACCTATGATTCCCGGTGGTGATTCGAATAAGCGCGACAAAGCTGCATCCAAGCCCGTCAAGCATCAACCTCTCAACGTTGAGGTTCGGAAGAATATTTATACGACTGACAGTCGCAAACAATTTGCTCCCAACACAGTGGTGCAATACTTCTGCAATATGTGTGGCAAAGACACCACCGAGGTTCGTTACCACAATCTCAAAATCAAAACTTACTCTCATAATCCTTCACTGACGGTGAACAACACACTGGTACTTTGTACTGTTTGCTTTGATCAAGGACTTTTCCCCCAAAACTTCCAAACACTGGATTTTGTTCAACTTAAGAAAAACCAAGAAGCAGGTGATTGGACGGAGCATGAAGTTTTGTTGTTATTAGAAGGTATTGACATGTTTGCCACCTTTGATGCTCCGCCAGTGAATGGCAATGTTCCTGGTTCAATAACGAATCACACTCAGCAATGGGAAAAGATTGCTGAACATGTGGGTACAAAGAGCCGTGAACAATGTGTCTTGAAGTTCATTCAATTGCCCATTGAAGACAAGTACTTGAACAAATTGGTTCATGAGGATGAAGAAACGCTGTCACCACAAACTCCCCAAGTCGACGAAACTGTAATCCAAAAAGTGGTGAGACTGTTACTTGAATCAAATGAAGGAAAATCGATGCTCAAGGAAAACTCGGAACAACTCAAGAAGAATGCTGAAGATGATCAGCTGCAACTTGTTCAGCAGATTGCTGAATTGATGGTGGAAAAGGTTGATCTTAAATTGCAAAAAATCGACGCGTTGCAACTGTTAGTGATGCGTGTCGAAAATCAATTGAATATGGAACGCAAACAAGTTTTGATTGAAAGATGGGCTCAATTCGAAAAGGTTGAAAAGCTCAAGCAACAGCGACCAGATTTGGCTCTGGTTCTTGACGATTTGATGGCGCCGGTCAAAATTACTGAAATCAACAAAGCCTTACATCCTGTTCGTCTGGACGATGTTCTGGAGTCAGCAATGGACCTAGATGCTACGCCTGACGAAGAAAAGGAGAAATTGCCAGTTAGCGTTGTTTCTCCGAAAACGTACCAATATTGGAGCGGGTAATGATTATGTAATTAGTTGATGTCGAATAAAGAGGATGCTTTTATTGATGATGTAAGGTGTAGTAGGTTAGTCTAATTTAGACGAAATTCGAATTTCCCCTGGTGTAGCATGACAAAAGTCATCACGCTGTGATTTGCTTGTCCCCCTCAGGTTTCAATATTTGGCCGGGTGCAGAGTATTGCCCTTGGGGACCGACAATGATTGGAATGCTGGTCTGGGGTGCTGTGTGGAACTTCTGCTCAATCAAAGGTGCCTGAGCGAAATAGTCAGTTGGCGGCGAAGCCGCCCCTTGGAAGGGATCTTCTAATGCCAGAGATGGGCGCTCACATGGGGTTATGTTGCCGCGGCCACGACTGCTATTCAATTGTGAAACATGTTGAAACAGTGGCGACATGGGGATTGTCGTCAGTCCGTTAGACCGCGATCGAAGTCTGCTGGACAACCGCTTTTGAAGTTCATTGGTTGGCAGTTTCGATCGAAGGCTCAAAGATTTTCTGAATTCTTTGTTATTATCGAAGAGCGTCAGCTGAGAAGGCAGGAGCAACCCCATATCCTCACATAGCTGGCCATTAGCGCCGCGTTGCTGGCATTGCTTGTACAACTCGATGAATTTCTTGCGGTAATGGTAGGCAATGTCTTGTCGATATACTTTGATGAGCCCCGTTTGGTCAGTAGTGACGATGATGAGGCCTTGGTTGGTGATTGTCAGCAGTCTGTACCGCTGACCCTCACGACCCCGTGGCTGTAACAGGTTGAGACTATCAAAATTGCACATCGATCCACGCTTGTACAAATCGTAAATGATATCATCACTCAATTCCAATAGTTGTTTTGTTTTGCTTGGTGCAAATATTGCTGAGTTTACACGCAGATGGTGTGGATGAAACAGGGAATACAGCGAATTCTCATTGGCCATGTAATTGGGAGTCGAACCGGACTTTCCGTCACCAGTTTCACCATGCACGAGTTTCTTCACAAGACCATTATCCAGCACAAGCTTATCATAGAAGCGGTGTTGTCGCTGATGGCGATGATGAAGATGTTTACCTTCGAGTACCAATTCTTTGAGTGTTTGACGTATCTTGTTATTGACAATGGTATTGTCGTTGAGCCAAATATACACATAATGGTCCTCAGAACCAGAAATGATGTACTGGCTATCATCCGATGTCAGAGCGACAATGCTAGAGCTTTCATTGTGAAGACCACGGAATCTTGTGATCAATTTTCGATTGGTGACAAGCCGAACCTTTGAGTCATTCGTGGTAATCAAAAAGTTCCACTTTACTGCAGGGTCATCGGATTCAGTACTCACACCATTCGGTGGTGCAAAAATCTCAATACCCGTGATTTTGTTACCATTTCGATTGCCCATTTTAACGAGCAGCTTCTCCTTAATTTCAACTTGGGCAACTGTATGCAAACCTTTCGTTTCCGTCAAGACTAAAGTCCCGTTGAACCCCCCGATGATGATATTCTCTCCGTCTGGAGTGAAGCTGAGTGTAGTAATCATGATGTTATCGTCAAGGAAGCGTTCATAACTCACTGTCCCTTCAAGAATCAGCCATAGCATCAATTTGTTATCGATGGAACCCAGAGCGAAGAAGCGGTCATCAGTAGGATGAAACTTGACCGCAGTCACGAAGTCTTGAAGCTGGAATGTTTGCAAACACTTGGATCTTTCGACATGCCATAATTTAGTAGTTTTATCCATGGAACCAGTAAGTAAGAAATTGTTTTTTGACCAGTCCAATGAAATGATCAGCTCTGTGTGCCCGCGGAATTGAGCCACTGGCGTTGAGTGGAAGACAGGCGCCGAAACGTACATCGGCATTTCACGACTGGGGAGATTCAAATAGCTAGCGCTATTGTTACGGTGTTCCAAACGAGCTAACGGGGACAGCAACACCTTCCAGACTCGCACAACATGATCACGACCAGCTGCAGCGAGATATTGACCATCTTTACTGAATGCCATCACTAAGTTCTCATTTGGGTGTTCCAACTCCATCTCATCGCTACCACTCATCAGCCGGAATGACAGAGCCTCCAGTGGCAGCTCAAAAGGTTTGGCCACCTCGGAATTGAGCTCTTGGGCCAAAAAAAGATCTGGAATCCTAGGCAGATGTTTATGGCGACGATGAACTTTGACATAATTGGGGAACATGAAGTGTTCGTACGTAATTCCTGCGACTGGACTGTCGGCCCCACTAACGTTGTTCATAGTTGAGTGATCCAAAGATGGGAACTTCACAGTCTCGTGAGCATGATGGTAATCGAATGCACGTTCACCTTGATGGATTGACGACGCTGCCAGCTCATCACCCAGCAGATTTTCATATAACAGCTGATCGTCTTGATCTAGAATCAACTTAGACCTCTGCAGGTTAGATCGCTTTAACAGTGTGCTTCGCCTTCGGCTAGGACTCCTCTTGATAGACATCAGTCGACGGATCTGGGATCCCAATGCCGAACTTATCAGGTTCAGCTTCGGGAGAGATGGCCGCTGAGGTTCCGGAACGGCCTTTGATTTGTCCTTCCTATGTAGAAACCTGCTGAATATATTGGGCGACATCTTTGGATATGGTCAAACCCTATAAACTAGGCACGGAAGTTGGTGTAGACACAACAGGCAATTGGGGGTGAAGGCAAGTGGTATGGTCAAATGTGTTGTTCGCTCAGTATTTCAACAGGCGTGTTGTGGTTCCTTGCAGATTTGGTGACTAACGTTTATTTAATGTGTGCTTGAGGCTTTTTTCAGAGGCTTGAGATTCTGGAGTCACCCCCGCTGCTTGCGTTTTTGGGTTGCTAAAATACTACGAAAAGCAGAAGTGACCCGTTAACTTTGCGGCATCTTTAGTCATCATCTAGCCCGGGTCTCTGAATACGATAAAAGCCCACAACCAAGAACAACCCTCCACAGTTGAAACGGAGATGTCGCGCAGATCGGGCCGGAACTGTCGGTGCCCCGAAGACACAAGCTATAGTGGGACTAGACCCGCCGGGCGTAAACCCAAAACGGCAATATGCGTAACCAATCAAATCGGCGCGATGGCTATATGTTGACAACTTTAGATGGCTAAAGAAGCCAGCCTACGATGTGGAGACATTACCCGTGCCACCCCTGACGTGTTTGACACCTCCAATATTCTTCAACCAACTGAACATACCTTGCCGACGTAGCAGGGACTTGTGTTGCGACTGTTTAAGGGATGTGTCTGCGGAAAACCCTTAGCTTGTGCAAATGGTGTAACAAAAGCGATAAAATGACCCGTCAATTACTCGGCTATTGCTTTTCTATCTTCTCGTAGGCGAGTCGCTTAGTCGTCACTGCACAAGAGGCGGGGGTTGTGTGGCGCTACCATGACCTCATCGACATTTCGGGAAAAACAAATAATTTGAAACCATTAACAACATGTCTGACACTGAAGACGTGCAAGCGCCCCGGAGCCCCGTGGTAGAAGACGCCAATCCCTCTAATGCCACCCTGTCTCGGGACAAGGCTACTGGGAAGGTGTTCATTCGCCCCGTCGGCTTCAATGTGCGTTACGAAGATGTTGAAGACCACTTCGGTCCCCTTGGTAAGATTGCTAACATCCAATTGATGAGAGGGTATGGCTTTGTTACTTTTGAACTGCCCGAAGATGCCGCTGCAGCCGTTGAAAAGTTGAATGACCTGGATTTCATGGGTGAGCGTCTTGTGGTGGAAGCTGCGCAACCCCCTAAGGAGGACACTCGTGGCAAGTTCCGGGTGAAGGTCAAAGGTCTTCCCGAAGGTACTGCGTGGCAAGACTTCAAGGACTTTGTCAGGGAACGTACTCTGTTGGACCCCCAATTCGTCAAGGTTTTCCGCGATTACGACCTGAATGAGTTTTTGGGTGCCATCGAATTCGCTCTGACTGAAGATTTGGAAAGCGCCATTCCTCAATTGGACAAGGCCGACTTCAACGGTGCCGAAATTAGCGCTGAGATCGACGACTCGCCCTATGTTCCTCCCAGAGGTGGTCGTGGTGGTCGCGGCGGGTTCAGAGGTCGTGGTGGATTCAGAGGTGACCGTGGTGGCTACAGAGGCCGCGGTGGTTTCCGTGGTGGTCGCGGTGGCGGCGACCGTGACAGAGGTTACGACAGAGGTTACGACAGAGGCGACCGTGGTGACCGTGGCGGGTACGACCGTGGGTACGACCGTGGTGGGTATGACCGTGGCGACCGTGGCGACCGTGGTGGCCGCGGCGGCTACCGCGACGACTATGGTTCCAGAGACCGTTATGACAATGAACCCCGGGATGGCGGCTATGAGCGTGACCGGTCGCCCACGAGATATTAAGGATAGCAGTGTAATATTGGTTACGAAATTTATTAGGAGCACCGGATTCCCGAAGATCCGCTACAAATTCCGACCGGAAAGACCGAGGAAAAGTGGCTATTGGATTTTACCTAGACTTAGCCCCCATATCGAGTGGACACTAACCCCCAAACTGTAACCTGAGCGTGTTCAAATATCTCCCACTAGGTTACCTGTGCGTTTTGAGACATTGTCATTGATGGCGTAGATTAGGGATATGATGGCATACACGTCAATCTGTTCCCGTAGTAGTTTCGTAGGCACGTAATTTTGTTCGCTTGTCCACACCTCTTTTGTGATCAATCGTGTTTTCGTGCATAAGTCGCATGTTCGTCGTTCACTACGGTCCAGAGAAATTGCAAGAGATCAAGGTGTTCCATTATGATCCTAGCGTTAAACACCTGATCGTTTGTATCCATGGTGGTGCTTGGCGAGATCCCCTAAATACCTACAATGACTGGGAGACCCTCGCCTCCATGGCTAACGAGAAAGCGGTGAACGTGTTTGGTGTCAACTATCGATTGTCGCCAGAGGTAAAGCACCCCACCCATTTGAAGGACGTTAATGCGGCCTTGGAGATGATCATCAGAGACTATCCCAGTGAAAACCTAGGTTTAGTTGGCCATTCGGTGGGAGCAACTATCGCCCTCCAAATGCTTGATTTTGAAAACATCACTGGCCTACCCACACAGGTAAATGTAAACAAGGTGTATCTTTTGGATGGTATCTATGACATCCCCGATCTTGTCCTCGAGTATCCATCGTATATCAGTTTTGTTGGCGAAGCATTCTCCAGTGATACCGAATGGCGACAAGCGACTCAAGTGACGAACGGATCAGACATCAGTCAATTAGATATCGTCATCATATACTCAGAAGACGATGAGCTTCTTCTGGAACGACAAACTTTAAAGCTTATGGCAGTGCTCGATAAGCAGAATGTCACCTACAAATACCACCATGGTCATTGGGGCAAACACGAAGAAATGTACCGCAACCCGAGTGTTTGTAACATGATCATAAAGAATCTGATAGAATAATCTAGCTATTCGATATAGTATACGTTTTTCGCTATGGTCATCGCTTTGCCACCCCACCGTCACTCCCTGCAGTCCGCCAGACGCGAACTGAAAATCTTCTCGATGAACACCTTCAACCATGTCTACGAGTGTATTGGGCTCTTGGGCCGACGCCGAAGGCGAATTTTCGGCTCCCGATGTCACAGTGAACCCTGATGGTACTAAGACCGTGGTGACCTACCGTTTGAACCAAGACGGCAAGAAAGTGAAGGTCACCCAGCGCATCCGTGAAGTTAAAGTGCAAGAAAAGGTCCACCCTTTGATTGCCCTCCGCAAGAACTGGAAGAAGTACGGTAAGGAAAAGAACCTGCCTCCTGGTCCCGACACCTCGACCACCCAAATCGGTGAAAAGGTTGAGTTGAAGTTGGGTACTTCGTGGAAGGAGACCGAGAAGGCCGCCGAAGAGGAAAAGCAACAGGACGCCCAAAAGGTGGTTCGGAACAGTATTCAATGTCGTACTTGTGGTGGGGACCATTTCACCGCTCAATGTCCTTTCAAGGAAACCCTTGGCGCCTCGCAACCTCAGAAGGAAGCCGAAGCTGGCGACATCCCTGTCTCTGGTTCTGGCAAGTACGTGCCCCGTCACTTGCGTGCTGACGCTAACGGCAACTTGCCTTCTCGCGATCGCGACGACTCTACTACGTTGAAGATCTCCCAACTTAATACTTTTGTCGACGAAGACATGATGCGCAACGAATTGTTAGCTCGTTTTGGCCCTCTCCAGCGTGTTACCATTGTCCGGAACAAGGAAACCGGGGAATCAAAGGGGTTCGCTTACGTGGCCTTTGCTACCGAAGAATTGGCTCAAGCCGCTTTGGATCAATTAAATGGCAAGGGTTACCACTCGTTGATTTTGCATTTGGAATGGCTGAAGAAGAGAAAGCAGTAAGTATGTATTATAGTACACAAACTATGGGATCAACACGCCACAAAATGTAAGTTTATATATATTTTTTAAACAACACAAACGACGCCACCTACTACTACGTGGGAACACCGAGGAACGGCTTTAACACAAAAAACATGAAATTATACAACATTAATATATAAAAAAATTAAGTAAGAAATACATAACATACAACACAGACTTCGCCAGACAAAATGCTGTCAGCAAATTAACGCTGTTGTATGCTTCAGCTGAAAATCTTCTTGAGAATACGCGAGAAACGACTCTTCTTCTTCTCAGGTTCTTTAGAAGTTTTCTTGGCGGTGGAAGCAGTAGGCTTCTTAGCGGCAGCCGCGGCGGGCTTTTTGGTAGTCGAAGCTTGCTGCGTGGCCTTACCTTCACTGGCGGTCTTAGACCCTTCAGCAGTCTTCGAGGCAGTCTTTCCTTCGACAGGCTTGTCGGTATCCTTGTCGACGACGATAGTCTTGGCGTGTTCGGCATCAGCAGCGGCAGAGGTGTCTTTCGCGGTAGCTTCAGCTTCCAAAATCCCAGCAATTTCAGGGTTGGGGGTGAATTCTTCAAGAACCACATCCTTTCCTTCCTTCGCCTGGATTTCCTTCTCAATTTGTTTACGAGAAGCGGTACCGTCAGCAACCACGATTTCCTCTTCGACGGTCGAAGGTTCAACCTTTGAAGGGGCCTCACCGTCTTTCAACAACGTAGGCTCCGATCCCTTGGGGTCCAAAGTCTTGGGCCGTTCAACATCATTGACGGTAGGTTCAGGAACAGCATAGACGTCATCGTTCTTAAGGTCGTGAGCATCAGGAGCATTGAAACCACGTTCAGTGATGGGGCCATCAGTGTGGGCGTCCTTCTTCGAGACTTCATTAGCGGGAGCAGACGACTTTTCTTGGGCGACGTTGGGAATAGCAGATTCGTTTTCGTTGACGGGCACAATCGATTCGTCCGTCTTGGGCACAACAGCTTCAGTTTCCTTCAAGTTCGCCTTAGGTTCGGTAGTGGAGAGATCTTGCTTCTCCGCCGAGACAACAGGGAGAGGGACAGGGTTAACGCCATCGACATTGTGGTGAGCAACATCCTTGGCATCGGTAGCCGACGACGCACCAAGCTTCAGAGAGTCGTGGAGTTCACGAGATTCCCCAGGTTCCAGGTCCTTGGGTTCAGGGGTGATGAAATCTCCGGAGGTACCTCCAGCAACATTCAAAACTTCTCTGGCTTCACCAGTTGATTCATCGAGAACTTCATTGGCCTCGCCAGCGACCAAAGTTTTGGTGACAAAAGCGCCATCGTTAGTAATGATAGCTTGCTTCGATTCAGCAATGACCACCGCATCAGCACCCAAACCTTCAACACCCTTGTCCAAGTCAGAACCGTAAACAGCTTGCTTCGATTCAGGGTGGGACAAGTCCGAGCCAAAAACAGCCAGCTTGTCCTGTACATCGTTGCCCTGCAACTTGTTGTCATCGTAACCACCGGCAGATTGAAGGTAAGGATCGGTAGTAAAGGCTTTATCAGGGTGAGGTTGAGCATTAGTTTCCTTGACATCTTGAGCTAATTCACGCTTATCTTCAGCGACTCTAGGACCATCAGGGTGAGCCGCTTCATGGGGGAGACCAGTACCGACAATGGCATCCTTGTGTTGAGCGCCCGTCGAGGTGTTGGTGTGAGAGTGGGGGTGGGAATCGCCCACCAACAATTCCTCAAGGTGGTCGCCTTCTTGCTCGACGTTGTGGTTCTTTTCGGCAGCTCTCAAACCAGGGTCGTTTGCAGAAGTAATGGGTTGAGTGACACCAGAAACGTCGACCGTACCGGGGGAAAGTTCGTCCCCGTGCAATTGACGTTCTATGTGTTCACCAACATTTTCAACGTGGTGCTTGTCATGAGGAGCTTCGAGGAAGGGGTCGGCGGTGAAAGCCTTGTCAGGGTGAGGCTCAGCGTTGATTTCCTTGACATCTTGAGCAAGTTCACGCTTATCTTCGGCGACTCTGGGACCGTCGGGGTGGTGGAGAGCTCCACCAGCAACAAGACCTTCCTCAGGTTCAGGCGACGAGTCCAGAGTAGTGTTAGTGGCAGCAGCATCCCTCAACTTCTTCTTGCGCTTGTATTGCGTACGCTTGACCTTCTTCTTTTGTTTCTTTTTTTCTTCAGGAGTCAATTCGCGGGTGACATCGCCAGCCAAACCCTGAGGCTGGTTGAGGGTGGCGGGGTCAACATCACGAACAGTTTCGAACGCCTTGAGTTGGTCACCTTGAGGGATAGCCACACCCGTAACGTTGTTAGACGGTTCGGGTTGGTTGAGAGTGGCGGGGTCGACATGACGAACGTTCTCAAAAGCCTTAAGCTGGTCACCTTGAGGGATGACTACACCCGGTTCACCGAGAGTTTGTTGTCTCAAAGGTTCGACGGGCATGACAGTGGCCTTGAGGTCCTTGTCATCCAGATGGGTCGCGTGTTGAGCAGCGGCACCGCCGAAAATAAGGCCACCGGCTTCAGGAATACGGCTGCCAATTGACTTGTGAGCGTCCGATCCGGGCGCATCGCCTTGGGACACCGCGCTCTTCGATTGCTCCTTGTCCGAAGCAGCGCCGCCGAAAGCTAGCCCACCGGCTTCGGGAATGCGGGAACCCGAGGCAGAACTGTCGACGAGGTCGGAGGATTCAATATAGTTGTTGTCGATACCGTGTTCGTCGCGGCACACCCGTTGAGTGGGCAGAACCAACCACTCACCGTCGACAATGTACTTGTACATAATCTTGTCCTGGGCCTTGAGGGGAACAGTCACTTCGAACAGGCCGTCGGGCAATTGCACCAACGGCATAGTCTTTTGCCAATTATCAAACGTCCCCGTGACAATAACATCCTGAGGACCCGCAGGCCTATAACGGTTAGTATATTATGGTTCGTACCCGATACAGCGAAGCTGAAATCGAGCTCCGGGCGAGCAAAAAGCGGACGGCGGGTTCCCATAAACGCCGCAACAGTCAAACCGGCTCATTGGCCCCACCACAGAGTCACATACCATTTAAACGTGTATTGTTCGACCATGGCACTTGTATGGGGGAATTAAAAATTCGCACAACCCAAATATGGCTCTGCTGGGTGCGACTTCCATGCCGGAGGCTTGCTATACGCAGTTCGTATCAAAATTGATGGTCGAATTGTGGGAATAGGAACGGGTATTGTTATTGAAAAAATCGAACGGCATAATTGCACTTGTACCAGGGGGAGGCGTTTGTTGTATTTGGGGGCAAATTACACGAAAACTAACCAAGCTGTTGAACGAACCGTTCTCGTGTTCCACTGCGTGGTGGTGGTCGAGACATTGCTACTGCACTTAGGGTTAGCGTGACACGAACTAAATTGAGCCAGCCATTTGGGTGGGGTTTGGAGGGGGTCCGAACGTACGAGGCGGTGCGATACGCAATAACGGTGGGGTAATATAAAGTTAAACCCCCGCGTGGCTGTGTAAAAGGCCGCCGTTACTTGTTTGTCTCGGTTGACTACGACTAATGTTATGGGTGCTGAGGGCTCGAGGCCTCTGTCGCGGAGCTCGCTGACATTACGGGGCCACGAATATCCGCAATTTCTAGATATGTAGCCCTGGCTATGCACCCTATTCATGTTTTGGTTGTGAACCCGCGGCTACGGCTCAGCTCGGAAGATGGTCCATGATGTCATTATTCATTCGCTACGTCTCGTCGTCGAAGTTGTCAAGTGCAACTAGTTCAGCACAATAGTGTACTTCGGTTTGGTCAGATCGCCGAAGTACAGGAGCATAACAGGCAATAACACGAGAGCATGCAACAGCGCTATTAGTATCAACAGTGCCCACATGCGGAAATAGTAGACTTCAAAAATCTGCAGACGGGTGAATGCCAACACCCCTATGCCGATGATTTTCGTGGTGGTGATCCCCAGTAACACCAGCGGGCCGATAGTCGTGAGTGCCTGATATGCTTTGAGCTGGTTCACTCCGGCTTTAGGGTCATCAATAATACCCGTAGACACTAAGTCGCGGTACAACAGCGCCTCGTCGGAGTCGTACACGACCGACGTTGTGTAAGCTCGAGTTAAGTGAATGCAGAATTCCACGGCAAGACCAGCACAGATAATTAGATTCACAAGCGATACGGCGTTCAACAGAATCCCACATATCGCCATGGCTCCGCCAACACCTACAATGATCATTACCACGACAGCAACCATAACCAGCACCAGAGATACTGAACCAATGGTGATAACGCCGACACCCCAGATTAGGATGGCCGCCACTGAAAGTAATACCAGCGTGAGCTTAACGATGGTATCATATTGGACGAAGTAGATGTAGAACGGACTGTATGCAAACACGTCCAACAGTGGGTGGTAGTCGCTAACTTCTTTAACGATTCTTTTGGCGTTGCGATGGGCAACAATAAAGTCAGACTGCAGTCGAAGCGGCGTATGGAACGTGCGGAAAAACAGCAGTTCTACGCCCAGCAGGTTCCAGTTGATGGCTCCCGAATATGGAGCAGCACCACCCAAGGGACATGGGTCACTGGGAGCGGAAATCCACGCCTCAAAGTAATGCATGAACTCATGACCTTGAGGGAATCCATTCATAAACAGATCGTATGTCTTGTCGTGATAGCACACTTCACATTGTCGAGGCAGAGCAGAAGGCGGGCAAAATTCATCGGGATTGGTTTTGCGAACTCGACAACACTGATCCAAGGTGGGGTTGAGCCAACCAAGGTAATCGTCAACCCAGTTCGACGCGGGCTGGGCAATGGTCAGCTTTTTACTTCTCTTATACTCCATTTCAAGCACGTTGGCGACCAGAAATTCGTCACAGCCCGAGAACTTGCCACAGAGCTGCTTTTGAATCAGGCGTTTGGTTACATCGGCGTCACGAACCACCAAAAACATAGGCGGACCCTGGTTAAGATGCTCGTAAACCGCATTGAAATATGGAACGAGATACAGATTAGATGGAAGAGCAAGACGCTGGTCAAGTCCCAATTCGATATAGGGTAGCAACAGAAGCAGAATACCAAACCAAACCACAAATAGAGTTGCGATCTTTGGTTTGTTAGTCGGATCAAGTAACCAGGGGGCAAACTCCTTCTTGAACCATTTAGAAAGGGACCACGATTCTTTAGGAGTTCCCTGAGGCGAGTTGAGCTGGATCGGTGCATGCTTCCAAAAGAACACGTCCATACGATTCAGCTGGACTCGCTGTTGATCAAGTGAGAGTAACAGAACCAAGCCTGTCATTTGGATCGTGAAGTTGATTGCGATGGCACAAGCACTGTAGATTGCAAAGTTACGCACTGCAGGCATGTCAACTGCAGTGGCAAGGGCAAACAAAGCTATTTGAATCAACGCCAGCGTTGCACACAGAGGTCCCACTCGTGCTAGCATCTTCCCCACGCGCTTTTCCATTGAATCGTGGGGGAACTGCCCGCTAATCAGTTCTAACCCATCAACCAACAAAAATACGTTGTCAACGCCAATGGCTAAAATAAGGAAAGGTATAACTTCGGCAATGATGAGCGTCAGCTTGATTCCAAAGAACGCACACAACCCTGCCAGCGCTAAAACCAGAAGAATAATAATCACAACTGCAGCAAGTGCAAGCGAGATGCGCGTGTGAACAAAGTCATTCTCGGTTTTGGGAATATGGCCACCCAATGCAAAAGCCACGTATATGAACATTGCCAAGTACAGCATAGCAACGATATTGAAATCAGTGTTCAGCAGCTTGTTGAGCTCAGTCTCAAGACTTGCTTCGGTAGAATAGGCAATGTTGAGACGGGGATGGTGAAGTTTGGACACCCATTTCAAAAGTTCTCGTTCGTAACGTTCAGCCTTAGCAGTGTATTTCGAATTGGTAGAATTGGAATTCACCAATAATGTAATAACAAAACCTTTAGCTTCAGTAGGATCATCATCATCGAATAATAATTGAGGCGATAATGGTTGCTGAAAGGAAGGTAAACACTCAACTGGCAGCCTTGCACATTTCCGCAACAGTGTTGACCACGTTTCACGGCTCAATCGATCGATATCGCCATCAAACCATTGGGTGAACAGTTCAACAGCACAAGAGTCGCCTAACGGCTTATAACACAATTCGTCATAGTCGTCATTTAAAGAGAGCAACTCTTTTTCCCGTTGGAACCACCACTTGACCACGTCCCAATCAAGAACAGGCTTCTTGTCATTGCTGCTAACTATGATTTGCTCAATTCGGAACCATTCTCCAAATTGCGATTCGAAGTACTGCTTATTGTGAAGTTCAGTTTCACGGTTCAGTACCCATAATTTGATGGGATCATGTTCAAGTTGAAGCTTCCACAAACCCAGTGCAAATATCAAGCACAAGATCAAGTTTGTCACGATCACTTTCACAGGTTGTTGAGCACAGAATTGACCGAGCCTTGCAAACGAGTTCTCAAATGACTCCAACATTTGCTGCTGAACTTTCAGAAGTTTCGCCAAAAATGAGTTGGAGTTATAACTCAAGGGCAGAATTTCAAGGTCACCATCGTCATCGTCGAGTCCAATCAGACGCGTCTTGGCTAAATAAATGTGATATCCTGCCAAAACTCCCAAAAGACAGATCCATGTTATGGCTATGGCGAATGAGAAGCACGGAAGACTACCCACGGTACAGTGCTTGCGGTAGTTATGAAATTTTGGAAGCTTGGGGCACAGTTTCGGACAATCGGTACATGCACAACGATAGTCCTTGTCGTCACACAGCTTCATATCGCTCTTTTCACCTCTGAGGAGGTAACCATCTTCTGGTGAGTACTTGAAGTTTATTTGGAATGGCAGACCCCCCAACATCGGCTTCTCATCACCAATGAATTTCAAGAACTGCAGGTAGTTTTTGGCACCACCACCAATGAGGTCCATTGCTCTGCCATTGGTAGCACCAAACTTCACCTCTTTGCAACTGTCATAGAACTTTTCTGCGTAATCTGGGTTCACAAATTGATCAAGCTCAGTAATGATTTCCTCGTGCTTGTCAATGGAAGTTTCTGTATTGACAACTTTAATAAACTCTCCTTGCTTACGTGAACAGGTGAATTGACAAATGAAATCGTAAAAGTTCTTATGGCATGCTGGACACAGCTGGATAATTGGATCCACTTTCTTCAATTGCTTCTCCAACGACTGGACTTGGGAGGGCAGACAGCACACAAGATCCGTATCAAATTCTTCTCCGCAAATTGCTTTGATTTTGGTGGCGACCTCGGGGTCGGGTTTGACTGGCGGGTGAGGTGCAGCACACGGGAGCGATTGGCCAAACACCAGCTTCTTCCCGCAATCATCGTACATAGCACACTGCCCCAGAATCAAGGCACTGGCCAACGATGCCACCAGAAGCAATGATATCAATGGTCTCATTGTGTGGTGTCAATATTTAGCGAGGATTGAGATTGGAACGGCTAGTGCATATATAGGTTGCGGCGTGCGAGGATCGGACAACGAATTGAGGGGAATTGCATATTTAGCCAAGGCGGTGACGAAGTAATGAGAGAAACAAACGGACGTATATTATCAGGCAAAAGAAACCTCGAACATCTCACCGTGTGTACAGCGTAATGTATTGGCTACATTTGCCACTTTCAACCCAAAACTAAGACTCGTGCGATGTATCATACGATGGCATATCAAGGTTCGCGCTTATAATTCGTACGATGAAAATGATCATATTTACGAATTGAAGAACATGCATCATTCGCTATTCTCATGTTTGCATGCTTTTTATAAACTCCAAAAGGCGCCGCTCCTGTTCCGTTTCCTGGAGCTTCCCGCCCTTCATCTCATTGGCAACGTCATCGAGACATTCAGTTATCACCTGTGATACTACTGGAATGTGAACTTCTCCCGGCAAGGTAAGTTCCCTCGGAATAAACTCTCCATACTGAGCCACCCATTGTTTCCGCCGCTGTATCTCCTCCTCATGCATTTGGTGCAAGTCCTCGTTAAGGAAACGCGAGATCTTGTCAAGAAATGCTCTGGGATATTGGTACTTTTCACGGTAAAGCTCAACAAAGTACTTCGTCTTGTAGATATTGTAGAAATTGGTGTAGTAATACTCGAGTTGCGATATCACATCAGCATATTGTTGTAGCGGGGAGATGGTTATCCCCTCTCTGTCTAGACTAGTATTAGATAGTCTAGTTTCAACCGCTTTGAAAATGGCAGCTAATTTAATGATTGAGACTTTGATTTGGCGACATTGTTGGAGGTTGGCGTTGATTCCCTGAATCAAGTCGTCAACAAAACTCAAGTTGCTTTCTCCTGATTTCGTCGCTCGATCGTGATTCGTCGAAATAATTGTAACCATCTGTCTGACCTCCGTTAAAACCTCAGGAAGTTCAAATGCGTCCTGACGCAAAATCGCCATATCGGCTTCATTAGTGTCGCGATCATGTACGGCTTGAGCACACTGGTCGAAGTGATTGGTGAGCATACTGAGCAACAGCAGGAGTTTGTGTTCTAACGAGGAATTTTCTTCGAGAAGTTGAGTATACTTGTTGGTGTTGCTACCCCACTCGTGCGCTAAAAGATTTAACTTTTCCAAATGTTTAGCTAGACGAATAAAGTCTTTCTTTACCCGCTTAAGTTCGTCCGTTGCCACGAGAACCTCCCGATCAAGATAATCAATAAGCGAACTTGCATTCTGTTTATAAATGCCGATGTTCTCTTTCAAAAGCATGATAGCGTCCACTGAAATGAAATCCGCTAGGTTCTTGTAATCCTCTGCACTAAACTCTGGTGTGTTTGCAATCTCAGCACTGATCAAGTCTTTTGGAACGGGTGTTTCCTTGAGGGTAGCGTATATCAAATTGAGTTTGGTGAGTGCCGGCTCCACCAATTTGTCATACTCTTCAGTGAATTTCGAACGGGTCACTTTAGCTTTGTCCTCAATGCCGTCAACGATTGTGGTCAATAGTCGTTGCTGTCGTTGTAAGGTACGTTGAGCTGTGATCGCTATCTCAAGTTTTGACGGAAATTGCCTCCTCAACACTTCTCCGGTAGAATCAAGATGTGTTTGAGCCTGCTTGCAAAGCTCTTGGGCCTCATGAAGCGTCTCCTCTGCCTGGTCAGCCAACCGTTGGATCTCACTCATTCGCACTATTTGGAAGGAGCCAACACGCCTGACTTCAAGTCTTACTAAGACCTACTCCACGATTGATATAATATAAAATCACGATACTTTCAATTATCCATGGCTATAGCTGACTGAGAATTCTGTAAAAGTAAATTGTCTCTTATATCAATATTCTCCATTGTCACCCTCACTTCTCGTTCTGAAAAACTCACCTCCTTGTTATGGCTACACTCACACCATTGGAGGAATGTCTCGAGCTTCTATATGAATACCTGGGAAATTTCCGAGTCCTGATTGACTTGGTACAAAAATTGGCTCAACAGCTTAAGCTTGAAACCTTCGTGGACAAGCAGGGAATTGACCTCCCTCAAGTGGCAGCAGTGAAGGCTACAGAAGTGAAAACGGTAAAACTTACCATTGCCGGTACCACTATCATGATTGATATTGACTTCTCCAGTGATAGACAAGTTGCTAATGTGGTTTTATCTCTGGCAAATCAGAGCGAAAACACTTGCAAGCCCGATACCCATACACTTGATTTTATGACTCGATCCGAGAGCGATATAACCATTGACTGGTCGAAAAATGAATTGAGCTTCCTCAAACAGGTCGATAATGATCAACAAGTCACTATTGCCGAATCCATTATCAAGAGCAACCTCATGGGTGACCGCCTAGGTTACTTTCCGGAGAATTTAAAATTTCTTGCCAACATTGATCAGCTTCTGCTGCCTAATTGCGATCTATTCATATACTTGGAACGGATGGCTCTCATACTTCGAGCGCTCGAGTCGGTTGAAGAAGCTTCTGAACCGTGGCTTCTACCATATGTCTCAGCTGTCGGCAGGTCACAATTGAACAGTACTGACACAAAGCAATTGGGTCTCTTTATTGATTACTGGCAAGACAATCGTTACATCAACCACATGAATGGCGGATCCGATCCAGTTCATTATTTGATGGTAAGTATCGTCCCCACTAATGGACCTCAGCATGACTATCTTAATGAGGCAAAAACCTGGACATTGACTAAAGGCGAGTTTAGCCTCAATTTTGAGTCCACTAGTAGCACTGCCGCAAGCTCATGGGTTTTGAAGGTAAAACTTTCACATCCGTGCTACATGCCGCAAAGCATACTTGACTTTCATGGCTGGGCCTACGAATCTGCATCACAAAAGAAATCAAAGAGTGACAAGTTATATGCCTTACTCAACCAAGGCTCAGTGTCGCTTGCTAAGGGTCAAATAGCATACTCAATCCGAAGTCTGCCACACTTGGGGAAGTGGGTGCTCGTGGATCTGATCATTCCCTCAAAATTTAATGACATTACCAAAATCATTTTATCCTTACGCAACCTAAGCATACTTACCAACGTCCTTGTGGAAAGCTATGTGACACTGTCGAAGCCACAAGTAATCCCTGCTCGACGGAGATCCCGTGGGAGTATGATGGGCGAAGAGATGTCCGAGGAAACGAAAAAGAAGTTGAGAGACTCATTGCAGCTTCCGCCCGATGTCACTGATGATGAATTGCTTGGCCTCAACGCAATGAACGACCTGTCCACTTTACGTAGTGTGGACATGTCGGCAGACATTGCCGTTGATGACTTCTTGAATGATACATCGTCTTTACACGAAAATGCCGAGAAGCTAGATGTCTTCATAGAAGACATTGATTTCATTCTGCCATTCGGCGACATTATGACCAAGATCTCGGGCAACTTCGGCCCTCATGTAATTCGGAAGCAATTTCGTATCTCAAACGGTGTGTTTTCCACGAAGTCCTCGGAAGCAGACATGGAAGTGGATTCGCTGTCTCTGGAAAAACGATTAGCGAAAGGGTTGAATGTTACCGAAGATTTATGGCAAACTCTTGAGCATGTGTATATCAAACTGGAATGAATGGACCTAAGCCGTTAGTAGTACATTGTGTGCGTCCGAGGCTGTCACCGCGGTTACAATTTGAGCCCCTCTTTTTGCGGGGCTCAGAACTGGCACGTGATTTTTCGGTGAGCACTACATCATTAACAGTACCCCACATTGAGATTCAATTGTCGACGAAATTATGCCTCTGGCAATTGAACCAGTTGGGCTGTCGACAGTGGCCAATGTGGCATTTATCACTGATCCAAGCCTCGTCAATGTTACCGACACCGTCGAAATCAGTGGCGACATTTTCGCTCGACTTTTTCCTGAAGAACTGAGTGACGACAAATATCTTTTGATCAAACTCTTGGGATCGGAATGCTTTGACCTGGCAAAGATTTACCGTGTGGGTGGTATTGATGATGCTCTGCATAATCTCGTTCGTTTCGTCAATCACCAAATCTGTGATGGATACACTCTGGACCAATTGACCATCAACAAGGTACGCGTTGATGCCATCAAACAGAGCGACATCCCATCATTAGACCAGATTTACGTTGAGGTTCCGCCGAACATCTACGACATATTACAAGCGAAACCTCAGGACTCATTGCGAAAGCAATTTGGTCAGTTCCTCGCCCCCAGTGGTGGTATTGTCAACGATCAGGATTTGATCAGACTTATCAATGGTCAAGTTCGGCTTTGCGAACCGGTTTCCCAAGGTCGTGTAACAAATAACACCACAATTGTGTTGATCAAGAGCAAGGAGCCAATGCCGACCCCCGATGAGGGAGAAGTGGAAGAAGTTGACATGGATATGCTGGCGTACATGAAGAGTAGTTCCATGTGGAAGAAGGAAGCCACACAATCGAAGTCGTTTACTTTGCGCCCATTATCAAAGCGTTTGCTGGTTGAAGGACTCCCGTCTGATCAGTTGAAAGAGGATCAAGAATTGTTCGTATTCATTTGCTCGAGCGATTACATCACCTTAGGTTTCCCGGTATTCAATGGCGATCTTGTGAAATTGGTCCATGGTGACAAGCATCTTGTGGTTAAACTCTTCACCCTCACTGAACCAAATCATTTTGAGAGTGGTTGTTTATACGTTCTGCCATTACTTCTTGTAAATTGGGGTATCAACTCTGAGGGGGAACGGGTTAAGCTTGAACAGTTTTCCGAGCCGAGTCAAACCCTTGCACAAGTGTTGCCCGTCGCTGATTCGGTGATCATCAGTCGTGTCGCTTCACAAATCACCATGGATCGCACATACCAAAACAACTTTTTCAGTCTGCTCAAAACTAACTTGCTGAACCAGTTCCGGTGTGTCCAGAAAGGCGACTTTATCGCCGTGACGATTGACCTGGTTCTGGCAAAGACTATGTTTGACACTGCTAGTGCCGCTATCACCGCTGCCGATGGAGACGAAGCTGACGAAAATCCTGCTCCCGAGCCTGAAGTGATTCCTCAGGGTGACCCAGATGCAGTGGCATGGTTTAAAATTGTTGATCTCAAAGGAACCACGGACTTGTCGACTAATCAATTCATTATTGATCCCAATCGCACTTTATTCGTGTCTCTGGGTGTGGAGTCGATAAGACTCCCAGAAAACGAATTTGTGAACTGGCATCGCTATTTAAATCTTCCTCCTATGTTTGATTTCAAAGGTGGGGAATTCACGTACGCCGCTGAGCTCAAGAAAATTGTAAGCACCAACTTGACAAGTCCCGTCAACTTACGCACTCTGGTGTTGTTAACTCTGATGTCTCGAGGAATCGGGAAAACACTGGTGGTGAGAAATGTGTGTACCGAGATGGGGCTTAATCTTGTGGAGCTTGAATGTTACGACCTCGTCAACCCCGGTCAGGAACTCAAGACTATAGGTATCCTTAGCGGTCGCATCGATAAGGTCATTGGTGAGCCTCTGGCTCCCCTGCTGGCATTCCATGTGATTTACCTTAAGCATGTTGAAGCGCTCTGTCCACATACCGACCCCAACGACCAGAATCTGAATGTCCACACCTCTTTGCTGCTCAAAATTGCACTGACTGTCGCTGATTATCTCTCGCGCTACTCCAATTTGATGGTGATTATGAGTTGCAATGACATTGACAAACTTAACGATCAAGTGGCTCTGATGGTGAAATTCACAATCAATTTCGGTGTACCTCTGGAAGATGAGCGGCAATCAATCATGAGATTTTTGGTGGGACTTGAGCTTAATAGTGATAATGACCCAAAGTACTTTTTGCGTCATGATGTCTCATATGCCAACCTTGCCCTTCAGCTGGCTGGTCTCACCCCCAGGGATTTACGGAGTATCGTGAAGATGCTGAAAAAGCAGGCACTCCTGCGTTTAGGCAAGGTGGCTAAGAAATCAGGGGTCTCACTTGATGCGCTCATTAAAGTGGGCAATGGAGGTCGCATTCAATGGATTCCCGAAGACTTCAACCAAGCCATCAATGAAGCTCGAAACCAGTTCTCCGACTCTATCGGAGCACCTCGTATTCCTACGGTTAAGTGGGAAGATGTAGGTGGTATGGACTTTGTCAAGGGCGAAATTTTGGATACAATTGACATGCCGCTCAAACACCCCGAGCTTTTCAAACTGGGCGTCAAAAAACGATCAGGTATCCTTTTCTACGGGCCTCCCGGTACCGGTAAAACATTATTAGCGAAGGCCATCGCTACGAACTTTTCGCTTAACTTCTTCTCAGTTAAAGGTCCCGAATTGTTGAATATGTACATTGGTGAATCTGAAGCCAATGTGAGACGAGTGTTTCAACGGGCTCGTGATGCTAAGCCATGTGTCATTTTCTTCGATGAATTGGATTCAGTGGCTCCCAAACGTGGTAACCAAGGCGACTCTGGCGGTGTCATGGATCGTATCGTGTCTCAATTACTTGCGGAACTCGATGGTATGAGTGGGGGTGATGGCGACGGTGTTTTTGTGGTCGGTGCTACCAACCGACCTGATTTGTTGGATGAAGCCTTGTTGCGACCTGGGCGTTTCGACAAGATGTTGTACTTGGGTATCTCTGACACACACGATAAGCAAGCTAAAATTTTGGAAGCTCTCACCCGAAAATTTACATTGGACAATGACGTCGACCTTTCAGAACTTTCGAAGAACTTCTCGCTTACTTATACTGGTGCGGACTTATACTCCGTCGCCCTGGACTCTATGCTCAAGGCTATGCTTCGTGTCGCTGGGGAAGTTGATAAGAAGATTGAAGATTACAACCGTGAGAGAAAGGAACAAGATCTCCCCGAGGTGTCGACCAGATGGTGGTTTGACAACGTTGCCCAGCCACTGGACATTAAGGTGACCGTTAAGCAACAAGATTTGCTTGAAGCTCAGCGCGAAAGTGTTCCTTCAGTATCGGCTGAGGAAATTGCTCACTATGAGCGGGTGAGACAAAACTTCGAGGGTGGCAAAGAAGATAAACAGTCTCTGGAGACGAATCAAGAGCTCGCCGATGGGATCACCATTGATATGAACGGCAACTAAAGGGTACATAACGTTTTGCATATATACACTGAATGTACCACCAATTGGTTTATGCTGTAAAGGTTCGTCTAACGTCTCTTCGCTTAACTAGCGTGAGTAAATAAGAATCGGCTCGTCCTTGTAAACCTTGTCGAGGGATGCTTGTGTGATGTCGAATGCGTGCATGCAAATCATTTACCCCGACACATGTAACTATTCTCCAACACGTCTTTGGCTTCGTTTAACTTTTGACTCAAATACTGCAGACCCTGACGGTCGGGATGATTCAACAACATCAACTTCCGCCACCTATCGTGAACCATCTTTTTGTTAATTTGAAGAATGTCATTTCCCGTGATTCCCAATATCGCCAACGCCTCATCTTCTGTTATTCGGGGTTTGAATCCTTCGTTGGCGTAATTTGATCGTATGTATTGGTACTGATCGTAGCGGGGATCCAGCTTGTCGAGTTTGACGCCGGCGTTTGGATCAACAAGCTTGAGGCCATTAAGTTGAGCGATCATCTGTGGCGTTAGGTGACGGAACTTTCGAAGAGCTGCTAGTGTCAGCTTGATAGTAAGCGCCCCAACCGTCAACCCAATACCAGCAATGATTGGAACCACCATGGCGCGATGTGATTTGTGAGACTGCTTATTTCAAGCCCGTCAAGTCAAGAGAGCGAAAGAGATTGCGGCAAACCGCATCGATTACTTGAATAAGGTTAGCTGAGCCTATCTCATGAAAACACATGCCAAAATTCTCAACGTATTTTGAAAGGTCTGAATTAATGTAAAGGTGTAGATGCGATTATACGAATAGGCGATGATCAGCTCCGAATTTTAATTCGGCGCCTCGCGTAGGCGACATTTCGATAGTGTGTGGCTGGCTGATTGCCCTATTCGCAGTAGGACGATTTTACGATTGCACGAACTCCTGGATTTTCAATTCAGAATCGTTTGAGCAGCACGTTAGTATCGGACCATATAAAGCCAAGGAATTGGTGCAAGTGGAAGTAGGCGGCTTTGGTGGCGGTGTTGGTCATGGCTCAGCTTTGTTGCAGTTTCTTTCCTGCATGCAATCTCTTCGACCACCAAGCCCCCCTATATATAATAGCGACGGCAACCAAGTGACATAGGTGTCCACAGCGCAATTGACCACCATGAACGTGCTCAAGTTACAGAAAAAATACGCTGGGACATTCGACCAGCTGGAATTATTTGCCATCATCGATGAATTCAGAGACTTGGATGTCGATGAAAAGGGGGTGGAGAAGAAGGACGTGATCAACCATGTGTCGAAGAAGGGCAACTATCTGTACGATCAGTGTCGTGAAACTCTCAAACAAGTTGACGTCGACGCTCTGGGAAGAGTTGAACTTGATGACTACGTTGATTTGATCGCTAAGCTCAAATCATCGTCGTTGGATATTCCCGAGAATCCTCAATTGCCTAGCTCGCCTGGCCGTGTTAACAAGCCCGCTCCTCCTATTCCTACCGCCGCCTCGAATAAGAACAAGGTGTACTTGGGAGGCAAGTCGAGTGGTACCACTCACTCCATCAATGATGAAGAGCGCATTGAATTCACTCGTCACATCAACCTGGTGCTTGCTGGTGATGATTTGGTGGGTTCTCGTTTGCCGTTCGATGTTGAAACCTTCCAGATTTTCGATGAATGTCGTGACGGTTTGGTACTTTCACAATTGATCAACGATTCGGTGCCTGACACCATTGATACTCGTGTACTCAACACTCCCAAAGCTGGTAAGCAATTGAACAACTTCCAGATGTCAGAAAACGCTAACATTGTCATCAACTCGGCCAAGGCTATTGGCTGCGTGGTTGTGAATGTTCACTCTGATGACATTATCGACGGGAAGGAACATTTGATCTTGGGTATCATTTGGCAGATCATTCGTCGTGGTCTTTTGTCTAAGGTTGACATTAAGCACCACCCTGAATTGTACCGGTTGTTGGAAGACGATGAGACGCTTGAACAATTCTTAAGATTGCCTCCTGAACAAATTTTGCTCAGATGGTTCAACTACCATCTCAAGAACGCTGGTTCCCAGCGGAGAGTTGCTAACTTCAGTCGTGACATCTCTGATGGGGAAGCCTACACTGTGTTGTTGCACCAATTGGTCCCCGATAAGTGCGACACCCGGGCATTGCAAGTCCAGGATGTTAACCAACGGGCTGAAATTGTTCTCGAGAACGCCGACAAGATTGGATGCCGGAAGTATTTGACGCCCAAGTCTCTTGTCGCTGGTAACCCCAAGCTTAATTTGGCTTTCGTTGCCAACTTGTTCAACACTTGGCCCGGTCTTGACCCCATTGAAGAGCACGAACAGATTGAAATCGAAGACTTTGATGCTGAAGGCGAACGTGAAGCTCGTGTGTTTACTCTTTGGCTTAATTCGTTGGATGTTGACCCCACCGTTGTCTCATTGTTTGAAGACTTGAAGGATGGGTTGATTTTGTTGCAAGCCTTCGAAAAGGTGATGCCTGGCACTGTGTCGTTCAAGCACGTTAACAAGAAGGGTCCCAACGGTGAAGTGTCGCGCTTCAAGGCCCTCGAAAACACCAACTACGCCGTTGAAATTGGTAAGGCTAACAACTTCTCCCTTGTAGGTATTGAAGGCCTGGATATCGTCGATGGTAACAAGTTGCTCACTTTGGCCTTGGTGTGGCAATTGATGCGCCGTAACATTGTTAACACTTTGGCTCAATTGAACCATGGTGGTGGCAAGTTGTTGACCGATGCCGATATGATTTCGTGGGCTAACCAACAAGTTACCAAGGGTGGCAAGTCGCTGTCTGTGAGACTGTTCAAGGATGAACTGATTTCGACTGGTGTTTGGTTGTTGGACGTTCTCAATGGTTTGAAGCCTGGCTACGTCGACTACGATCTTGTTCATCAAGGTCCCAACCTCACCGATGACGAGAAGTATGCCAATGCCAAGTTGGCTATTTCTATTGCCAGAAAGATTGGTGCGTTGATCTGGTTGGTGCCTGAGGACATTAACGAAGTTAGACTGAGATTGGTGTTGTCGTTCATTGGGTCGTTGATGGCTGTAAACCAATGAATTTTGTATAATGTATTATGAAATCGATGATTTTAATGTATTAATCAGGTAGCTTAAGTATAAATTAAAGTTTGGTGACCAATTTCCCAGGACCCTTCCCGATAAACAAACGGTTCCACACTTCGGGAATCTTCTTGATGTCACCTTCAAGGTCAACAACATCCACTTCATTCTTGATCTTGCCCTCCTTAACCCCTTCACCCAAAGCGGTCAAACCTTGAGGATAGTCCTTGGCAAAGTCAAACACAATGAACCCTTGAACGGTCAACCGATTGATGATAATCTCAGCCCAACGGTTGACACTCATTTTTGTGTGATCGTTGTAACCGGAAATAGCACCGCATGCAACGACTCTGCCGAACGGCTTTACCCGAGTCAAACAAAGATCGAGTTGTTCGCCACCAACATTGTCGTAGTAAACATCGGCGTATTCGCCATCGAGCGCTTCATCGAGCTTTTTGGCCAAGTCGCCAGTTTTGTAATTGAGACAAACGTCAGCCCCAATCAGTTCCACCCACTTGCACTTGTCATCAGAGCCAGCGAAACCAATCACTTTTTTGGCGCCTACAAGGTGCTTGGCTACTTGGACCACCATGGAACCGGTGGCCCCCAGGGCGGCCGAGACAATGATGGTTTGACCCTTTTGTAATTGGCCCACTTTGGTGGTACCAAAGTATGCAGTGAGACCAGTCATACCGAGAGCCGACAAGTATGCCAGCAAAGGCACCCCTTGTTGAGCGGGAATCTTCGAATTGATCTGTTCGGGGCTCAAGATAGCGTAATCAGCCCACCCCAGAAATGCCAACACGATGTCGCCTTCTTTGTACCCTTCATTCTTGGAGTAAATGACTTCCGCCAACGCGGTCGACTTCATGCGCTCACCTTCATGGACGGGCTCGATGTACATTCTCTTAGGGTCAAGACCTTTTTGGATCCACAGTCTTTGCGTAGGGTCATTAGAGAATAATATCAGTCTTACCACCACTTGGTTATCCTTGACATCGGCTTTATCAAGGGGGTGGGTCTTGAGTTCAAAAGTGGAATCCGGTTGGCCCCACGAGAGATTGACGTCCCTGAACGGCTTGTTTTTGAGGATGATTTCGTGGTATTGAGTGGGGAAGGACATGGTTACAAAATTGATCAGGCCATCGGGCGTTTAATTTATGTTTCTGTAGCTACGGTTTGGGAAAGTCAGCGAACGCTTGATTTTTGCGGATATGTGCCAGATTAGTTAGTGCCCGGAAATGCGCGCGCGCTGTATACAAACGTGTGCATTGCATGGGGGGTATAGTTCATTGTGCCGCGGTCCCAATTGCCCCCGCCTAACGCCAGATTGAGAATTTGGGTGTTTCTTCTTATTGTGTGTGAAATTGCTAATTGAATGGCTGCGCTTAACCCCGACACGGTTCTTCAGGTAAATTTCATATATTATCGTAAGATCTATCTTAGGCAAGTGGACGTGATCTGGTGATAGTTTACTCTTGCTTGATGGCGGCTTTGTTCCACAGGAGCAAGTTGGGGTCACCGGCTCTACGGGGTTTAATGAAGTTCACGATCAACAACCCTAACGCCAACAAGAAGCAGAGACCACCGCCAGCCATCCACACCACCCCCAAAAAGATGTTCTTACCGCCGATGGCAGAACGGGTCGAAATGTAGATGTACTTGTGACCTTTGAACATCTGTACTGGCCAGTGCATACCGATGGCCACCTCGTAGAAACCCGGCTGCAACGTCGTCTTTTCGGGATTCCGCAACGCTAATTTGTTGAAGGTAGGCAACCCGGCAGCAGACATCCAGTTTTGAAATTCTTCCCATTGTTGAATGTCAGGAATGTTGCTTTCATTGTAGCCATCGGGGTAAACCTTGTGCCAATTAGGAGGAGGCACAATCTGGTCGAGGGGATAAGTCGTCTTCTTGAACCGGTTCTTATCCGACAGCCACGCAATACCCTTATTGGTAAGAGGGTACAGCGTCGTAGTACCATTGACAGCCGTGAGTTGAGGTGAATAGGTGTCGTTGAACATAGAGTTAGCGATCAACCCACAGGGGTAGTAGATCTTACCTTCGGCATTGGTAACAAGCGGCTTGCAATTTTGACCCACTTGATCTCTAATCTTCGAAAGGTCGGCCGCCTTACCCTTGATTTGATCTTCGGAGAACAGCTTGACGTAACGGCGGTGGTTGGCGTGGAAGTTCTTGAGCTTGTAGAAGAACAAAATGGGAGGGTCCATCGCCACCGGCACCTGGAATTGGATCCGGCATATCTTGTTTTCAGCTTCGTCATCACCCCACTGAGGGTCGTGGTCCAATTTCCACACCGGCGGCACCACACTGGCGTTGTTTTTGAAGCGGAACGTATAGTTTCCGGGGATCTCCGCCCAGTAGTCGGTGTTGGTGATGTTTTCACAGTAGGTGTAGTCGATTTCGATGTCCTGAACGACGTGCAGGGCGTACCACATGGCGGCCCCCAACGGCACGAACACGATGGCGATGGCAAATAACAAGGGGATCACTGTGCGTGCAGTCAACACCGGGTTCACCGCCTTGAGTCTCTGTTGAGTAAAGGCATTGTTCGGGGGGCGATGCAGCTTAAGCTTCAACTCTTTGGTCGTTTGCAATGAATCATCGTCGTCGTCGTCCATGGAGTCTTCCGCTTCGCGGTTCGGATCAAGCGCCCCGTCGATGGTGACATGGTTGTCGTTGTAAGGCACCCCTTCACTTTGCGGGATGTCGGTGTCGTCCCGGCGGCTTCGAAGAGGCATTATTTGATCGAGGGTGTGCTCGGAGCAAAGTGCGTTTGGTAGCCGTCAAATCCGCGTCACGTGCGAGCCAGCGGAGCACAGTCAAAGGTGTCGCACTGACAATTTTACTAAAGTAGTGACACCTCACCCCGAGGTTAGATATGCGGGCATTGTTCTTCTGTAGTTCTGTTTTAGTCGGCCCTTAAGTGATCCTTCTCAAAAGCAAAATTGTAAAGAATCATAGCGATTTTGTTAAGCGCATAGTAGGACCCTTACGAGTTATATGTGGAGATCATTGACTTGATCGGCGGCTAGCACTTACATAGTGATTTGGGGTGAACAAACTACGGAAACTGCCATTACAAAACGAATTAGGCTGCGCCGAGACATTACTTTTGAGAATCAGTCGATTTACGAGGAGAGCCAAAGAGCGCGTAGTCGAATCGACCACATCAGATGGTTAGAGATCTCAACCAACGTCAGGAAGGTTACAGCTATTGATAACATAGCTAGGGCCATCGTCCATTTGATGGATCCTGATGTTATTTTCCTATATGTAATTATGCTGAGTGCCAGTTAGCCAGCTAACTGATTAAGTTTTTGATGCATTGGGCCCACAAATCTCTCAACGACCCTTCGGGCGGGGTGACGGGCAAGTAATCGTGGAACACTTGTTTGAGTTCGGCTTCGAGGCCAATCATGTAACACAGCACCAGCCAGTCGCTGATGCCGACGTCGACGGTTTGATGCGAGTGCAAGTAGCGCTCAACGACCCATTCGTAGTCCGGTTCGCTGAGGCCCTGAGTGTTTTGAGGGATTCCCTTCTCGAACAAAAAGCGAGCCCCGGGAACGTTGGATATCATCTGGTTCCGGAAGTAAAACAACGTCAGTATCGAGAAGTTATCGTCGATTTCGGCGGACGATAACGACCGACGGCGAAGACGTTCCACCACGTCCAGCGCCCGATCGTAGGCGAGACTCCGCTGGTACTCCTGTTCCCAGAAGCTAGGCGCCAGCAAAGCACCGCCACGAGCTATTGTTGCATTCATGATAGGGGGATATGGACAAGTATGGATTAATTGATACACCAGAGCGCAAGGGGAACTTTTTCGGGGTAGGCAGTTTTTTATATATATCAACTCCGAAGCCTTGCAGATGGTGTTTATGTACAGGATTGCCTTAACGGAAAAAAAAGTGGGGTTGGTGCCACGAATCAAGTATGGCTAAGCGTTTCTCGTTAGGAGTCTGCAATCCAGGTTACGGTGGTAATAGGCATATCGTGATCGTCTACTCCTCCTTCTATTGGAAGTATTACAGATGTCTCACTCTCTTGGTTATCTATATTGATTTTCGGGTATCTGTGCTTCTCATGCCGCGAGCCGCTAGTGTTCGCCTTTTTTGTCAAAATGCCACACACCGACGCGACCAACATGACTAAAAAGAAATGCTGACACGGCAACACTTTCACAGCCCCTCCTTCACTCCTCACCAAGAGTTCCCGACTACGGGAACTGATGGATCATTGTAGTTGGGCGAGACGATGCGCTGATTGTCATGTAGAAACTGATTGTCATCGCAGGCGGTGGTGGCTGCTCACTCCGCATAAAAGGCTGTGAGATGAGAAAATTTGAGTGATCAACTAGATTGCCTACTACCGCTTTCGCAACCTGGCTGACCTAGTGCACCAAGATCCCGCACGACCGTAAGCCATCATAAACTGCAAGCGGGCAAGGTCATGGTCATGACATTTCGAGAGCTGGCACCTTGATTTAGAGAATGGTCAGGCTAAGCTCGTCTGGAGTATACGTGCGGCATACATATGACACGGGCGCTGAAGTCCGACGGCGAGGTAGTGTGGCGTCAGAGGTGGTGGACTACTAGGAGTGCCAGCCAGGTGTGGTTGGGGGTCTAGAGCCGTTGGCAGCCCTGAGGGAGGGGTAAAAACACCGCAAATTGCCGTTGGGGCGGTTAACGGTTGCTTCTGCGGTTGCGTGGGGCGAATGTATACCCCCCATTCAGTTTGGGTTTGCGCACACACACTTCCGCTAACGATTATAAGGGGGAGTACTCACGTGACGCTAATTTACAAGAAACGGTATGTTGAGATTATGTAGCCGGGTCCACACGTTTGATTCTCTCTTGGCATAGTGGAGGTTCGTGCTGGGGATACACATCCGCGACAACTGGCTGTTCCAACATGATTTGAAACCACTCGGTAGTGTGGGGATGCTGTTGTTGCCACTGCTGATCAAATAACCACGCAAATGGTTTCCAAAGCATCAAGACGCAGTAAATATCGGCCCAGGTATAACGGTCACCGATAAGAAATGGCTGGTGGGCTAGCGTCATTTCAAATGCGTTCATTTGCGTTGCTAGCTTTTGATCATGCCTCGCCACAGATTCTTCGTTGTAGGGCATGTTGTCTCCCTTCAACGGTTTAAACACGTAACCTGCGGTAGGTAGCACATCAGAGTTGACAAACGAAGTCCACATGGCTATCTGAGCCCGTTCCTCATCGTTGATCCCCAACCATTCACATTGGGGATCAACTTTTGCAAAGATATACTGACAAATGGCCAACGCTTCACTGAGCTGAAGACCTTCCGTCGTGATTAATACGGGCACCATTTTGCGGGGAAACGCCCTTTCGAATTCGGGATGACCATCGAACGAGTCATACACGGTAATGTCCAAGTTGTAGTACCTGATGAGAGCCTTTACTGCCAATGGCCGCGTACGGGGTCCGAGGATAGCGGTTCCAAACGACATTGGGTGAGTGATGGCTGTGTTTGTAAAAACAATAGGGGGGGCGTGCACTTGGCTTTTGTTCGGCATTTGCCGTTCACCCGGAGACTCTGGTCCGACACGTTCCCACAATATTCGATTCGAAGACTATGATCTATCATATAACAGGGTATACACTGTCTTTTGTCTTAATATATGAAGCGAAGAAGAAATTTTGTGTTTGGTGCAGGTAACGTAAGCGATAGCTCAAAATAGAATTGTTTAAACGTCGCTTCTCCGGAATTATGATTTTAGTGTCAGCCGTGCGTCTACGTGAAAGCAAGTCACTTAAGCAAGTAAATCTACACTGAGGATACTATGAATTATCTGAGCCGGACAGAGTTACAGTTAGATACTGATTAAGCTTCTAAAAGTAGTCTACGGCTTATCTGATTCTACTAGGGGGTGAATTTGCCAGATCGCGGTACCTCAGTTCAAGGCCACTATCATCGCTTCACATGGTAGCGCCAACCTTATAAATTTTTTCACTCATCGACACGCATTCTCTACACCATGGAGACCGACGCTGAAAAGAATATCGAGATCTGGAAGGTCAAGAAATTGATCAAGGCGTTAGAAATGGCCCGGGGGAACGGGACGTCGATGATCTCGTTGATCATCCCTCCTCGGGACCAAATCTCGCTCATGCAGAAGAAGTTGACTGAAGAATACGGTACCGCATCCAACATTAAATCGAGAGTTAACCGTCTTCTGGTATTGGCCGCCATCACCTCGACCCAACAGAAGTTGAAGTTGTACAACCTGGTGCCCAAGAACGGTTTGGTCATCTACTGTGGTGAAGTGTTGACCGCGGAAGGTAAGGAAAAGAAATTGAACATTGACTTCGAACCGTTCAAGCCCATCAACACCTCGTTGTACCTTTGTGACAACAAGTTCCACGTGGAAGCTCTTGCCGAGTTGTTGGAAAACGACGACCGGTTCGGGTTCATCATTATGGACGGTAACGGGGCGTTGTTTGGTGCCGTGCTGGGTAACACCAGAGAAGTTTTGCATAAGTTCACCGTCGACCTTCCCAAGAAGCACGGTCGTGGTGGTCAATCGGCGGTTCGTTTCTCGCGTTTGCGTGAAGAAAAACGTCACAACTATGTTCGTAAGGTCGCTGAAGTTGCGGTGCAAAACTTCATCACCGCGGACAAGGTCAACGTCAAGGGTTTAATTCTTGCGGGTCTGGCCGACTTCAAGAACGAATTGGCCAAGTCCGATCTCTTTGACCCTCGTTTGCAAGCTAAGGTGATCAAGACCGTCGATATTTCCTACGGTGGTGAAAACGGGTTTAACCAGGCCATTGAATTGCTGGCCGAGACTCTTGCCAATGTTAAGTTCGTGCAAGAAAAGAAGTTGTTGAACGAATACTTTGACGAAATCTCCCAGGACAGTGGTAAGTTCTGTTACGGTATCGAAGACACCCTTAAGGCGTTGGACTTGGGTGCCTGTGAAACCGTCATTGTCTACGAAAACTTGAACACCATCCGTTACACCTTGAAGGACTGCGAAGGCAACGAAGTCGTTGTCAACGTCAACCCCGACTTGCCCGACAAGCTGTGGCAGATGGACAAGGCCACCGGCACCGAGATGGAAATTGTCAAGGAGGAAACATTCCTCGAATGGTTGGCGGAAAACTACAAGAACTTCGGTACCACGCTCGAGTTTGTCACTGATAGATCCTCGGAAGGTGCCCAATTCTGCCAAGGGTTTGGTGGTATCGGTGCGTTGTTGAGATACAAGGTCAACTTTGAGCAATTGGTTGACGAACTGGATGAGGATGAGTACTTTGACGACTCTGACGACGACTTCATCTAAGCTTAAGTGTATATTAGTGTTTTTTAACGAGATTTCTAGAGTTTTACTCGCTCGTCCATGGCGTTCTTATTGAAAAAGGTCAACCCTTCCTGGATGACGGTGGCCACACAGTAGCCCTTTTGGTTGTACATGAAGCCCCGCACCAACGTTCTCAGATTGTTGACGCGTTTGGTGCTGTAGTTGAAGCACAACCAATCCTTGACGATGTCGAACCCCTGGTCGTCATCTTCCATCAGATCGACATGGAAATATATATGGTGGTCAAGCGACATCGCTTGGTAGTGCCAGATCTGAAGGATGTTGAGCGAGTGAGTGATCAACAACCCGGCATCCTTACCTTCATCTAAGGCGTCGACGGGGTGGTCTTGAGTGGGGTTCCAAGGGATATGGTTGACCCGGGCTTGTGTGGTGAGGAACGCCAGATCCGAGATGTTGGCGAGACCAATCAAGTTGTACACCGGTTCCTTAAACAGCTTCTGGTACTGCGGGGGGATGACTTCAGCGGGACCTGCCTCAAATACTGAAGACTCGTCTTCCTCCAGCCGCACTCTCACCTTCAATTCTTCCTCGCGCCCCGCGTACTTGGGGTCGATGACGTTGTGTAGACCCAGCCACACCGTAAGCCAGCGGTCGGAAGGCGCTAACGACTTCTCTTCGGGACAGGCGGTGTAGTCGGTGAACTCCTTGGAGTAGGCGTTGCGGACAAACCCCGTGTGATAAGTCTTTGACAATTGCCGCGGGTCGTACTTCTTCGACACCGTCGTCATCTGCCGCTGGATCTCGTGTTGAGGGTTGCGGGGCTGGCCTTTAGCACGAGGCCGTCTCAATGAGCACAAGCAGGTGCTGATGATGTTGTCCTGCTGCACGACCTCGATGTAACGGCGGGCCAAGCCGTCGTCGTCGCTGGCAAACGTCACCCGGTAGGTCATCGGGATTTTCCAGTTGCCCGCCTTGACGAAATACATGTGGAACAGCTCCGGGATGTAAGTAGCGCCGTCGTCGCTCCGGGTCAGCTCGATGGCGACCAACAACGTCTGGGCGATGGTGTTGCCGCCGTAGACGCCGCGGGCCATCTTCATCGGCAACCGCAACGGGTGGGCCCCCACCCACACGTCGGGGGCTTGTCTGATGACACGGATCAGTTCCTCGAAGTCTTCGATCACGGGAGGCATTCGGAGTTGGACGGCCGCGGGCCGCAGCCGTAGATATATATATATGGCTATGCGCTCCCCAGGTTTCTCACAAGCGGAGTGCCCCGCAGCCAACCGCGGGTACAGCAGCATGTGAGATCACGGTTGGGGTCGCGTCGCCAAAACATTATACGGAGTAGTATTTACTATAAGTGGGACAAGATGATACTCTCTAGACTATCAGTGTTTATGAGGTAAGCCTGTGATTATCCATCAGGTGATGCCACTGAACAATTTTTTTTCGAAGGTGTCATTTTGTCGTGCCTGACGGCATGCAACCGTGGCGAATGGTAGGTGGAGGTGTCACATGGGTGGGATAAACGCCGCTAACAAAATTAGCGGTCACGAGCGGGATTAACGGTTACGTTTTCGCTTTTGGGAGTGGTGTATGGTGGTGACGCTATGGGTGTGGGGTCAGATGCACGGTTTACGTCCCCACGAAGATTCAAACGTTGGGGTAACCTGGGGCTAGGGGTGTCACATCGGGGCGCGCGCTCGTAATTGTCGGCAAATCACGGCGAAAACGGTCCAGCTAGAGTCGTAGTAGCTAAACACTATATCGCGGCAGCAATCAACAAAGACTTCCGAGTGATGGGCATGAAAATGAACCGAGATAGGCCGTGTGGTCATCATTACTCACACCAAGAAAACCACCAATTCATGCCCAATTATCTTGTCGCTAGCGGAATCAGCTTCCGGAGTTTTTCTCCCATCGCACCATCGCATTTCGGCATTAGCGACCGTGGTAATTTCCGGCGATGGGGGGTCCAGTAGCACTCCTGTACCGGTCCCGAGATGAGCTTGTTCGGCTAAAGCAGGGCTTCTATTCGGCGAAGGAGGAGGATAAGCGACGGGCCATCGACCGAGTGCACGCTCTAATGAGCCGGGGCCGCATCCCCCACGCGGTGGAAGCCACTCTGTGGTTGGTCGAATTGCAGCTACAAGACGTCGATGGCGCCAACCACGTAGCGCTTAATATGGCCTACGCCATGCTGATTGTTCGGTTTGTCAACGGGTTGCTTGACCCCTTCCAACAGGGCGCAGTAGCCGTCCCCTTATACGTATTGGCACGCAATATTGACCTACCCGCCTTATTCGTCGAGCTTCGTCACCAGGCGACTCACGAGAGCATTCCTAGCATCGAGTTGTGTCGCCAAGCATGTGCGATGGCGCTAAGCTGGCTTGCGGAACACTACTGGAGCGAGGTTGAGGAAAATGGCGAGGTGGAGAGTGAGAACGACCACATGCTGTTGATCGTTAACCTCGTGAAGAACTACCGGGCGTTATTCAAAGCGGATGAAGCGAATTTCCGGGCGAAACACCTTGGCAAAGTGGCGGAGCTGTTCCGCCTGGTGGACCAGGGGCTGCTTATCGAGGGTCTCATAGAGAGAAACTTGTTAGTTAACAAGAAGCAGAAACCCCTTATAAAGTGCTTTACTCCGTTGTTTCACGACCTCGGGTTTCAGTTCCAGCTCGACTTGTACCATGCTCTTGTGGTCACCGATCTCACTGAAGCCAGTGTCGAATGGCTACTGACGCTATTCAGCCTAGTTTTGAACACCCCGAAACGGTTTCTCAACACTACTAAACTTAAGATATTCACGGGCATGTGGGCTGCCATCGAAGCCGCTCACGCCAGAGCTGACCCGGCGGACGTCCCCGTCCAGGAAAAGTTTTTGGCATTGTTCCGCAACGTGCTTGCTTTAATCAATCAGCATATGGCCAAAGAGGTCAGTGACAACTTCACCGCTAATCTCACCGCCACCATTACCAAATTGGATAAGAAGATCGAGGTGAGAAAGGAGTTTGGCGTGCAGCCGAGTCGGCTGGTAACTCCGACCGTCAAGCGGCCCCGCCTAGAGTCTAAAGTGGTGTTGTTTGAGAAAGTCGACAACTGGCGACCTACGCCATTTGGAGTGTCCGTATGATGATATACATTGTTGTTCCATTCAATATGTATACTCAGAAATAATACTTGCAAGCAGAACCGAAAGAGTTGAAAGATCATTGATACTGGGTCAAAACCAAACTTGAGAGTGAGAGGTGAGAAAGAGGTGGTACCAGAGATGTACACCATTCATGATCAGCTTGAGCACTTCAGGCCAAGTGATACGTTGATGCTTGATTTGGAGAGGAATCCACTTGAGCGTTTACGCCAAGGGAATGGGAGTAAGAATGTGGCGCTGGTGGCGCTTCCACTGGGGGGTCGACCAGTTCCCGTGTGGCGAGGTCGAGTTCAGCCACGGGTGGTGGTCACCGTTGTTGTCGTCATTGCCGTGGTTGCCATCATTGCCATGGCCATTGTTGCCTTGGCCATTGTTTCCTTGGCCGTGGTTGCCTTGGCCATTACCGTTATTGCCCTGACCATGGTTGCCGTTGTTGCCGTTGTTACCATTGCCATTGCCGTTGCCTTGACCGTGGTTGCCATTGCCGTTGCCGTTGTTACCATTGCCATGGTTACCATTGTCGCCGTTGTTGGTGTGGTGGCCATTGTTGGAGCCGTCATTACCAGCGCCGTTGTCACCGCCATTGTTTCCTTGTGATCCACCGTTACCAGAACCGTGGTCACCGGAGTTTGAGCCGTCGTTACCTTCGTTAGAGTTGCCGTTGCCGTTGTCTTCACCTTGATCGTTTTGGTCACCTTGATTGTCTTGGTTACCTTGGTCGCCCTGGGCACCAGTTGGTTCGGGGCCGAGAGTGACCCACTTGATACTGGTGATGGTCGTGGTGAGGTCGTCGTAAGGGGTGGGCTCAGGTTGGCCATTTTCGTCGGTGACGGTGGGAGGGAACACGGTGACGATCACGTCCGTTTCATTGGCATACACTCTTCCAGAGGTGTGGCTGTAGGTGGAGTTGTCCTTAGGGTAGACTGAGTGAGGGTTCAGCAACCCTTCGCCAGCACTCAGTCCGGTGTCTGATTCAAAGGCCAGCTCAGAAGCCAGTTCGTAGGCCAGCTCGGTGGGTAAAGCCGTGGCCAGCTCGGGGCCGGGCTCGGTGATGGCTCCAGATTCAACGGGGCCATCCGGGCTTTCAAAAGCACTCGACACGGGGGTCACTTCGGCCACGGGAGTCGAAGTAATAGCGCCGCCATAATTGAGAGGCAACGCATGGGCCAAAGCCACGAGGGAGGCGATTTGGATGAACTTCATGGGGTGAGACAAGGAGCGACTAGGGTTAGATAGATAAATGCTACTGAATACTACACAAACTTATATATCCCACACCTGTAGTCTAGATCGCTATCTTCGCGGTACCTTTCTGTGGTATGTACCTAATGGCGCGCGTTAACCTGCAAGTTGATGCGATTTAGTACGCCACGATCGCCCTTCACCGGAATTTCGGCGCAGCCTAGGGGCTAATGGCGTCTAACTTCGGGCAAATTCCCCCTGGCATGCGGTGCTCCAACGGTGAATGTTGGCGGTCGTGTTGTCGCTGTGGCGTCATGGGATGACGTTTTGTGTACCTGAAAGATAATGAGCATTGTCCTGGGGCCACAGATAGCCTCATCTAGACTCTGGTGGGAGGGTATTCTGTTGCCATGAGCACAGTGTCGGGGGTGCGGTTGTGCACACTAGTAAATTAAAACGGAAAAATTAGCACACGGGGCCATTTAGGTTATCGCGTCAAGGAGCGGCGTAGCTACGGCAAAATCTAGGGCAAACGTTTGTCGTCGACATCACTATACACCGAGTCACAAATCAAGCTCCTTGCGCTCCCACCCCGTGGGGCGTACCACCTTCAACCCGTCGTTGGGCTGGGGTTTGTCGGTGTCCACCTGTAAGGCAAACGGGTTGCGATCGACCTCCTGGTTGAGGTTGGCGAGGGTGTGGTTGATTTCCCGGTGCTTGGACTCGTCGGCACGAATCTGTAAGATAAGCTCTTCAAACGTGGAATGCTTGTTGAGGGTGGTCCAGTATTTCCACGCGATCTCGGGCACCGGCGCCTTCTCCAAATCTGGCAACTGGCCCGCCTTCAACTGGTATAACAAGTGGGTGTACGTGTATACCGCCTCTTCCTCAAGGTAGCCTACAACTCGGTGGGCCAACTTGGGCCACAAAAGATAACACAAAAAGAAGATATTGGTAAAGATGCCCTGCGACGCAATCACCATGAACCGCACTAACTTCAGCGGGTTGCCGATGTGGTAGAACGTCAACAAGTGCATTCTTTCGTTAAACGCCTCGTCCAGAAGCAGGTCGATCCACCCCATGTCTCTCCGGAGGTACCTCAAGCTCCGTAAGTGGCGGAGATACGATGCAGTTTCCCCTGGCACCCCGGCGATCGATTCGAGGAATATCACTCGGACAAGCCATTTCGACAGCGTCATGTAGTAGCGGGTGCCCTTGAATGTTTCCGACATGTCGTCGGATTTTTTGTAACCGGTGACAAAATCAAACGCCGTTCTCACCGTTTGGATGCAAAAATTGGCAAACCGATCGGTAAAGTCATGAGGAACACGATGGGTCACTTGGACTAGCTCACAATCATTGTCCAGCCAATTGGCATGACGATATTGCGGCGGGTTCAAAAACTTGGTTGTACCGACGTGGTCCACTGTTTCTGGGGGTCGGAGCTCGGTGGGCCTGTAATAACGGACGGGGCCAATATGGCGGCTCCAGGCTGCGGTCAAGGGAAGACCACGAGAAGAATAACGGGCCAACGTCAAGGTAGTCATATGCTATAAAAAGTGTCGGGCAATTGGTGGTGGCTTTATATGGCGCCCCTTTCCCTACCGGCACCTCCGCAGACGATTATTTCAAGCAAGATAAAGAGGGGAACACAGAAAAATGATCGGAGTGTACTAATCGTCCCATCTCTCCCGGCTCACTCGATTGCTGGGTGGCTGTACAATTAGTCACCAAGTACGCCATGATATTATTGAGCGTAGAAGGGGAAGTCTTGGTCCATTCACAATTGGCAAGTCGAAGCTATTCGATTTACAAGTCTAACCTAGAGTTACCGGGTAGACCAAACGAAGCGAAAACTCCCAAATCAAGGATTACCAGACACGAACCTGCGACACTTTGAAAAGTTTAACTGTACATGTCAATTGGGAGGCTGCTTAGGGTACGGTGGAGATTTTTCCGAGTGATTTAGCAAGACAACTTGAGCCACTTGGGCCGGGTACAAAAACTACTCGGATAGCAAATACGGGGGGTTCGACTTCTACCTTGAGCGTTGGTCGGCACGTATAGTGTGAGGGAATCCGCGCAGAACACAACTGTAAAAAAAATGTCGCATGGGCTATTGCTTTCAAAAGCCGTAATTACAAGTAACTCATTAAAACACCAAGAAAAGAAAGGAAGCCGACAGCAGCGGATTTGCGGAGGGTACACTTCCAGCGATGGCGCCAGCTACGTCGGCGACAGCCACAAGATGTAGGGTAAGCAGGCGGGGACGATGGGTGGTGGACCGGAGGCCACCGATACAGGCGTGCGGCGGGCTGGAGTGCGACGGATGGGTGCGCACGGAAATGCCGGGTGTTATCAAAACAAGCTTTTGTTTCTATGCAACATACATTAGGATATTATAACTAGTTCTTCTATTATGATTTTCGCCGGGCAACAGGCCCCGGCATTACGAAATTGCCTTAGGCAGGCTTAGAGGAGCCAGGCAGCGAGGGCGACGATGGCACCACCGAAACCGTAGGCGTTGGCGGCGTCGTTACCGGGCGAGCGCGAGCCGTCCTTGCCGGCGTACCAGGTGGTAGTCGACACTCTGGTGGTGTGGTCGAATCTCCCGTATCTGTGGGTCGACTTGGGCGAGTCCTCGTTGATGACGACGGTTTGGGTGGTTTCCATGGTGTTGGTCTTGTGCTTAGCAGCGACAACGCCGGCGACGGCGGCAGCGGACAATAAACCAGTCAACTTCATTATCGATGGACACTAACCGGCGCCTGGGGGTGCCCTGAGGTCTTTATATAAGGATGTTTCTTGGCCGAGGAGTCGGGTTCATAACACAGCAACAAGGGTTCAACCGCCGTCCGATGAGGGCCACCACGGCGTTAGCCGGGCCAACCGAGACCCGGATGACAACAAACCCACATAAAACTACACCGGCTATCACCGTGCCCTACCCTAGCCCGTCAGCTAGTCGACCCCAGCTTTCCGTCTACCTGGTGGACATGAGTGGACATGAGCGGCCATGCGCACTTTACTGTGAGCGAATTGGGATGCTCTGTAAATAATGAAAAGGTGGGCTGCAGGCGAGCGGTAAGGGCCTATGCTGAGGAACGTCGGTGAGGGGTAACGGGAACGGGCGGAAACTACGTCTATGTTCACTACAACCCTGCGGGAAACGAGTGGTAAAACTTTTCACCGTGGTTTGCCTGGTGGTGGGCCATTTCGGGTGCCACGGCGAAGAAGAAACGAGCGGCCACTAACGGAACCGCGGAACGTGGCTCGTAACCGGGGAAATGCGGGATTTTGTTGGAGGGGATTTTCCCCGTGGATGGCGTCACTGGGCGGACGGCCGAGCCAACCTTAGTGTGTTTTGTGGTCTGGTGGAAATTTCCGGCGGACGGTCGGCCTATATATCACCGACAGGGATACGGGAAAAATCAAAATAAATCGAATTTATATCATACACATTATGCTCGTTATGTAAAAAGTCTAAACTTCCTGCTTGTTGTACAAAGCAACGTTGCACCCGTCGTAGAGCGACATCGTCAAGTGGGACATCTTGGGGGCGGGCACCTTGTTGAACCCTTCGATCGAGTCGAACATTTGCACCAACCGCGCCGTCACGTACAGGGCTTCGGTAAGGGCAAACTGTTGGCCCAAGCAGATACGGGGGCCCCCGTTGAACGGCAAGAAGGCCCACCCGAGCTTCTTGGTCGACTCGTCGAACCACCGTTCGGGCTTGAATTCCAAGGCGTCCTTGCCGTAGTGCTTTTCGTCTCTGTGGGTGGCGTACACCGAGTAGAACACGATTTGGCCCTTCTTGACCAAGAGCTTGCCGTTTTGGTCCTTGCCACCACCGCGAGGCAAAGTGGTGTTTCTGGTGGCCACTCTGAAGTTGATGGGCACCGACGGGTACAAACGCAAACACTCGTTGACGACGGCCTTCAAGTATTCACACTTCTTCAACGATTCGAACGAGATGTCTTCGAGTCTCGCTTCTTCGCCGAGACCAAAGTTCATCGAGATTTCTTCTCTCAACTTGGCGTAGACCTCGGGGTGTTTCGAGAGTTCAAAGAAGATAAACGACAAAAGACCAGCAGTAGTGTCACGACCGGCAACCATAATGTTGAGCAATTGATCACGCAACACCTTGGGGTCACGGGTCTGCTTCACCAATTCGTAGAGGAAGATGTAGCCGTTGCTCTTTTCCAATTCTTCAGGGGTCATCTTCAACGCCTTGTTGACGTAGTAGTCGGCGAATCTGTGGACCTTCTTCACGTTCTTCTTGAAAGTAGGGGTGTTAACCAACCAGTAGAAGTCCATAAACAACACACGGTCCAGCAACGACAACTGCGCCGAGTTGAACGCTTCGGGAAATTCGTCCTTGCCGTCAACTTCCAGCTTGTGGTTGACGTAGCCGACCAGTTCATCACGCAACGATTCCACCGATTCCCCGAACAAGAACTCGGTGGCGGAGTCGACGGTAAATCTGAAGAACAATTCTTGCAAGTCGAATTCCTTACCCTTGGCGTTGCGGATGTGCTTAGCCAACACCTGCACATGGGGTTCAAGGGCCTTGACGTGGGCCACCTGTTCTCTAGCGAATTGGGGTCTCAACATCGCCCGCGAGTGCTTCCACCCCGACCCGTCCAAGGAGAAAATCCCGTCACCGAGGAGAGGGTAGAATTGCGAGTGGCGAATGCCGAGGGAGAAGTCGTTGAACTGGGTGCCCAACACCGCCTTCATGTTTTCCGGGTCACGGGTGACGACAAGCTCAAGACCAGCAATGGTGAACTTACCCGAGTCGTAGCCCCGGAAGGCTTCGCTGCTCAAAAGACCGAAGAGGTAGTCGACCATCCAGCCGCTGTTCTTCTTCTTCAAAAGGGTGAACGCTTCCTGGAAACCAAGGAAGTGGTCCTTGTAGTGGACCTGAGGGGCGACGGCGCCGAGCTTCTTTTCGAGGCGCTTGGTGTGGATCTTATCGAACACATAGTAGGCCACGATCCCCAACGCGAGGACCACGTACCACTTGGTGAGGTATTCTTCGACAGCCATAATGGATTGGTAGCAATCGCTTACCCGCCGGGGTTTATATATCGGCGGTGTGGGGTACCACCCCCTTCATGTGCATTTTTTACGCATGCCCAACAAGGTAAGAATCGGAATTCGCGACCACTCGGCGATGACCGCCACTGGTGGCCCCCGCCTCGCCATCAATGGGCGTAGACGTCGTTGTCGATCAAAAATGGGCGTAAACGAGGTGGTTTCTTCGCCTCGACCAGCGTATTGGGTGGCACTGTAGGCGTCGACGCCCCACTTGCGGTGTCCCCTCACGGAGTTTATTCCCATGTGAAAGTGACATTTCGCAGCTTACCTCCGCCAACGCACGCAACGGCTACTTCTCGCCCGGGTGCAGGACGCTCCGGTGACTGACGGCGACACACCCCAGGAGGAGCCACTACTCCTAATCATGCGTTTGCCCTGCGATTTGCGAGGCGATGGCAGCGGTTTTTCCCCGGATAGCTAACCCCGCTGTCCGGTGGAGGGGACGGTGCCAGCGAAATTACTCGACGATGGCCAGTAGTAGCTCAGACTCAACCATGAATGGAAAAATACCGTGGGCTTCCCCACATTTGGCACCCTGATTAGACGATCTAGAGACGAGCACCGTGAATCAGCCAACGTCGAGTCGTGGACACGGGGGCCACGAGCACCAGCATTAGCGGTGGTGGTGACGGTTTGCCGCCCAATTACGTGAGCGTTACCCGTCACCCACCGTTTCATCGTCTCGCAACAGTGACTCGTTCATGCACCACTGGACTATTGTGTGTGATAAGGTTTTTATCCTGTGAGAAGGTGCCCGACCGATTACTCCGGTTCCGCATCGCCGAGACGTCGTACCACAAACGCGACAGCGACATGACCTTTCGTCACGATTGCGTCTACTAGCTACTGGTGGTGCCTAGTAAGTTATGGTCGTTACATCATGCTATATTTGGATTACGTGGTCATCAGAAAGGAATTAATCATCAGTGGTCGCCTAGATCACCGCCACCGCCGAGATTTCGAATCAGGGCTCGTTTAGGCAAGCCAGACACGCCCGGCGAATGAGGTGGTGGCAATTATAGCGTTTTTGGGGGACGTCTGTCGATGGCGGGGTTAAAACTTTCCCCAATACGGTGCGTAATATCGGGTTTGCATGGCAGCGCGAAAGAAATGCATGTGAAAAATTAGGGGATTGCTTTGCTGCTAATGTAGTAACCAAACGTCTTTGTAAGCTGGTAGTAACTGTGGCCGTACACCATGAGGTAACGGAGTCGCGGGAACGCGCCCTCGGAGGAGCACATGGCGTGGAAGTCGTCGATCTGGTCGCGGTCACTCTCGGACACCCCGCGGTGTATTTTGCTCGGCAACGCCGTCAAATCGACCCAGATACGCGGATTGAGGTACCGTCCAAAGTCTATATCAAGTACTTGGAGGCAGTCGTCAAACTTGACGAGCAAATCGTACACTCGCGTCAAGTCGTAGGGCTTCAGTCTGAAATGGACTCGGAGCATGTTAAGCAGACGGCCACACTTAAGCCCGTAGTAGAACTCCTTTCTCATTTCCGTAAGCCGTTCTTCGTCGCCATCAATCACGTTCGGATCGTCCAGAAACGCTCTCACCGTCTTATCTTGAAGCAGGAGTGTTTGGAGACGAGCCAATTTGCGGGCAAGGGCGTTGGCGTAGTCGTCGCCGGTGTAGTCGAAGTGAAGGTGGCGTAAATTCAGCCAGTCGATCGCCTCCAACGGAATAGCATTGATCACGCCGTCCACCGAAAGCAGGCGGAGACGAAGCGTGGCTCCCGGCGCCACCAGCGTCTCCAGCGAGTTCACCCGGTACAATGAGAGAGTGTGTAAGTGGTCAAAGTGAGCGAGTCGAGCCAATATCTCGGGGATATCGACGCCAAAGCAGTTGATTTGGAGGTACTGTAAGCAGTGGCCGAATTGGTCCACCAGGGGCCATTGGTCAGGGTACACTTGAAGGCGAGTTGGGTAGGCGTCAGCATGTGGTATCTGTGCCACGAGCGGGTCGTCTTGTTGCACGATGACTTCGGTAGTGGTGAACTTCTCATTGAACATGCGGTAAAACTTCTGCGGGAGTCCCACTCGATTGAACACCACCAGCTTCACAAGCAGTGGCTGTAAGTAGCTGTTGGGACGTAATGTCAATTCCAAGAACCGTTGGAACCGCACCACCGTATAATTCTGGTAAAAAGGAGTGCTTCCGTAGCGAGGACTAAGGATCAGTGGCGCCAGCAGATCCACCACTAAATGGCGCAACAATTTTGCTCGTCCTAAACGATTGGCTCGCTTCAGCACCTGGCAAAAGCGAGCGCAGTCCGTCTGGTCGATATACGACAATATCTCCAACATGATTTCATCGGGCAAGATGGGCGGCTGATGGCTGGTGACCCCCAGAGTGATCTGACGCCGAAGCTCGTCGAGGCGAGAGTTCTGGGCTTCCACTACATCGTTGAGCTGCTGTCGAAACTCGGCCACAGTGCTTTCAACGAGTGCTAAGATATCGTCGGCCATTGGGTAAGCCCGCCGGTTTATAGTGCACGCGTCGTTAGGGATGCTAGCTGATAAGCCGCACTGCGAGTAAAAGCAGGCACCGAAAAAAACGTCAACTTCGGAGGCCAAATGAGGAACGAGACGGGAGCGGTTTAGCTGTAAGGGAGGCAATTTTAGAGGATGTAGAGTGACGACAGGGGTGACCCAAAGCCACAGGGGGTGGCAGCGAGGTACAGTGGACGAAAATGTTGGATTTTCATGTGATAAGCACAGGAGACGAGGCCACCCCACGTGACGAGAAGGGTCGCGATTTTGTCCCTCCTAATTCATGTGAATTTGGCAGAATGAGGAAAAAATGTTAGTCGAGGCAGAGATCGAACTGAGACAGAACACGAGCAATGATAAGGTTTAGATGTGGCGGTGAATTTAGGTTAGAGAGGAGAGATGATATGATTGAGATTTAAATCAGAGCTATAGAGGAGCTTAGTAACCGTGAACGTGGAGTCTACTCGTGGTTTATAGGATATGGTCTGGGCTATCAGTTGTAAGACCCCTCGATGTGGTCATCGTTTCGAATTTTGGGATTGCCAATGATCCGGTTAATCTCATCCGAAACTGTGTTATCGTTGTGCTTATGTAAAGTACTCACTGGAAGATTTAATCAGACTATAGCGAATGGTGAGGAATTTGACTTTTTCGGAGAAAAGCAAGACAAGAGCTCGCTGTCATTGATGTTGTAGAACAGTATTCCTAGTACAATGTTTAGGACTTCATTCGCCAACTATAGTGGTTATAGGGTTTACAGTTCTCTACATTTGATGAATCAATAATTCATTTTGTTTATACCCGGGCCATCAACACCTGGAGCAATTTTTCCCAGCCGCTGTTGACCCACTCGGCGACGATGGCGCTCAAATGCTTTAAGTGGCTGGCGGTGGCGGTGGGGGGCGCCGCGTCCACCACTACGGGAGCGGGCGGTGCTACCGGAGCGACCGCCTCAGTGCCAAAAAGCCACAGGTACAAGTAGTAGCCGACGACCAGGGCCGCGCCCAGCGCTAAGCCCATGCCGAGGCCAATGCCCACGGTGAACGACGCCACCATCCACCACCGCAGCGGCGCCATCTCCAGCTCCAGTGCCCACATACGGCGGAGGGCGTGGTAGAGCCACCGCACCGTGGTCAATTTACCCAGTAATTGTAAAGGGTCGATTGCCAGCGTCAGCGACGTCAAGTCGCGTTTGAACTGCCCTTCCAACTGGTGGTAGTCCTGGGGCGAAGTGGTGATGAGCAGGTGGTACACCAGCGCCGGCGCCAGTGCCACCACCAATTGGTGGCCGTGTCCCGAGTACTCGGTGTCGATGAAGTGCAGAAGCTTAGTCGCGAGTTCCGGGTGGGTAAGCAGCAGCGCCTTCCACATCTGGTAGGGCTTCATCAGCGCGATTAAGTCGAATAAATTGACGAAGTAGTTGACGGACATCATGTTGATGATGGTGAGTTTTGGCGAGCACCGCACCTGGCGGATAAACTCGACAAACTCGGCCAGGCCGTCGTTCAACAAAAACAACAAGTCGGCGCCGTAAGCGTCGGCGGCGTTGGTCAGGTGGCGGAGATCGATGTGGCAAATGTCGACGTCGGCGTGGGCGACGTGGCGCGCCACCTGGTCGACGAAGTGGCGCCCGTGGCTACTTCGGGTGACAATGGCAATGCGGTAGCGGTGGGGGCCGCCCACAGTCATCTGGGGCATGATGAACGTCTTGGGCACGTCGGGGACGTCGTCGTCGTCGTCGCTGTCGAACACCATCACCTGGGGCAGCGGCACCACCACCACCAGCTTCAAATCGTCGCTCAGTTGGGAGAGGATCAGATTGAGGTCGTCGGCGGAGGTGGGCGGGCGGGGCAGGAGCTCGAGGTCAGGGTGGTTGAGGGCGTTAAACACCAGCGAGTGCAGCGACAACGACACCATGATTGGATATTGTATGGGCGAGGGTACAAGAGGTGTGGGTTTGTAGGTTTAAGGGAGGGGTAGCCTCACGCCCTGCATGACGGGTGGGGCGATAACGACCTGCACACAAGCAAGGCAGCAGGGAAAAAAAATGAGAGACACTAAGGGAGAACCAGTGCCATCACTTCGCGATCACTCAGATTGCGCGCGCCAGCGACCATATAACCCCCCAGTGATGCCACTGAGGCTTTTTAAGGGGCAAATCGTTAGCGCTTATGTAATCGCTGGCACTAATCATCGCCCGCCTCGATTCTCATGAAGTACTCGAGGCTTAGATGTCCTAGACCATTCAGCTGTAAATTATTTGTGTTGGTGGTATGACCGGTCACCCAGCGCTATCACGCGGCCGGCGGTGCCACCGGTGGTGTGTAGAGAGATCCACTCGTATCGCCCCCCCCCGCCACCCGCCGCACAGACACCACCCAATAAGCGACAGTGATTCGGGCGCGGAGTTCGGAATTATGGTGATCTATCCCAGGGGGCAGTCGCCGCGCTCGGCCCACATAACGGATATTTGCTCCCCCTCCTCCGTGTATAAGTGGGGAGAGATCGACGACAAGCGAGTTACCTGTGTCGGCGCCTAGCAGATGGGGTCTCTCACGGGTGACTATTTGGGAGGTTGGCAGCAGTTGTATGACGTCATTTGTTTCACACTGACCCTGCCATAAGCGCGGCCACCCATTCCACACCAGCCGGTGTCGGCCCACCAGCCGGTGTCGGCAGCGACACTGCCCCGCGTCCGTCGTCTGTGGCAGACATTTCGTATTGTTAGCCACTCCGCATCACGGCACTCGGGCGGCGGGCGCGGCCCGGTGGCGCCAGCGTCAATTTGACGGCCTTCCAACCTAATTTAGCAATTTGGGCCCAGGGAAAGTCGTGCGCTGCCCACGCGTCACAACATAGCCGAAGAAGTATATACACCCTCCAACCAGCCCCATCTCCCCAACTGCCGACTATGCTGTACCAACAAGGCCCTCCCCAAGGCGGCTACTACCAACAAGGTCCCCCTCAAGGCGGGTACTACCAACAAGGTCCCCCTCCCCAACAGGGCTACTACGGTCAGCAACAGGTATGTGAAACCTTAATCAATTGATCTCTGCCATCGCGCCGTTACTAACTTGTGTTTATAGCAACCGGTGTACGTCCAGCAAGCGCCGCCCAAGGACGACGGCTGTGGCTGCTGTGGGACGTTCTGCGGGTGTCTCGCGGCGATGCTCTGTTGTGAAATGTTGTTCGATTAATTACCATTTAGATAATAGAAGTTACATGCTACTATTCGTCGTCGGAGTCGCCAGCGTCCAATTGCGGCATCTCAAAGTCGCTGTCGTCGGAGTCAGCCGCGGGTGCCGACGCCAATGCCGCAGTCAGCGGCGCTGCGGGTGCCGCTGGCACCGTCTCCGCCACCGGCACCGGCACCGTCTCCACTAATGCCACCGGTTCGGCAATTGGTTGTTCCGCGATGGTCTCCACCACCGCTTCTTCGACTACGGGGGTCACCGAGGTGGGCTGGGGCACCGCGACGTCGTCGACCTTGCGCTTTTTAGGCGCCGGCGCGTCGGCATCGGCGTCGGCATCGCGCTTGGCAGCGCCAAGCTCTTCGTCGTCTTCGCTGTCGGACTCATCTTCAACTCCTAAATCAGCGGTCTGATGAGCCAGTAAATCAATAAACTTAGGCAACGGAGGTAAACGTGGGTGGGTAAACACCAGCACCAATGGGTCGTCGGCCAAGATCAGGGCGACAATGGGTAAGATCAGAACTTTTTCGTAGCCAGGGTAAACAATGGCATCGATCAAAAGCTGGCGCAACTCCTGCGGTACTTGGCGATGTAAAGTATAGTACTTTGCATGCACCGCTTCGAGGATGATGTAGCGCATCATCTTGTAGTGATAAGTAGGCGGGAGCGCCGGCACCAGAGTGACGACGGTGGTGAAGAACCGGCGAGCGGCGGCAAGCACCGGCTCGGGGATGGTGTCGACCAACAAGTTGGCGTTGGTGAGCAAGTCGGCGAGGGGCACCAGCAGCGCCTTCTTCAGGCGCTTAGCCTTTTTACCGGCGCCCTTGGCGCCCAGATTAGCGGCATTAGTCAGCGCTGGCGACGGCGCCATCCGAGGTTCAACGAGAGCCACGGCAACATCGAGGAAGCGGAGAAGCGACGACGGGTCAGACACCGACGTCGCCAATGCCAACAAGTCGGCGACCACCACCAACAAGTCGCCAAAGAACCGCTGGCGTCTCACCACCGCCACGGTGTCGACGCGCTTGTTGTGGATGGGCACCACCGTCTCCAATGTGGCGACGATGCTGGAGAAGTGAGGCAAAAGCAGACCCGAGTACACCGGCACCAAGCGCTTAAGGAGCGCAATGGCGTGGGTGTGGTTAAGCTCGGTGGAAAGGGTAATCAAGTGCTGGATGTTGGCGTCGCGGACATCAAACTTAAACTTGTGGAAGCGGGGCGAAATAAGCACCATCGCCTCGATGACGCCGAGGGCTTTACCAAGGGGTACTTCCACCGTCAACTTCAGACCTTGAGTGAGGTAAGCGCCGAGCAATTCCGTAAGCAGTTTAAGGCGAGTGCTAAGTAAAAGGATCGACAGCGGCGCGTTGAAGTCAATGGCAAGATCAGCGAAAATGGGGTCAACTGACTTACCGTCAACGGCAGCCGGGGCCGCTTCGAGGCCCAGAAGAAGCTTATTCAAATCACCATCGTCTTCAAAGTGGAGCAAGTCGCCGTAGACTCTCAATACTCTCACAATTTCGGCGATGATGGCGCCGACACGAGCGCGCCAGTGCGCTTCCGGCGACACGTTCTCAATGACGGGGAGAGTGGCGATGGCGCCAAACACCAGCTGGCGGAGCAGCTCAGGGAACCCGTCGAAGTTGGGCAACGCCACCATCGCCACGAGCGCCGCGTAGTACTTGTTCCCGTAGGCCCGGAACACCGTGGGGTGGTGCACCAAGATCTTTGTCAACAGCGGCACCACCACCGCGGGCGCGTACTCAAGCTGGTCAAGGTAGCCGCCAATGATCAGCGGAGCGCCTTTGGGCGCAAGCCGCGGCGTCAACAACTCACGCACAAGCGTGTCCTTACCTCTAATCTGGTCACACACGAAATTGATGGAATCGACAGTAGCGGTAAGCACCTTAATATCGTGGGAAGCGTTCCAGGCGTGGAGGTTTTGGATGAGGACATCAAGCATGGCAGCACCATCGCTGGCAAGCAATTCGTAGTTAAGGGCAAGCGCCTTAATCATCACGGTGCCACACCATTTGGAGTAAGGCTGATTCAGCCGGGCTAAATTAAGCGTGCGGGCGACGAGATGGCGGGTTTCCTCAGGCGCTAACCCTTTACCTTTAGTCACAGTAAGGTATTTGAGAATGGGGACCACCAGAGTGGGTTCCCCTTTGAGCTCGTCAAGGACGACGGCGATGGTAGTCATGAATGTGTGGGTATGGAGTCGCGTCCGCGATGAGATGAGGCCCGATGAGCCTAAATAAGGACGCACCAAACATACGAGATTATGTAAGGAAATCTAACTTGTAATGATTAATTGAAAGGTGTTTTTGCTGGTAAAATTGAGATTTAGTTCATTTTCTTGATTTATGTTGGGTACGTGTGGGTTAACGGCTGTATTGCACGATTACGCACCCATGGAAGTAGTGTCATTGTGTATCTACTCATTCAAGTAGCCACGATTGCATAACTATTGGCGAATGTTTCAGGAAGTTATTTGCAATTGCCACCTTTTTTGTTTATATGAGCCATGGCAGCGAGATCGAACAACTCTCTTTAGGAGTATTGAGTCAACAGAAGGTTACATCGATACATACTAGTTCCATACATACCAGCCTGGCTTAATCAGATTTGCGAGGTCTACAATCAGGGGTTGAATAATGATATTTATTATGAGTGGATCACTCTTTTTCGATGAAAATCTTTTTTAATGAAAATCTGTTTTAATGAATTCAAAGGACATCGTCCAACAAGCCCTTGAACTTGAACGGCTCGTAGGCATACCCTTCGCCAATGAAGTACTTCAGCATCGACTCGACCCAGTGCAATCTCAACGAGTGCAACATAGCCGACGTCCCTTCCATACACACCAACACCGCCACCGTCAACACAAACCACATAGCAAACAACACCACCGTCATGAGCACCCCGACAAAGCCCGTCATGCCAAAGGCACCGCCGATGGTCATCGTCCACAACACCGTCGACAACTGGGCGTGGGCCAACGACAACGCCCACAACCGGAGGTAGGAAGCGGTGTGCGACACACAGTTAAGACAGAACTCGATGGTGTGGATAACTTGGTGGATGACAACATCGCCAAAGTTGTGTTCGTCGTCGTGTTCGCCCTCAGCGTCGCCACCAGCAGATTCGTCCTGGGGCACCTGGTTGTACTGCTGCTTCAGCATCTTTCTCTTGACGTAGAGGGGCTTCACCAACAACAACCACGGCACACAGATGAGGGCCACCGCCAACAAGAACACTTGGACACCGGCTTGGTGCGGGTACAATTCTTCGGCCACGGTACCGGGCGACAAGAACATCAGGATCAACATGTTCAACAACCCGGGAGGTTGTTTACCGATGCCGAACCAGTCGACCAGCCACTTGTATACAATACACAACGACAAGTACCCGAAGATCAGCTGCATAAACAACAAACCGGGGATAAAGTTGCCGATGATGTCGATCCCCCAGTCAAAGTAGATGTCGTTGACTAACGAGAAGAAGTACGAGTAGGTCATGTGGATGTACCCCATCAAGATCAGCAACTTCATCTTGTATGAGTTCAGGAACAAAAGCTGGTTTTCCGCCCCGTGCCAAGCCCAGTCGAACCCGAACACGTAGGTGCCCACGCGCTTAGCCACTAAGGGAGTGCCGATTTCAAAATCTTCGGGCCATTCCCAGCCCAGCTTAAACAACGTCATCAGCTTAGAGAAGATATCGTTGTAGATCAAACCGGTGTAGATGGAGAAACCGCCCATGAGCAAAAGGATGTAACGCCCAGTGAAAGCCATGTCGAAGATTTCGTCACGCTTGGACGCGCCAATGGGCTTTTCGAAGTATACTAACAACGCCGCCACCATGAACAAAAGGATCCCGTGACCCAAATCACCAAACATAATGGCAAACATGAAAGGGAACGTGACGATGGTGGGGAGACCAGGGTTCACTTCCTGGTACAGAGCAATCCCGTAGGCGTCACAGATCAGTTGGAATGCCGCCGTGAACTTGTTGGTGCGGTGGAACGTGGGAGGGGTGGTGGTGGTGGAAAGAACGTTGACGATCGTCGGCATCAGCCCGTCAGTCTGTCTCACAAGCGACGCCAAGGTATCGATGTCGTCGGTAGGCACCCAGCCTTCGGCGACAAGCGTTTGCCGCAGGGCGTCGTAGTCACAACGGTTCATCACTTCGTATACGGCTTTTTCACGAGCAATCACTTCCCACCATTTGCCCAAATCCTTGGAAATGGCAATGAGTTCCAGGGTCAAGGCAGCTTCCGACAGCTTCAAAACCAAGTTGAGGTCTTGAAGTTTTTGAGTAATGTCCTTAGCTTGTTCCTGACGTCCCTCAACTGAGGCATCGACGTCATAAAGATTAGCCCCCAACGACTCACAGATCTTAGTAACTCGCTGGTGGATGATGGAACCATGAGAGAAAATGATAAAGAAGTCCCGTTCGACACTGGTCTTGTGCTCGGGGTCGTAGACCGGCATGGGGATCTGTTCAGACTCGATAAAGACATTGCCCCGCAATGCCCGCCACAAGATCTGTTGCAATGCCCCCACCTTAGTGCGGTCAATTACCCCTGAAATAAACTTAGTGTCAGCCTGTTCCGACGACTGTGCCTGTTGAGCTTCGAAAAATCGACTGACGCCCTGAACCGAGTATCTCTTTTGGGTTAATTCCCTCTGGTTCGAGAGCAAACGGTTACGGGCTTCTTGCAATTGAGACACACGGTCTTCCAATAACTTAGCATTCAGCTCGTACTCTTCAATCTCCGTTTGCGGGCAAAGAGCGATGTCGTAAGGGTAAGGCGCCACTTCGACGTCCCTCTGCTCTAAATCAGCCTTGAACGAACGGTATACCCGCTCAATATTGTCGAGGCGGCGCAACTCGTTGACAAACAGACGCTGGAAGTCCAGGAGCTTAGCGTTGAGGTCACGGAACTGCATGAGTCCCAGCTGGCCAATTGAGTACACGACCTCCCGCAGAATCTCGTTGGGCACGTACAATTGGACGAGCGACATCTCCGCCGAGCCTAGCAGTTAGTATAATGATGGGATATGATGATAGTTTGAGGGGAAACTTACGGAAAATGGCCTCGTCTTTGGTCATGGCTGGAGCAACGATGGTCGGCGGATGGGTTTTGATAAGGGTGCGAATAGTGGGTTGGTGGGCGTGGAGGGCGTGGATCACGTGACTGGGCCATGAGTAAACTGGCGCCGCACGCACCATTTTTGGAACAACGTGTGCAGGGCAATTACTCCGCCGTTATTAACGACACAAACGGCGACTTTTACCCCGCCACCACCACCGTCACACGATCATGGATACCCGTCAGGAAAAGATCATCAGGCAGACCGACTTGGATGCGCTATCGCTGCGCCACAGCGCCAACAAAAATGGCTACTTTGACCCTGCTGACCCTTACATCGACGACCTTATCGCGCTGTACCAGAACTATCTCCACTATACTGGGGGGTACACGTCGATGCTGGCGTCACGAACGGTACGTCTGGCGTTCGCTGAACGTAAATTACCCATTATCAATAGGGGGACTTACTTGAGAACTAAAGCGATCGATCTCGCTATCGAGCGGTTTCTTGATCAATATGAGGGCAAACCAACACAAATTGTGCTGTTAGGAGGAGGATCTGATACTAGAGTGTTTGGTTTACTTGAGAAGTACCCTGATTTGGTGTACCACGAGCTTGACTTCCCTGATCTGACAAAAGTGAAAAAGCTCGCGATTGAAGCTAATCCTCGGCTTGCCAAAGCAGTGGGAATTGACCCGGGATACACCCCGACACTGGTGAATAATCGGGCTGAATGGGAAGCGGTTGAAGGCGATATCCACACATCCAAGTACCATCTCGTGGGGTTTGATTTGCGTAACTTGACTACCGGTATCCCTTACCCTCATCTCGATTCTGAATTGCCGACATTGATCATTTCCGAATGTGTCCTCTGTTATGTTAGCCCTGAACAGGCAGAGCTGATTCTTAAGTACTGGATGGCCGCGGCTAAAGATTCCTATTTCATCATCTACGAGCCCATCCTGTTGGGCGATGCCTTTGGTGCCACCATGGCCAAAAATCTCGCTACTCGAGGCATCAATTTGATGCTGTTTGAAGCGTATCCCACCATTGATCTGCGACGTCAATGGCTTGAGAAATGCGGCATGACTGAGGTTGCCGTCGACGATATAGCCACTGTTGGTGGCTATACAGGTTTCCTGTGGATCTCCAACGCCGAGCTTGCTCGGATAAACCGATTAGAACTCGTGGATGAAGTGGAGGAGATCGTCATGTTATATAAGCACTACGTTGTGTGCTACGGCGAGCACCACCGATAGTTTCCATAGTTGTCGTGATCATTATAATACAAGAAAAAGGCGGGGCACCACCAGGGTAATTTACAATCTCGCCACGTGCTTGTCAAACAAGGCCTTAGCCCGCACCCATACCGGCGAGTTTTCGCGGTTGGGGAGCTCCAACAACAGGGGCAACAAGTCGCGAGCAAAGAACTCCGAGGCTTCCCGGGGCAAGAGCGACGGCAAGTGGTCGATCAGGCACACCAGCAACTTGGGGCCGGCGGTGGTTTCAACAGGGACGGTGGGGTCGTTGAACACAGTGGCAACAGTGTACACGGGGATGGGGTTGTGGGGGTTGGTGGTATCGGCCAGGACGTCGACAATGGTGCGCAACTTTCTGTCGGGGGTGTTGAGCAGGTCGAAGTCGATGAAGGGAGGGATGGGCTTCGACAAGTAGATGCAGTTGACAAAGATGTCCAGGTCGACGATCTCCTTGAACGGGCCACCCTTAGCGGTTTCGGCCATGTCCCACTTTTGGATTTCGGCATCAGGGATGCCCACCTTCTTGAACAAGTCGACGGCTCCCGAGCCACAACGGCCGAGAGCACCAATGACGAGACACTTGGGGTAGACACCGCCGTTGGCCCTCAACGCGGTAGCCAATTCCTTCTTGACGTGAGCAATCAACTCGTCTTCGTTAGGGTAAGGGGTAACACCGCCCAAGTTTTCGTCGTCGCTGTGGGTTTGCTTGAAAGCCCAGTCCAATACCCCAATGGCGGCACCAGCGAAACCGGCGTAGTAGCCGAAAGCGGCCACCCGGCGGCCTTGGTCGTTTTCAAGGAACTCAAGGTCGTAGAGAGTACCCTTACCTTCAGGGAAACGACGCAACACGTCCTTCCACCCGGCCTGGTCCTTGTAGCAGTGGGCGAATTGGATGTGGGTGTGCTTCAACGGAAAGCTGTCTTCTGGCAACTCCTTCAAACCGTAGATGATTCTGTCGGTGGGAGCGTCGACCCACAGGCCTTCAGGGACAATTTCAGCACCCACGGCCTTGTATTCGTCGGAGGAGAAAGTCAGCTGCGACAGCTCTTCCACGTACACCTTGAACCCGGCGTCAAGCAACGCCTTGGTGGTTTGCGGGGTCAACGCCGCTCTCGCTTCGAGGGGCTTGGTTTCGGCTCTGAGATGCAAAATAACCGGATTGGATTGATTGGACATGATCGGTAGTGGTGTGTGTTTTTTTTTTTTCACTTTTTCCACTGTGAGTGGCAGCACTTATATAGCGCGCATGCCCGCTATGACTCTTATCCGATTGCCGCGTTTTCCAGCAGTAGGTGCGCATTGATAAGAGTGAGTCAGACACGAGGCAGCGGGCTAAAGGAGGAACAGGGGAAAGAAATTTAAAGTTAAGCTAGTTAAAAATGACAACAATAAGGGCCTATAAAAATTTCAATCTCGTATTTATGGAAATTATCGGTTTCGTGCCATTCTATTAGTTTTGGTTAGTACAGTAGGTACGGCTCACGTGGCAGTGACTCATGGGGTAAGCCGTAGTGCCATTTGTGGGGGGCGCTGCGGCTGCCACTAGCCAAGTTATATGCAGGAAAACTTCAAAGAAACTCAGAAGCTGTCAAACCATAGCTTTAAAACAACAACAAAATGGTCGTAAATTTTTTCTATTTACATGCTATAATTGACGGAGATATTTCTTGACGTATTCGGCGAGCTTAGGCTTGGCTTCGGCCCAGTTTTCATTTCCGTCAAAAGCGTCGCCGTAAACTCTGAATAACTTCTTGATGTGAGCCACTTCGTACTCGTCTGAAATCACGCCCGCCTCAATGGCTTTGTCGTAGACAAGGTGAGCAAACTCGCGGTCGTGGTCGTAGAGCTGAGCCAACACTAACAGTTCAGTAAGCTTCCCCAGCGCCAGCCGGTGCGTTTCTGGGTTAGCTTCTCGCAGGACTTGGCCAATATAGTCATTATACACCGCCAACAGGTCCTCAGCGTTGAACGCCAGCTTAGCCACAATCAAAAATTGAAGAATCCGCACCGAAAGGTCGTCGGCGGGTACCAAAGTCTCAGCAATTTGGAGGTCAAGTTGAGATTGTTTAGTGAACGCTTGGAAGCAGAAAGCCTTGACGAGCTCCGTTTGCACGATTTCGCGGCCGTAGCTTTCCCGCTGGTACCGATGCCAACGTTCATTAGCTTTCGACATGTCGTCGACCGTTATCCCAAAGAAGGTGATAATACGCATCCGAAGGAGAAGCGATTCCGGGTTCTCGCTCACATCCAATCCCTTCTCAACGATGTAGTCCACAATGCGTTGACCCAAGCCAATAAACTCGATGGGAATTTGTAAGTCCACCTCCTGAGCCACCTTCAAGTATTCTTCGGAGACTCCACCACACGCCACCCTTTCAATCGCGTCCAAGGCATCGGATAATTGTCTTTCCTTGAAAATTTCGGGGTTCTTGGTGAAGACAGCATCAAATACAGCAAGAAACTCTTCATCTTTGGTCCGTTCCAATAACTCGTGGCCGAATTGAGGTGAAAGGTGGCCATCAGCGATGAGTTGAGCGATAACCGAAACCAACTGATGCTGTTCAAGCAGAGACACGATCAACTGTTCGGTATTGGCATTAAGTCCACCCAGTTTGATCACTTGGAGCAAATACCCCAAGTTCTCCATGACATCGCTCCCCACAAGTTTTGCCACAAGTGCGGCTTTGAGGTCGGGAGTGTCATCGAACTTGCCTTGGTGTGATTGGTAAAGCTCCCAGGGAGTCACAACTCGGCCCGGATTAACTTCAATCAATCGCTGGAGCACTTCAGGCAGCTTAATTGATTCTTTGGGGAGCTTGAAGAACACAGAAAAGTCAGGAATGAGGGCTTGGAGCGCCTTCTGTTTCTCAGGGTGTTCAGCATGGTTAAGCTCGTCAATCAATGATACCCTTTCACCCACGGGAAGTGCCTTAAGTTCTTCAGGCGTGAGCTGGGCAAGCCTCAGCGTCAGTAATCGCCGGACGTAGCGAAGCATTGGGGCGCGAACATGGATCACTAATGGCTATAAATTTGATTCATACGCAAAAACTTTTTAGCTAAACAGAAAACACGCAATGCCACAAATCATAGCACATTGAGATGAGTGATAACAATGTAAATCGATCTTTAATTGATGGGTTCTAACACGTTTAGCACGACTTTAGATATATGTGTGTGATTAAGTATATTTGCTATGAATTGTATGTGAAGTTAGATGAACACTTCACCGCTGAATTGACGGCTTTCAACCGTCGGCTTTTTCTTCACCGGTAACGGTGGAGCCTTCTTGTCAAGCTTAGAGTCAGTGGACACTTTCCGCAAAGGTGTGCCTCTAGCTGACCCCTTCTCGTTGAGACTTTCGCTCGTCGACAGTTTGGGTAAGCGTCGCTTGGGGCCCTTAGCTCTCAGTTTGGTGGCATGCTGAAGTTTTCCCGAGCTAACGGTATCGCTTCGCTTTAACGATGATGACAGTCCAATTGACAACTGCAGCGAGTTCAACAGCACAGCTGACATGACACTGACGGGGGTAAGGTCTGACGGCGACTTACGGCCATCGCTCAGGCCTCCCGAAGGTGGAGCCCCTCGCTTCAATATGTTACCCAATTGAGCCTTGAAATCAGGTTCTTCAACTTCGACAGGAGCCTTTCGAGGAAGCGGTTGTGGGTGCTTGAGAGCACCAAGCTTGGCAAGAGCCTCAGGAGTCTCCTTGGGTTTAGGTTTGACTGGCGGCGCTGCTTTGAGTTTGGAAAGAGTGGCGATCGCCTCCACTGGTTGTGCTTCGGGTTTGGGTGCCTGCTTCGTCGTAGTTGACCGCCCGAGGCGCAGCATTTGCAGTCGTAATTCGGCAGCATCGGCTTCGAGGTATTTGCTGTCCTTAGGTTTGGAGGGGGTATCGGTTTTGCTAGGAGAAAGACTGCGAAGCTTTTCTGCTAAAATAGCGGGCTCATTGTCGGCTGGTGACGGTTTCGCTGCTTTAGGGGGAGGAAGCTTCTTCTTACCGAGTTTCTCCATTGTCGATGCTAATAACTCCTCGTCTTCATTGTCCGATGGCTTGGGAGGCTTTCTCGGGGGTGGCTTGGTAGCCTTAAGCTTTTGCAATTGGCTCACCACTGGTACTTCCTCAGGTGTGGCCTTGGGTGGCACAGTAGGCTTTTCTGGCGATCGTTTGAGCTTTGCATTTAAAAACTCAGGCACCTTTTTGTCGTCATCCTCAACAACAATGTCTTTTGCCCGTGCCAGCTTTTTGATCTCAAAGTTTGGTTTAGTATTGTCGGTGTATTGGTGGGCATCAGTCCCCCGTGAAAGGGCCAGATCAATCCATGACAGCTTAGTAGGGGAACGACTGACACTACGAGTCATCTCGCTTTCACCATGGGCTGTGGTCAGCGAGGCCGACTTGCTAGTGGCCAGCGAGAGCCAGTCGGTACGAGTGGGCGAGCGACTGATTTTCGCCGGCGAAGTGGGTACCGCCGCTTGACTCGATTGGCGATGAGCGGTAGTGGCACTGTTGCTGCTAAGCAGGGCCATCCAACTCAGCTTTGAAGGAGACCGCACCGGTGACGTCGACAGCTGTACATGGCGCTCAGTCTTGGGGTTCGCTTGGAGCAGCAGCATCCAGCTCAGCTTGGATGGCGATCTCGTTGGCAGTACGTTGACTTGGGTGTGTCTTTCAGTCTTGGAATTAGCAGAAAGTGAGTTCATCCATCCCTTTCTGGCAGGCTTTTCCGGGGCACGACCACGGTTGTCGTCGTAGTTTTCAGCCTCAAAGTCATCCACGGGTTGCGGTGGTACCTCTGTTAACTTAATAGGAGGCTTCCACAGCTTCAACGGGTTCGTGGACTTTGCCACCTTGGGTTTTGGGGCTTTAATTGGCGGTGGGTGCTGCTCAGACTCGTCAGAGGAGATTAACTCGGGCCTTTCTTCCACTGGACTAACACGATCGGATAACGATGGTTTTGGTGGTTTGAGAGGCAAGCTTTCTTCTGAGTCTCCCAGCACGATGCTGCCGGAAGAGCTGCGTATCAGCGTCGCGTCAGCAGTGGAACGACTCACCGATTTACCTACCAGAGCCACGGTGACCTTTTGCTCGCTGATTTCGCGTTCCATATCAACAAACTGCTGGGGTGGCCGTTTGCGAGGCGCGGGGGGTGCGGGAGGCTCTCCCACCGCCTGCTTTGGTGGCTGCCACTGTGACAAAAGACTGGCACCCTTAAACCGCGGATTACCAATTCCCAGAGACTTACTCTCTTCCTCTGGATGGTGATTATCAGCTTTGGAGGGTGACATCACATAGTTGTCATACTCGGGGAACCCTTCTTGCGGGGGTGTTTTGCGTTTAGGTTTAGCTGGCGGCACCCGCTTGTCTGTATCCGGCCGACGAGGCAACGGAGGACCTTCATCGTCGCTTTCGATACGCGTAGACTCACCGACATGATTCATCAGTGCCCGTCTGCGGGGCAAAGGCGGCGCATCCTCGTCGGAGTCGACGTCCTGTAACTCAGCGCGGTTCCTAACCCCAAGGCTAGGTTTACGCCGAGGTAACGGCGGTGTGCGGTTGTCTTTTCGCTTTGGCAAGGGTGGAGTCTTGTTGTGTCTCCGTTCAGGTAAGGGAGGGGTCTTATTGTGCTTTCTTTCGGGTAATGGTGGAGTCTTGTTATTTCTTCTCTCAGATAATGGTGGGGTCTTATTATGTCTTCTTTGGGGTAATGGGGGAGTCTTATCACGTCTTCGTTGAGGCAACGGCGGCGTTGACCGGCGCTTAGGCAAGGGAGGAGCGTGTTCGTCATCGTCGTCGTCACCACTGCTGTCGTCGTCTTCAGCCAACGCCGGCGGCTTGCGAGCCGGTACCAGACGATTGAATGCAAGCTTGGGGGGCAATCCGAGGGATTCGCTCGGTCTGCCTGCCAATTCAGCGTCGTCGGCACTCACCAGCCGCTGGTTCTTTTGCGGCAGTTGCGACCGGCTGCGGAGCTCAGCCACCTCCCGTTCGAGTTGGCGTTGGCGTTGACGGTCCTCTCGAAGCTTGTCCTGCAGAAGCTTCGAAAGCGAGTTGAGGAACGTGTCCACCTGACCCTGTTCCTCAGACATAGCCCGGTATGCTTATGATCTCGGTGTGGTGCAATAGAGGCGCGAAAGCAAAACACCGGCGGGCTATGCGATCGACAGATGATGGCAAGGGCAAGTCGAGTAAGAGGCTAATAAGTGGAGTTGCATACTTCTAGCTTTAGCGAACCTATTGAATGTGATAGATTGGATGATATCTTCTTGATGTGACGTGATGTGTCTAACTGTAGAGTGGTTGCTGAATAGATATGGTAAGGTCACTCGGAAGAGGCCAATCCTATTTTAATTGTGTAATGTAGCCATATGGTGTTGATATTCCTGTAACCAGTATCATCTTGATCTCGGTGCTTGTAGCACGTTCAACCCCACACTTCATACCATCTCACAGCAACCATTGCCCGCACCATGACATGGCTTCGGACTTCAGCCAATTCCTCCAGCTGCTTAATGATTCCCAGTTAATCTCTCAAATCAATGAGCTCACTCAGGCAGCTAAGCGGACTCAACTGACCGAGACCGATCCCTTTGACGACGGCCTCGATGATGTGCTTCGAGGTCTAGTCGATGACGGACCCGAAGCAGTATCTACTCCTGTGGGTTCACCCCGCAAGGAGATCGAAACCGCCGTGCCGCTGAAACTGCCGACTCCCTCACATGATGATGATGACGAGGAAGACGAGGTTGACTACGGTGAAGTTGGCGATCTCCATGAGTTTGGAGACTTTGGCGCCTATTTTGATAACAAGCGCCGCAAACAGGAGCTTCTGGACCAAGAATACACTCGCTGGGAAAACAAGCGGATAGCTGAAACTCTCGGCGGCCAGGAACAGTATCCCCCAATCTTCAAAGATTGTCGAATTCACGTGAATGGGTTTACCGACCCGCCCATTGCCGAGATCCATCGCCTAGTTGTTCTATACGGTGGGAAGTTTATTCTGTATCTTACCAATAAGAGTGCCGCTACTCATATCATATGCGACCGGTTAACTCCGCGTAAACGAATCCAGTTTCGCAACTATAAGGTTGTGAAGACGCAGTGGTTACTCGATCTGATCAAAAACAAGGAGTTGGCAAATTGGCAGGAGTACCGGCTTATTGAAGAAGTCGAATACGGACAACAGCGCCTTCAAGTCGATGTATCACCACCCAAAAAGACTACAGCAGCGAGTGATGCATTAGTGGCAACCCACCCTGACTTTCTCCCCCATTTCTTTGCCAAGCTGCGACTTCACCATCTCAGTACATGGAAGGCTGATCTACGACTCAAATTTCTTCGCCAATGCAAACCATTAAATCGACCCAAAGGTCAAGTGCCACGGGTTATTCTTCACATCGATTTTGACAGTTTTTTCGTTGCTGCTCTGGCAACAAAATACCCTGAATACGACAACCTAAAAGTACCTTTGGCCGTGAGTCACGGCACAGACACGCTGGACGTTGCCCTGTGCAATTACGTGGCTCGACAATTCGGCGTTCGAAATGGGATGTGGATGCGTCTGGCTAAGGAGAAATGTCCTGGTCTCAAAGTCATTCTGTATCAGTTTGATACCTATGAGAAAATCAGTAATGAGTTTTACGACTATCTAATTGGGCTCAACTTCGATGTGGTATACCCGGTGAGCATCGATGAAGTTCTTGTTGATGCAAGTCACTACATCCACAGCCAGCCAGGACCCAAGGAGGAAGAAATCACTAAACTAGCTCAAATGATTCGCCAAAATGTATGGGACTTCAGTGGATGCACAGTGCTGGTGGGTGCAAGCGACAACGTGCTCATGGCTAAGCTTGCTCTTCGTAAGGCTAAGCCAGACGGCTACAAAGTATTCATTGATTATAGTCAAGCTGAGTTGGAAGCCTTCATGAGCGACATACCTGTTGATTCTCTTCCTGGGATTGGTCGCCACCTCAAAGTCCGCATTGAGGGTTTATGTCAGAAATCCAACCCCATGGTTCTGCCCGACTTGAGGCGGATAAATCAGGACCGGTTAGTCACTGAGTTTGGCGCTGTGTTGGGAAAACGAATGTGGGAATACGCACGCGGTATCGACCCTATTGAACTCGAAATTCTGAGCGACTCCTTGGGACGCAAGCTGGTGTCAGTAGACGTCAACTACGGCATTAGATTCACCAATTATGATGAGCTAGACGATTTTCTCATGCGATTAGCGCAGGAGTTGGCGAAACGTCTCAAAAATCTTGGATTCAAAGGACTGAACATCGGGCTTCGTCTTGCTCGTAGAGCTGAAGGAGCACCTATACAGTCTGAGAAGTTTCTTGGTCTAGGTATCGTTGATTTTTTCCTGAAGAGCTCACGGCTTGGGGTGGCCACCTACGATGAAGGGGTCATGGGGCTGGAAATGAAGGCTCTATATCGCATGCTTAATATTCCAGTGGTGGACCTAAGAGGGGTGGCAGTGACAATGACGCGGTTGGTCGAAGCCAAGTCTGAAAACCAAAAAAAGTTGGATTTTACTGCAAAGCCGAAGACTTTGCCGACAAACCTTGGTAAAATCCCCGATTTAAAGCCAGCTAATTCTCGCGCTCCTTTGGACACCACCGAGCATATTCCTCAAGCTGAGGAGATTGATTGGGACGTTTTTAATGCTTTACCCGATGCCATACGAAATGAGATACTTGATGAACTCACTCGAAGGGGCCTTAACAACAAACTAGCATACACTTCACGCAAAAACCTGCGTAAGAACCTGCCCGCGAGTGGCGTAAAACGCTATAAACAAAAGCTTATTTCCCCAACAAAGAATGCTAAGTATGTTACTGTCGTTGAAGGCTCGCCAACTAAAAAGAAAAAGGTTCGGCCCTCAACACCGACGAAACCCCCGCCTCAACTCATTCCACTAGAGGTACACTCTCTGATTCTTGATGAGCTTCCCACAACTATCCGTGAGGAAGTTCTTCAAGATATGGAGTTTTTTGCTGAAGCCAATAAACTGCCCACAAAAAAAAACTTTTTCAAAGTCACCGATACTTGGCTCATTGATCGTGATAAGCAGTTTGAATCCCCCAAATTCTACGGAGTCACTGCAGTCACTGAATTACAGCCATTGTTGAAACAATGGGTGGAACTGAGTATGGAGCAACACGGGCCTCACGAGGATGACATCGCCCGTTTCGACGACTATCTTTCGTTGTTAGTCAAGTGTGGCTTCGTGCCCAAGGTGTCATCTATGGTAAGTTGTATTTACAAGTGTCTCATGATGTGGGAGGTTATGGGATCTGGGGAAAGCGTTAGCGATGCTCTCAAGGTATGGAATCATCACTTGGTTAGATGGAAGTCTCGATTGACCACCAACCCATAAATTCCATCAAAAAGTACTGTTCGGATTTGCTATTATTATTATAGTACATAAAGTGAGCAATATATAATCACCCGAAGGTTGTTGTCATACAGGTCATAATTAATATTCGTCGTCGCTATCTTCACTTGGTTCGGCATATGACGGTTCGGAAAGGTCTCGACGACCCTTCTTGTTTGTCTTCTCACGAATGATCAGAGTGCACAGCAGATTAGGGGGCTGGAATCCAAAGTATTTGTCGATTTTCTTGCCGAGCTTTTCGGGGTCTGTCGGTGGATTCTTGAAAGAGTCGTACAACATGCTCAACTCCTCACGCGGAATCTGTTTGATCGGTTCCCCGCTTTTAATTTTAGCTTCATGCTTCTTCTGATGGGGACATTCGGCATCATGCGCCATATGGTTACTCGTCACGAAAACTTGATCCCCAATCTCGCGAACTTCGAATAAAAACGGGCATCCCCGCTTTCCTAGACGACACTTCACCGCGTTGCTCACAATGCCATCCAGAATAACACGACGGTCTTGTACCCGGTGGAGTCCCGCCCAAGTGCAGACGAACATGCAATGTTTGATCCAAATCAGACTCAGACAATCACGACCAGTGGGAGGAAATGGACATTGTTTTTTAGTTTTGATTTCATCAACGTAACGTAGAATATCCCCGAACTTGTACACCAATTCCTGCCCCGCATAACGATCCGCCATGAAAAATTCGTGGTTTAAGCTCTGATCGTACTCATCTTCCTCTGCGAGGGTATCACCAGCACCTGAACTCTGAGTGGGTACGAGCGCCATTGACATCAGCGCCGGCGGGTCAACTTGTGATTGTGGTGCCGCCTGGAGCTGAGCGAGACGTTGTTCACTCGCCTCAACTTTGGCCCGCAACTCAGAGAGCTCTTTTTGAGTACTGTCCACGTATTTGCTCATAGTTTGCATAAGGTCAGCCATTTGCGATTTCTGGTTATCCACATTTTGGGCCAATAAGCCAATCAATAAGTCATCCCTTGCTTGCATACCGGTCACAAGATCCGTGTACTGCGTCAACTGATTGTCAACGCTGCTCTTCGTCGCAGCCGCACCTGCTCCAAATTGCACTGGCACATGAACCACCAGGGGAACTTGGGGAAGCTGAGGGCGAGACGACAACATGGAAGTGTGACCCAACTCGGTAGAACGTAGCGGTTGTTGTTGCGTTTGGGGAGAACCAGGAGGAGCAGGAGGACTAGTGGGAGCATCAGGACTAGAAGGAGCATCAGGACCAGGAGAACCATAAGTGTCAGAAGTACCAGGAGGAGCAGAAGGACTAGTCCGACCGGGGTGACCAGAGGGATCAGAAGGAGTGAATTGAGCAGGCACTGTGGTTTGAGGAGGTTGAGCAATCTGAGGAGGTCGAACAGCCTGAGTACTGGGGACGGGTTGAGTCGAGTGAGCAGAAGGCGCTGAATAAGCGGACGTAATAGAGGGTCTCGCCGAAGTAATGGGATGGTTTGGTTCATTATTGAGGTTTGCAGGAACTCTCGGGAGCACCGGAGACACTGAAGAAGCTTGTTGCGTTATTTCAAGATGCTGCTGCTTGGGTGTATTTGCGGGAGGAGGGAGTTGAGGCGTGGGCGTTGAGCGGTCGTCATCAGAAATGTCGGTTGCAGCCACCAGTGGCGCAGTCACTGATGGAGATCCCCCACTAACACCCAGCTCCGGGAAATTGCGTTCGCGAGCTAAGGGCACGTGTGCTCTTGGTTGAGGCGCCACCGGATTTGCTTGAGGGTAGAAATGATCACTGGTTGGGTTTGCAGATCTTGTTGAAGGAGGGTAACGATGGTTGACAGTCGCCTTAGGTGGAGAATAGTACTGCGAAATGGCTGGGGTTGCACTCGTCTTTGGTGGAGAATAGTACTGCGCACCAGTTGGGTTTGCCCTCGCCCCAGGCGTCAGAACCGCTCCCGGGGTCAGATTAGCACCCGGTGTGACATGAACTCCCGGAGGGGAGTAATGCTGCTCACGGACTTGATCCGACCTTGGGTCACGATACCCATCCGGTCGTTGGTGATGGTAGTAACCATTAATTTTGTTCACAATCAGACTCAAGTCAGAGCTCTTACCCCCAGTGTTGCGATCCACGCTTGTTTGTTGCGGTACAGCAGAATACAACGATTGTTGGACTTGTCCAGGCGGGTGCAGCACATTCAGCTGCGGAAGTGGGGCAAATCTCAGTTGAGAGGGTTGCACAGGAGATGGCATCGCCCTATGTTGAGATGCAGTATTAGGTAGCAGTTGCAGAGAGGAAACAGTATTATGAGTTCCATAAACCCCTGCCGGTCTTTGTTGAAAGCTTTGCTCTGAAACAGGATGATAAGGACTTTGCACAGAAGTTCCGTTGATGGGCACCGGCTGGTAAGACAGCTGTTGATCTGGAACCACCTTACTAGGCTCAGGTCGTGTAGTCACGGTTTGGGAAGGCTGCGGCAATTTGGGTTGAGTCGAGCTTTTCTTGTCCAGTTTGGAGGGTTTCGAGTGACTTGTTTTGGTTGAACTTGTCTTCAGTTGAGACGACTTTTGCCGCGTAGCATTGTCGACACTGGCTTTCAGTTTGGAAGTCCCCGCACGACCACTAGCCCGACCATTAGTCTTCGAGTGATCAGTCGACATGTAGGAGTCGATGGTGCGGTTTTCGGTAGTCGACGGTCGACGACGAGCCTTAGTGGTAGCTGGTTTCTGTGGAGCACGGGAATTGCGCGATTTCGATGAAGATTTCTTTGGGGATGGCGCCGCTTTACGCGGACGTGTCGCACGACGTTTGGAAGCTTTGACGACATCTTCTTCTTCATCTTCTTCATCTTCATCTTCTTCATCTTCTTCATCATCACTATCATCTTCTTCTTCACTGTCTTCCTCTTCTTCACTGTCATCGTCTTCATCAGAGCTGCCCTCGCCGGCCGCGATACGCGCTAACTCTTCCGCCTCCCACATCTCAAGAATAGCCCGGGGGGAGATTTGGGGCTGCGCCTCAAACTTGCCACGACTCCCCCAATCGTTGGGGAGTTCTAATAACGGTTCCAGGTTGTTGTGTCTGCTTCTTCGTTTGGGCGGATCCGCTTGGTTAGCGTCAGATTTCTTGGAATCGGTAGTGGCTTGCGCTGCCGACAGACTTTTGCGGGAAGAAGTGCCCTTAGCCTTGGTCTTCGGGGTAGAAGAAGCATCATCGGCGTCCAGCAACCGCCGCTTTCTCGGATTTGACGTGGTAGTGGCTTTTCGGGGAGATTGTGTTTGCGTAGTGCGTCGCGAGGAGCCTTCGCCATTGGCTGCCGCCGCGCCGCGTCGGTCCGAGCGGGGCGTCAGAGACGTGTTAACCATGTTAGGAGGCAAGGATGACCGTTCACTATCGACCACAGGCACTGGGGTCATCAACGTGAAGATACCAGTGGGGCCAATACCACAGTTAGACAAAATGTGCGAATTGAGATTTTGGCGAGTTTTTGATCTTCACAAACAGAAAAAAAATGAGAAAGGGTGGACGAGGTAAACACGTGACGCCTAAGCCAATTTCCGGGGAAAGAACAATGATCTAGATACCGGCACTGCAGGGCCTATTGCGACGGGAGGACGCGGTGTCTGGTGGCGGGTTCTGGGGTGTTTATTCGACGCATAGCATTAGTTAGCGGAATGATTTGCGTGGTGTATTTTTGCGAGTAAGACGCGTTTGTCGTCATCGTTAACGTCGCCTTCGAGCCACCCTTAGGCGGTCGCGATGGCAACGACAACATCGAGACATAGTGGGACAGCCGTGATCCTGGCGCCTCCCCGAAATATTGTCGTAATCGAGCTGGGCGCCGCCCTCGCCTGATATTATTTTGTCAGCGCTTATGTCAGTAGTACGCTATCACCCGTCATCGCTGGTTTGTAGCTCCGGCATGGCTACCGCAACTAGCAGATATAACGGTTGCCATTTCGCCACCATCAGTAACTTCGACCCATGTTTCTAGGATTCGATCTTTCCACCCAACAACTCAAGGTCATCGCCACCGATGACAAATTGAAGCCGCAGGACACGTTCAACGTCGAGTTTGACGAAGTTTACCGGAAAAAGTACGGCATTAAACATGGCGTCGTCACCAACGACGCCGACGGCACCGTGGTGCTGCCGGTGGCGATGTGGATCGATGCAATTGACTACTTGTTTGACGAAATGAAGCAGAAAGGATTCGACTTTTCCGCGGTCAAAGGTATCTCCGGTAGTGGCCAGCAGCACGGCCTGATCTACTGGTGCGACGAGATCCCCGACGATTTAAACCCTAAAGAAGCCCTCGCGCCCCAGCTTGAGAAATATCTTGCCTACGAGTACTCTCCCAACTGGCAAGACCACTCCACTGGCCAACAGATTGACGACTTTGAGTCTACTTTTGGGGTGGATAAGCTAGCTGATACAACCGGGTCGCGTGGCCACTACCGGTTCACGGGGCTCCAGATCCGCAAGTTGGCGAAGAATAAGCCCGAAGTATATGAAAAAACCAAGCGGATTCTGTTGGTGTCAAGTTTTGTTGCCTCATTGATGATTGGGAAAATCGCTCCGCTTGAGGAGGCGGATGCTTGTGGTATGAACATTTATGATATCCGTAAAGGTGAGTACAATCAGGAACTTCTCGAATTAGCTGCCGGCGTCCACCCTAAACTCGATAAAGTTTCGGACGACGAAGCGAAAAAGGGGGCTAAGGAACTCGCTGAAAAGTTGGGTGAACCCAGTCCCGTGGGCTATAAGCACATTGGCACTGTCGCCTCCTACTGGGTGGACCGGTATGGGTTTTCTCCCGAATGTCGCGTCTACCTGTTCACTGGCGACAATTTGGCGACCATCCTAGCCCTCCCTCTTTCGAAGAATGACTGTCTTGTGCTGTTGGGGACGCTGACGACGGTGCTTGTTATTTCTCCCACCTACCACCCGCTGCCTCAATACCACATGTTCAAGCACCCGACGTTAGACGACCACTACATGGGGATGTTATGCTACTGCAACGGGGCCCTTCCCAGAGATAAGATCCGCGACGATATCAATGGTGATGATCTGGGTCTGTGGGACAAGTTTGATGCTGCTTTGGACGAACTGGGTAAGTGGAACAAGAAGATGGGCGTCTACTTCACCAAGGGCGAGATCATCCCTAACGCCCCTCCTCAAACTAAACGGGCTCAGCTTGAAGGCAAGGAAATCAAGTATGTGGACGAGTGGCCCGCTACCGACGATGCTGTAGCCATCGTTACCTCACAAACTTGTTCCGCGAGACTTCGAGCGGGCCCTATGCTCGATCATGAACAACCCAGCGACGAAGTTCGTAAAGTTTACGATGAAGTGGTCGACACGTTTGGTGAGTTAGAGACTGATGGCCAAAAGCACAACGAAGAGACGGCGACGGCCCGTCCCCATAAGTGCTTCTACGTCGGTGGGGCTCTGAACAACCTGTCTATCATCAAGAAGATGGGGCTGATTTTCTACCCCACTGACGGCAATTACAAGGTAGAAATTGCCAACGCCTGTGCCCTCGGCGGCGCCTACAAAGCAAGCTGGAGTTATCAGTGTGAGGAGGGTAAAAAAGTCGACTATACCAAGTATATCGACCAGTTACTGGGCGAGTACGAAGAGTTTGATGTCGACGACCATTGGCTTGACCATTTACCGGCATTGGGGATGTTGTCGAAAATGGAAGCTGAGTTGGATCATTAGAATTACAGATAAATTATATACAGAATGCATTTGTTAGTTGGCGATCTCGGCCTGGATCGGTTCATGCAACGGCTTCTCTTTATGTCCCCATTGGATAGGATCCCACTTTTTGCCATGGTAGTTGCGAACGAACCGTTTTGCCATGGTGGGGTTGGTGAAGGTGATGAGGTGGACACTGAGGTTTTTGGTAATGTCTGATAGTATAGGTGACATCAGTTCGACGTCGTAATCCCACAAAAGCCGATTAGTGGTCAGAGGCAAGATGCCAAATGGCCAGTTGCGGACGATGACCAGTCGCAGACGGCGATCAGTGTGGGTAAGGGTATTGATGATGTCGAAGTTAGGATGGATTTGGTCGGAGTCAACTTTTTGGGTGGTGGTTTCAAGTTGATTGAGGAGATTGCGATAGTGGTCATCTTTGCGAGTGATGACGCTGATGGGTACTTTAGGGGTGGGCAACTGGAAGATGTCATTTTTGATCTTAAGTGGCAGTGGCAGCTTTTCAAGAAACCAAGGCAGCACCCAATATTTAGCCGCGTGAATCAGGGGTTCAACAAATGATGGTTTTAGCCTGAACCCGTTGAGAGCTTTGTTATGGGTTTCAAGGGCGTACAACAGCGCTTCAATAGCGTTTTTGAAAACGAGATAGTACAGATTCTCAAAATTAAGCGTCAACGGGTGCCTCAGCTTGATCATCTTGACGTCGAGCCCCTTCTTCGTGTTGTGGGGCACACGATACTGCCGCTCGCGGTTAATGGGGAATATGTCAACAAAATCTTCTTCCGTAAGGCAGGAACTGGGACAGGGGATGTGTAGGATGTTGGAGGGTTTATTCTTGCGGACCCACGGGTGCTCCAACGCTTCAAGCGCTGGTTTCTGATTCCACTGGTTCTCCATGAGATCATCAAGAGCCAGCTTAGTTGGTAGCTGAGCCTCATCGTTGGCAAAGAGGTGTGCCTTCACCATAGGTACTTTCGGCGCCACCTCGCGGCTGGTCGCCTGGTATAGAAGATTGAGGAGCTTCTTTGACATCGGCGGTCGCAGACGGTCGCAGCTAGTCGCGCTACACTATATGATGCGTTCGATGCCCAAGGCCTCGATCACAAAAAATCGAATTATCAATTCATTTTAATTTAGTTTAAATGGAAGAATAATATAATTTTCTGTTTTGGATTTTTTTTTTTTTAGATTTTTCAAATTGGTTGTATATCTCGAACTAGTGTGCGTTAATTGTCCGGTGTACTCGCTAACCTACGAGACGATTGACAAATATGTATACGCATTGAAGTATAAACAAGAATAATAGTTTGTGAGTATATATTGTATAACTGAGGGGCGAATTTAGTGAAAAGCAGAGGTGGCACACGTCGTCTTGAGGGGAGGGACGGATTAGGGAAATGCAAATGTGAAATGATGCGAGAATAAACGAGAAACCAGCTCTCTTATGCAGATGGGTTACCAGGTGAGCCGCTTCCAGGCGATACGTTCGACGCTCCAGCGAACGTCGTCGCCGAACCACTGCGAACCCGGCTCTTTCACCATGGCGTACTGCTCCCACACCCGGCGACGCTTCCATATTATCACCACCAGGTCTCCCAGCCAGCCCACAGTGCCTTCGTCGCCGACGGCACCTTCAATGGTGACGCAGCACGCCAGCCACGTCAGATTAAAATAGTTGGGCATGGGAAGCGGCACCAGAACTCGTTTAAGTAAGTGCTGGCGGTTAACCAGCAGTTCAAGGGCAAATATGTGGAGTGTGCCTTTGTTACTAAGCACCGCCAACCGCTTATCGTTGTGGCTAAACTTCATCAGCGTCACTTCGGCCTTATCGAGACCGCGACGGAACTCGTATACTAAAGCGCCCGTTTGCGACAGGTGGACACGGATGAGGGTACCAGTGTAGGAGGCAGTAGCCACTAATGTTCCCAGTCGGTTAAGGGCAAGACAGCGGAGCGGGGCCTTATGAGCCTTAATAATGCGATTACACTGAGACTTCTCTCCCAGCACGTCCACTAGGTGGACTTGGCCTGGTTGGCGGGCAGGGAACGCCACAACTGGTTGCTGAGACGCCACCAGTAAATCGCAGAGACCGTGGCCGTTGTCACTAGTGTCGTAAGCGGCTAATGGCTTTGGTGGTACCAGGAACGCGTATACTTTGACCGATCGAGGGAGGACCACAACAATCCGAACACGGCTGAGGATCACTTGCTTCACGGGTTCGTCAAAGTCGAGGATGAGCAGCGGTTTGCGTTTTAAATCGTCCCATATCGTCACTCGGTGGCTGTGGATCACCAGTTTCGGGATGCCCTGGCCCGTCGCCGGGGGGGGGTCTTGACCCACCACCGCCAAGTAGTTGGTGCGATGGAGCATGGCCACCATCGCCACCGGCTGGTCGAAGTGGCGGTGGACCCGGAGCTCGACCGGGTGGGTGTTGTAGACGACAAACCCCTGGCGGTGGGCGAGGGCAAAGCACCCGTGGTCCTGGTTGAATGACACCGTTGCCACCTGGTCGTCGTCGTCGTCGTCAGCCATGTGTATTGGGGCAGCGGCAGCCACTGTGTTCATGAACCGGGCGAGGGGAAGGGTCATTCGAGGGAGGCCATGCGCGCACCCTCCAGGGGCGGGGAAGCGCTTCGCGATCGCTGCCATAGCCGTGAGCGAGGGGGCGGGGGTGGCGAGTAGAAGGTAGACGCGTGGGCGGACAGAGGCAAGAAATTGAATATTGGGGGGAGCTATGGTTTATATGTATGTCTAGCGTGAAGCATGTTTCATGAGGCTGCTGTATCAACAAGACAAATTGTTGTAACTATAAACGATAACGTCTTTGTTTGAGCCACCACATCACAACCCCAATTTGGGTGGCGCGCGACGCCTGATTACGTCATCAGGTGAATCTGTCCCACACCCATAACACAGCACACTCACGGTAGTCACCGTTACATGCGGATAACACCGACATCGGGATGTAAACACACCCCCTGCAACTACCACCAGCCACGTTTAGACAGGAGGGTTCGATATATGTCACACTCAAAGTGTCACCACCCCCTGGCAGGAACAAACAATGACCTGATTGATCCATTGACGAGGCCCGCTGACTAAGCACACTCATGCTTGTCAGGGGACGATCTGATCTGAAGCAGGACCACGGTCGGCCCACATGCGCGTCCCCCGGCGTCGGGCATCGTACCATCTACTCAAGAAGCTTGTAAATCTCGTTTTCCCAGAGGCGCTGACAGCAGCAGCGCTCGCAATCATTAAATTCTATTCTATATCCATATTTTCGTCGTCCAGGTCGTTACCTGCTTTAAGCTTAGCTGCCACCTCATCGATGTCGTCGTCCACTGCCGGCACGCCCCGGTTGGCTAGACTGGGTAGTGAGAGCTCAAACACCTTGTCGGCATCTTTGAAGAAATCGAATTTTTTGTGACACTCCAATGCCTTTTTGAGAAGGTCTTGGGCAATGGGGTCACCCTGCTGGATGGCGAGGGCGTCATGGAGAATGTCAATCGCTTTAGACCAGTTTTCTAGCTTCATGTAGATGAGCCCCATGGCACTGAGAATATTAGCATCGTTTTTACTCAGCAATTTAAGCACCTGTTGGAAACACTCTAACGCTTTGTACGGTTGTTTGGCCCGTCGATAAACGTGGCCCAAGTTGGTGTGGATCAGTACCCAGGTCTTCAGATCCAGGTTAAGATGCTTAGCCGCTTGAAGTGCTTCCTGGAGGAAAATCTCCGCCTTAATAAAATTATTGCGATGGTAATTAATCACCCCAAGCTCGTTGAGTAAAAGCGGATCCAGATTGCAGATATGGTACAGCGCCATGAGGTACTCTTCGGCAAGATTGAGGGTGTTCATCTGAAGATGTTGCATCCCCAAAAAGAGGTTGGGCAAATGAATACCTGGGAACAATTTGGCAGCGTAGGCATAGGCTGAGATTGCTTGTTCATGTTCCCCTTCAGCAGCAAACGTATGGGCAAAGCCAATCCAGGCATAGCCGTAATTTGAATCAAGCATGGTCGCCTTTGAGAAATACTTTCTCGCTTCCAGTATTTTGGAAATGCTAAGGTAGTAGATGCCAATTGCCAACCACGTAACTGGATTGGTGGGATGGTGCTCTGCAAGCTGATGTGCCACCAAAAAGAGCTTGTTTTTGCCGCCAACCTCGTAGAGACAGTTTAGATAGTATGGCAACACATTGAAGTTAAACTTGTCGTGAGCCAATATCTTATCACACACTGTCAAACACTCATCAAAGTTACACTGGACATAAAGATACTCGGCTCGACTAAGCAAAAGATCGGCGTTGTCGCCCAATTCGTACTCATCACGCAATATCGCCTCGGCTTCCTCGAACTTACCCACGTTAAGGTATTTCGATAATCGCAGAGTGTATAGAAGTCGAATAAGCTCATGGTTATCATCTGCATTGTGCCAATTAAGCTGACTTACAAATTCCCACTCTTCACGAGGTGTCATCAAGTTACCATCTATCAATTCTGTAAATGCTTCGTAGCATTTGACGTCAACAAGTAAAGCTTCTTTATAGCACTCTTTAGCTCTATCGAAATTGTTCTGTTGGGCGTAAATTTGACCTCGCAAGAAACACATCAGTGCTTCTAACTTAATGCCACCGTCAGCGTTCAATACTTGGTAGTTTTCGTCTTTGTGAAAAGGATTTGTTTCACCAATCAAATCAAGAGCCTCTTCCCATTGTTCCACTTTGACAAGGCATTGTGCCGCAAGATAACGACACAGCACCAGTTTTTCATAGTGGGGTTTTGATGCAAGTAGTTCTCGAGCTCGCTGGTAGTTACCGCCGTTGTAGTATACTTGAGCGAGCCAGAACGCGTCGTTGGCGTCATCGGTGAGTGCCAATACCTTATCGCCAATAAATTCTGCCGTCTTCAATTGGTGTTGATTAAGAGCATCATGGCGCCAGAGGCGAAGCTTTTCTGCTTGGGTGAGGGGCTCAGGGTTCGCTGGAGGCGGCGCCTCATTCGGTTGATCCAGAGAGTGGAAAAACAGCAGTTGGTTCAGCCCAGGAGTATCAAACAATCCTTGCGTAGCAGGACCTGGATTAGGGGGAGTAACAAACACATTCAGCGGCTGTTTCTTGATGTGGGGCAGGATAAATAGTGTCAGGTTATGTTGACTGGGAGTCTTGTTGGGAGCCATCGTTCAATGCTGGGTGATGCAAATGGATTAAACCTCACTGGAAATGCTATTAAGGGGTATTAAGGAGTGAACGATGGTATAAAGGATGGGCCCCAGATTAGTCGGTATTGTCGACAAACACTTGATCTGGGTGGTGCGGCTCAGCGATAAACGCGTGAAGCCGTATTGATGTGGCAGCCGAGATAGTATGATTGGGCACGAAGAGATCAGACATAGTTCAGTATAAAGAATACTAGTGACAGTGCTCTTGACGACCGAAAGCATGATCTTAATATATTTGAAATTTTGATGATCACGGCGAATTTAAATTAATTGATGGAACTCAGAGAGGGGGAGTTTAAGCCTAAGTTCTGGTATTAATTCAGCAGTCACCAATTCTATGGTAGTCCAGAGTTGTTAGCATACGTAGCTTTTACATCGCTTGCAACGGTTATTTTATTTCACTCTCATACGCGGTGTCGTATGTATGCGCTTATCTCTTCCCCGCGGCTTCGCACCTCATCTCATCGGCATCGGACGACTATGGCGAAGTCGATTTTGAAGGGAGCGGCCAAGGCCGAGGCCAAAGACGTTGGCAGTGATGATACCGTGTCAACCACCACCACCACCAAAAAGACCCCGAGTTCAAAGATCCAATTTCGCGTGTTTGTGGGTTCTTATGAACACAACCTTCTTTGTCTCTCGGTGCTTTTAGACCCTACTCAGAAACTGGAGGCGATGTTCCAGCCGATTTTCCACTTTGAAGCCCACCTGCTTGCCATCAAGCTGATTGATTTGGCCAAGCGGTACTTGGTGACGGGGCTGAAGGATGAGCACATTCGTATCTACGACTTACAAAAGCGTAAGGAGCTTGGGGACTTGATGGGCCACCAAGGTACCGTTACTGCCCTCAAATTCTCGATGGAAGGTACTGAAGATGACGTGGAAAAGCTGGGTAAGTGGTTACTTTCAGGTTCGGAAGACGGTAAGATCCTTATCTGGAGAACCAAAGACTGGGAGTTATTTGGCACCCTTAAAGGTCATACTGATCGTGTCACCGACGTGGCAATCCACCCTCTGGGACGGGTGGCCATCTCGGTCAGTGCTGACCACACCATCCGGTTGTGGAACTTATTAACTGCGAAGAAGGCGGCGGTGCTTAAAATCAAGGGTAAAGACCACTTGGGTCAATATGGTGATTTCGTGCGGTGGTCGGCTTCCGGGGACAACTTCATCGTTGGTCTCCAGAACCAGTTGCTCATCTACGCTACTACTGAAGCTAAAATCATTCACAAGATGAAGATTCCTCGCACATTGATGTGTGGGCAAGTTTACACCATTGAAGGTACCGAATACTTTGTTGCCGGTCTTGGCAACGGTACCATCCAATTCTATCTTTTGAGCGATTTGATTGAAGGTAAGGAAACGGTGGCATTTGAATTGGTGGGCCACGCCAACCGGATCAAGGACTTGACCCTTTTCTCGGGTCCCGAAGACACTCAGGGTATCCCCTACCTCATCTCGGTGCTGTCAGATGGTCGCTTAGTGGTGTGGGATCTCCGCGAACTGGTGAGAGACCAGGTTGCCGTTTACGACACCGGCGAACGTCTTAATTGCGTAGTTGCTTGTGCCGAGCTGGTGGAGAAGGCGCTGACAATGAAGAAGCGCACTCAGGAGATCGACTACCAGCTGGAGCTGGAGTACGAGAGTGACGGCGAGACCCGTAAATTGATGGTGGGTAAGAAGAAGAAGGGCAAGAAGATGAGAAAGGTCACGGTGACCCGGGAATAAAGTAGCATTAGGTCAAATAATACACACTAACGAACAGGAAGATTGAGTGTCTAAATACATTGGATGGCAATGTAGTCTTTTTTAACCGACGTGCAACTCGTCCAATGGCGAGTCCTCTTGGCCGGCGTTCTTGGGCCACCCGTCTTCTAACAGGTACACGTTGAAGATGAACTCGGGGTGCTTTTCCAAGATCGTCTCCGTTTCGTGCCAAGGGACGTTGAAGATGCCGGCATTGATCTTGGGCATCAGCAACACGACCTTGCCGTCTTCGCTCTCGACATCCTTAATGTCCTTTATCTTGTCCTTCAAGTCAGTGAGGGCGTTGTCGGTGTACCCCTGGATGTTGAACTTGGTGTACTGGTTGCCGAGGTCAGACAGGAACAAACACACCACGACAGCCGGCAAGTCTCTACCCTCATTGCCCGGGTCTTGAGGCTCGGTCTCAATCACTTGGGAAGTGCCAATCAACTTGATCGGGGCAACGTTCTTGCAGTGTTCTTCGTGCTTAAGGAAAGCCAGAGGGAACAACTTTTGAAACTCGGCAGCAACGCCGCCGCCCCAGATGCCCCGGAGATTGGTGGCATGGGCAAACACCGGCTTGCTGGCTTTGGCAGAGTGCTTGAAGAGGTCTCCGCTGACGCGACGAATGAGGGACATATTGGCGATAAACAATTGTGAATGCTTGCTTGCTTATAGGCGTATCTGCATATAGTGAAAGTTAGTGGCCACGGGAGAGGGGCAATGGCACAGAAGGGGTAATTGTGGGGTCGAGACTACTCAATTGATGGCCAGTAATAGAAGGAGCGTTTGCTATTAGAGCTGACATGTCGTAAATCACACACTAAGATGGATCAGCTGAATCCACTAATCCCGAACCTTCCGAGACTTTCACCGCATTGTCACGTGACCCGTTCCCCGGCCTCAAGTACGCTGGCTCTCCCACACGTCTATTGCATAGGCGAACGTCTAAAGGGCTTCTCTGTACATACACATATTATCATTTGAAATCGGGGCTTTTCACAATTACGAGGTATGTCATGTGGATTCTATGATTATTAGTCTAAACAAATGCTTGAGAGGGGAAGAAACCAGGGACGGGTTGCGGAGGGGGTGGCGGTTGTTGGGTAGTATTCTCGGTGGCTCCTCCAGTTCCCCGGTTAATACCAGGAAAATGGATTGAATTAGCCATGGTAATTTGGTAGTTGAGGACATCACGGATCTGTTTAACGGGATCAAGAGTGAGAAGCTCCACTTGACCAGTATAGCCATCGCCGTCTTCTCGAGTAACGTGGCGCGATGATGTCACCTCTGAGTCGTCAACCGTCTGTTCGAGAAGAAAGTAGAGTAACAGACACGCTAGCCAGACCACATCAAACAACAATAGAGTTGTACGTCCCCAAGGACGGCCGTGGTCGCCGATAAATTGAAGCGTGAGCCCACCATGATTTTCTCGACCCTCTCGTGGGCCTCCAAAAATTAAGTGGTTAAACATCGAGTAGCCGGCTGCCATCAATATGAGGATAAGCGTCTTTTTCAGCGTGGCCTGTTTAAACTCCTCGGTGGCGTTAATTTGAACCTCCGGCGGTAGATGAGCCGAGGCGATCCACTGGCTGCCAAGTCGTAGTATAAGCAGAAACAGGTAGCTGTCTCGGAGGTATATGAACACACTTAGGAGGTAGCCAAGCACTAGTGCCTGGCCACGGATCTCGCCGAGGAAGTAGCGCTTCCGCTTCGTGAGCACTTCTGCGTTGTGGAGGTCCGCTTCCGCCACCGTGGGGTATTGCAGACTGAAGTCCATGGGCGCGTTATTTGGGAGGATATGATAAGGCAGATGCGGGGGTATCTGTGATCGACGTCACTGACCAGATATATGCGGTATCGGGCGATGCAAAATGGAGGGGGCAGTAAAGGCCGATGTAATATGTGGAGCTGCTGGAGGTAATGCTTTGGTGCGACTTTTGAGATCGGCGCGGTGGAGCCAGATTGACTGTCAGGGACACAAAACAAAGAAATAAACGGCACTAAAATGTCGTGAAATTGTTTACATTGATACTTCCTATAATGCGTCTATTAAGCTATGATACAATTAGTCATCTAGTTTTTCACGTCGATACGCGACACCAATTCTCCCCCTAACCGCTTCACCTGCGCCATCACGCCGTCACGGTTCAACTCCACTTCGTCGCCCCCAGCGGGCTTAATGTCAAAGCCAAGCGTAGGCTTGAAGCGACGCTTAGCCAAGTAAGCAGGCACAAAGATCCCCGCCACCACGGCAGCGCCACCGGCAACTTGGTACTTGGCAGTGGAGAAAAGCACCACTTGGCCAAAGCGACGCTCCAAGTCGTCGAATAAGAGCCAATGCAAGTTGTGAGGCTGCGAGAAGTCGCCAGGCAAGCTCTGCGGGATGTTCAGCAAGTTCTTGAATGCCAGCGGCGGCATCACCCCTGAAAGCGGGGCCAGCGGCGCCAGCGACTTGTCCAAGTGGAGGACGAAGTCGTAATCGCCAAGCACCGGAGTGAACATAGCTTGTTCCGAAGAGGCCTGGAGCGCTGCCCGGGCAAGCGCCGTCATCCGCAGCGCCATCGGCAACAGCACGTCATGCAGCCACAAGATGCCCAGCGGGTCGTCCTTCAGCCCCACGAAGAGCTGGGTCTTCAATGCCAGTGGGTCCAGGGCGCGGATCTTGGCAAAGTTGTCTTCGATCACCTTATACAGACTCACGGTGAGTCGTTCCAGTAAACCGTCGTCACGCTCGTTGGCGTCACGCACCAAGTCGAGGATGAGCGGGCTCTCCTTCCAGTTCCATGTGGCCAAAAACTGAAGCACTTGGAGCACGGCGCTCGGTGCCAGGTGAGGCGCAGCGAAGGGAGCCGGGTCAGTAAACACTTTGAGCACGAGAAGTTCAATGAGCTCGTCGCCAAAGTGCAGCAAAAGTAAGTGGGCGTCGAACCAGCGCTTGATGATGCGACAGGTCTCGCTGAATGCGGGGAACGCCGTCACTAACCCGCCGACGGTACGGGTGTGTTTGACCTTAGCCACCGCTTGGCGGTAGAATTTGAGGTACACGTCCTGGAGCACGTGTTTGAGCGAGGCCCCACCATGTTGCACGGCTCTCAAGTACATGGTTTCGTCACGTTCTGTGACCACGCGTAAGGCAAACCCGTAGCCGGTTTTAACCAGAGCCATCTGCAAAATCGTCTGGGTGACGAACGGGATCAGCTCGTCGTCTTCAACCATCGCCCCGCGCCAGTTGCCGGTGTCTTCAAGCATCGCCTTCATCTTGAGCAAAAGCGCTGCCTTCGTCTTTTCCAACGCCACGAGCTCGTCGGGCCATCTCGTCAGGTATTCGAACTGGACGACGGCATCGTTCCAGTAGTCCGGCAGCGCCACCGCGAAGGGTACCGGCTCGAGGACCAGAGTTTGTCTAAGTCCAGAACTGGCAGGAAGCACCAGCTTCACACGCAACGGGAGGTCAAGGCCCACCACTGCGCGAGCCAATTCGTCGAACAGCAGTCTAAGCGCCGCCCACCCGGCTCCGGGAGCCAGCGTCAGCTTGGGTAATTGTTTCAAGATATCCCAGCCCTGTAAAGCCACGTGTTCGCCAAGACCGTCGGCGACATGTTGGTTCAAAACGTATTTAGCAATTTGCACAACAACGGGTTCCTTATCGGTGCCGTTCCACACGACACAGTGCTGGATAACACCGTCTTTGAACCGTCTCAACAGCGCCTTTGACCCCCAGAACCCTCTGAATTTAGATTGGTCGTCTTCCAGGTCAGCACTGGTGGGCCCTTTAGTCACTTGCTTGGCGTATTCGTCGGCATTCAACCGTAAACAGATAGAGTAGTGGCCGTTACCGAGCGCCGGTTTGCGCTTCAGTAACAGCCAGGATTGTGGCAGCGTCAGTTCGATGGCCATCAGCGTCACTCGGCTACCCAACGCCGCTCTCAACACGGCGCCGACCCGGTGGCGCAAGTAGTTGTCAAAGGTAATGTAAGAGATCTTCTCCAAGGGGCCAAACGCGATGTCGGCAGCGACGGGTGTGGGGTCCATCGCCAATACCATGTCGAATTGCATAGTGGCCGGCTTCAGCAGGGTACCTTGAAGCATGAGGGCGTCGAAACGGTCGCGCACCACATCGTTCAAGAGCGCCAACAGCTCGCGGGCGTATTCGCGGAGCTCGAGGTAGCTGTCGGGGGTCATCTTCCACAACACGTTGAGTTTGGCGTGTTTGTCAAAGATGGTGGGGGTGCGGAACCCTTCGGCCTTGTATCGCAGCAGCAGCGTCAGCCCCAACTCCAGCGTGAACAGGAGGTAGCCGTCGTTTAAGAGGTCGACTTCCGCGAGGTATTTGATGGTACCTTTGAATAATTGGTACAGCGAGAACCCGTGTAGCAACTGCTTCAGGCCATCGGGACTCCCGCCGGCGAGAAGAGCCGCCATAAGCACCAGCCACTCGAAAGAGCCGAACCCGCCTTTAGTGATGTTACCGCTGAACCCACGCTTAGCCAACCAGGTACGCCCAAGCATGAGGGCATCCTTAAACCCATCACACTGTTTCTTGGTGGTGTAGATCCATCTCAAGTAGTGGGTAGGGGTAGTCAGCGACACCACCAGCGCGTTGTATAGGGGAGTAGGGGGGAGAGACTCGCTCAGCGCTTGGATACGGATACAGTTCTTATCCGGTAAAAGCTTTTTGCCTTCAAACATGTGCATGGGAAGCGCTACCATCACCTGCACCCAAAACTTAGTCTTCGCGAAGTGGAGGTTTTTGGCGTCGTCGGTGGTCACCAGCTCGATTTTGAGACCGGGGTTAAGCACGTCGCCGCCAATCAAGTGGTAGGAAATCTTCACGGGGAGATGGTGCTTGTTGGCGAGCTTGGCCATGTGGTGGGCGAGCCAGGCGACGTAGAAACACCGCTTGTAAAGGGCACGGTAGTTGAGGTAGTCTTTAGCCTGGAACAATTCCGACGGCATCGTCACACACAAGTCGATCAGGCGCAGCATCAGCGTCCCCGCTTTAAGGCCAAACAGCCCCACAAGGTCCACCAGCTCCGGCTTCTTGTATTGGAAAGTGTAGTTGGTCAGCGTCGGCTTCGGCTCGGGCCACGGCACCGACACCTGGTCCAGGAACAGCTCGGCGCTGCTCACCAGCAACGCCTCCAGGTCGGGCACCGCCTGGATCACTTCGTGGAGCCGGTGCAACACCTTCTCGACGAGGGCTACGTGCAGCGGCTTGATGGCAAGCTCCTGCAAGAGCTCATCGGTCTGGAGCTTGAAGATGTTGGACTTGAATACCTCGGCGGTTTCCCGGGCTAACGCGAGGGCCAGCGCCTCGAGCTTGTGGTGAGGACGGCGCTTGGCAGGGGGCGCGGCGACGTCGGCGTCGTCGTCGTCGTCAACTTCGCCGTCGTCGGACGAAGGGACATCGTCGTCGCCATCGGCGGGAGCATCCAGCACGTCTGCTGCTGGCGCTTCGTCACGAGCCGGCTCGGAGTGCTCGGTGACGTCGGTGGCAAACAGCACCCGGCGTTGTCGCTTGCCCATGGTGATCGTGGTGATGGAAGAATTCGCGATGAGAAGAGTGTGTCGACTGTGTGCAGGTCGAGGGCCTAATCAGTGGTACTCAATACTAAGCCAAAATTGAGTAAATCTCGATGAAAAACTCGATGGTTGAATCTAAATCAAGTCCATATCTCGGTAATAAGTTGTAAAATCGTGGTTGGAAGCGGTTTTTGTACTGTATTGAGGGAGGTATCCGTGATACGTGGTGGAGACCGGTCGCACTCGCACGATTGGAAGTCCGCCACCACTCCGGGGAGCCGCCGAATTGGGGGATGGCGGAGAAAGTGCCGGCGATATGGATTAAAATAAGCAGTCTCGATTTACGAGATCGCAAAGCCTCGATTGCCGTTTCAGATTTATGTATGAAACAGAAATTTAAAGATGGGGATTGGGCAGGGGTATAGGTTCCACTATGACGACTATCACAGGCCTCCGCATACACGGAATTGCTGTGGCTACTACACTGCCTAAACGAGGCATCGACCGCCGCCGCGTGCTTTGTGGTTGGTAGGGGCTATTGTTCTCGTGATGGATGCGTGGATGATTATGATTATCGGGATACGGCGGCGGTGACAACACCCACAAACGCGGTCGTCGCCGTCACCGTGTCTGAAGAGCTATAAACAGGGGGAAGAGATGGCGTTAGGGGATCTATGTACACAGAGAGAAGCTCCTTCACTTGGGAGCATCCCACACCGGCTCGTCCTCGGGGCGACGGGACACCCGCACGATCTCGTAGTCATCGTTCGGCTTCACCTCCTTCTCCAAGTGGTCGGTCAACAACCCTTGCAAACGGTAGTAGTCGTCGCGCTTGTCGACGGGACGCTTATTCTCCACCATGTTGAGCATCTCCTCTTCGTTAAGCTGGCGGTGGCGTTCGTCGTAGCGCTCCCACTTCACCGCGGTAAACTTCTGGAGATAGATCAGCCCCGCCACGATCAGGAGCATAAAGGGAAGACCAAAGTAGAGGAAGTGGTTCTTCCTGAGGAGCTTCTGGTAGCGCCCGGCGAACGTCTTGTCGTACGCCTCCTGCTCCCGCTTCCCCCGAAACGGTTTACTGCTGAAGTTCACCATCACCGCAACCGTCACCCGCGCTGCTTTTTCAAACTCCGCACTGCTCACCGCGTCTGTAGACAGGACCGACAAACAAAGCCCCGTAAGCGCGAGAACAATGGGCAGCATGACGACTCGTCGGGGAAGGCGAACAATAAAGTTACGAACAATGCACTTTGTCTAATCACAGGTGCAGCAACTACGGATACGTGTCCGAGCCCCTTCAAGCGTAAAAAACGATGAGTAAAAACTAATTAGAAGTATGGCAACTCAGGTAGATTTGGCCTCCCTTGCCTGTGCTAGTAGTTTGTGGGCGAACGGCTACATTCAAGATCATTTCGCGATCGTTGCCAGAACTGGCTCGATTGTTTATGCGATACAGATCTGCAGACATGGCTAATGCTTGTTTTCGATATTTTTTGATACCCGCCCAACAATCGGTCGACACACCTCAATTCGTAAACTATAAAATCGTGGTTGTTTTCCCGTTTGTCCCCTCCCCAGCGAAGATGAAGGTTTCTCTGGTTATGCTCACTGCGGCCGTGGCTTTGGCCGCCCCTACTGCCACTGACGAAGTCAAAGACGGCGTTATTGGTGGTCTTGACGGCGTGTTGAGTGCTGTCGGTTTGCCCTTGCCCAGTACTGCCCCCTCCAATGGCGCCAACCCCATCGCTGGGTTGCCCGTCGACAACCTTTTCACCGATGACCCTATTCCCAATCTTCTCAATGCCGTTGGCAACTTATTGTCTAAGGTTCTTGGAAAGCTTAGTGGCCAAAAGGCTCAATAAACTTTACATAGCCATTTAGATACCTCAATGAACATGACCACCAAAAACGGAAACCGACAAAAGAACAGCAACATGATAAAATTATGGCCGTGCCTAGTGAAGATGACGGCGAGACAAAAAGATAGTGATATCCGTGGGGTTCGAACCCACGCCCCCGAAGAGACCAGGATTGGTTGGTAAAGTTATTAACCTTACCCTGGCGCCTTAGACCACTCGGCCAGGATACCCCTGATGGCACAAACTTCGACGGCTCTCCCTCTGATGATGTAACATTTAATAGCTGTTTGCGCGTTTAACCCTCGTCAAACTTGTGGATATCACTGGCTTGGCCGTCTGCTGTATTCATAGACCATGATCTTTTGCTATCTGCCACAAATATAATAGCGAATGGTGAATGAGTAGTGATTTTTGGCCGCCAACCTTGAATCCAGTGAAGTTTCATGCATTTTATTGCTTTCGTCTTTGACAACTCGCCCTACATTCTCTTGAGTTATAGCAGATTGTCTATAAGAATTCTAAATACTTAATTTAAAGATACAACCGTTGACATATGCTAACTATAAGAACTTGTATCTTCGTGGAATATGTGACTTTATATATCCTTCCTACGTCGATACCAGCGAATTTGGCATTTATTCCAACTTGTTACCAATGGCCTCGGATAGCTTTTAGACGAAAAGAATCTATTAGAGCAAGTATAAACTCAAAAGCACAATCGCGATCTTCTCGTTTCTCGCTCCATAAAAAGAAAATCAGCAAAGCCAATATCAAGCGTTTGTTTGATTATGGAATTGACAACACTTCACAAAAACAAATATATCTCTTTGGCGGGGAATCGAACCCCGATCTCCCGCGTGACAAGCGGAAATACTAACCGTTATACTACCAAAGACTTGGTTGAATTGTCGTGTAAAATGCTGACCTTGAGTGTCGGACTTGTGAAGAGCTAACTCCGGAAGTTAATGAAACCTGAGAGAAGGTTGACGAGAGACAAGGAGTGTTCGAGATCAAGCATGCAAGGAGTCATGAGCGTGACTGGAGCATGCGTGGAAGGTTCCACAGTGGCGTTATGATTGCAATACTGGCGGTATTGCTAAGGTATAAATAACGCTGAGTTTATAGAGTTTTAGACAAGTGACTTTTAATCAAGACAATTGATATTTGATCTTCACTACTAGTCGTGATCCAGTGACCGTCATAATTTTATACCACATGAATAAAAACATTTTGAGTGTTAGATGTAAGCAAGACACTTTTTGTTACGTAAAATTTCCTAACTGAACATTTTTTGTGTGCTTTTCTTGGTTTGAAACTTTGCATAATCATTTTTTAAAGATTTATTGTCTTTTACACCTGCCGCGTAACTTATATTTGATAATTTTTTATATTTAACCTAAACGAAGGTCAGGAAATCTTTACAAATTCATAGTGCAACACTGAAGGGTATAACCGACTCGACATTTAACTTTAATCCACAAAGTTTAAGCTTATTACCATGAATATTGAACTAACATGGATAATCTCAGATGGTTTTCTTGTTTTAAAATTTTGACCTTGTGGTTACGGGCTACATTACCCCTTTTAGCTTGAACACCCTACTTCAGTTATTACTCCTCTCGGAGGTTTGCAATTAGTTCTTGCTTCCTCAACTCGCAGATATCTTATCTGTTTATTTGTTTTATTTTTTCACGGCGGTAGGCGGCTCTTAGAGTCTTCTACAATCGTTTTTTACAGGTAGATATCAATGCACGCTTATAGATAAAATGGAGAACCGTGCAAGACTCATCTTAGTATAACTACAGCAGACGACGTTCAAATAATCTAAAGCAAAGTAAAACAATTTCGAATTACGCAGTGGATGATAGCACCCAAATCCGATTAGTGTTTATTCTCGCAAGATATATTTCAATAAAAATTTACATGGCCAGCGAAGTTGAGTCGAATCAACACATCTTTTACGAAAGACCATAGTGAACCAAATAGAGTTCGTTTCTTAGATTCGAATGTAATCACTAAAGAAAATCAGGTGAACGTCCCTAATCAAATGTCTTGCTAGGCATCATAGTCAGCACAGCAACTTTAGCTAGAGCTAAAGAAACTTTTGATCCAACCTTAAATCGGAAAGATTTTGACAGGGGGTTAAGTATCTTCCGTCAAATTCTTGTTAGTCGAATGTATCATCATTTATAATTTCTCACATATCGCTTCCGAGTTCTGATACTCAGGAGAAACACAGCTGCTTCAACGCCCTCGGGTATACAATTGTATCAAGTCGTTCCACTACTACTCGAGATGTTAAAAAAGCCTTCAAGCCATTGCGATCAACTTCGCACCGCGCCCTGCTCAGGTCTGTTTAGGAAAGCTCTTACAGTTGTCGACGTAATCTGAGATAGGCATACTATAAAGAGTCTTCAGAATCGAACTTCTGATTTATGCGCTCATGAGCCACTTGTTCACTTCTTGTGATGGTGGCATAGAAATGTTTGTGCGGTGATGACGACACTTGATTCGAGGTACCGCAATTGATCTAAGGGAAATTTGGACACCAACAATTAATTTAGAGCACTCAAGATCCGTTAGCTTTACAAAAACAAAATGATAGTTCTCCCGAGCGTGAGTCGAACACGCGACCTTGAGATGACAATTCCATTACAGTCTCACGCTCTACCAGCTAAGCTATCGAGAGAGCACGAACACAAACCAAGTGAAAAACTTTGATGAATCGATACTCATACATATTACCTGCCTGCCACCACCCTGACATTTGAACAACTCCAGTCCAGTCCACTTCATGACTTTCCACTTCTATGTAGTAAAACCTTGCATTTCGGCGATCTATCATATTGTGCTTTTCACTTTCGATGACGAAGGCCTCTTTTGACGCGAGATTTGTATAGACGAGATAGCAAATACTTGATAACTACGAAGCAGAACTGCGTTGTTCTCTGCACTCAGAATTGTCGAGAAGATGGCCTCTCATCAAAAACACAATACCTTCTGCCACTTCCACAAGATTCTAACACTCAGAAATTCAATCAAAGAACAAACATTGTGAAGCAAATGTCAGTACAAGTACTTTTTCAATCGAGGAAGAACATCTCAAATTGAATTTATCAAAAATGGTCTCAGTACAAAATGTTGTTGATCCGTAAATGCGTTTTTCTTTTGAGTTCCATGATACATGACTCGAGGGTAGTGCATTGTCCAAGGATCCGAAACACACGCTTGGACCACGTCTCTTCGTAGAGAACGAAAAATGCATGTAGTGATATAACCAAAAGATGGTTTAGACGTAACAAATTTGCACTTCGTGGTAGGGGTTATATTCATGGGTATAGCTACTCGAAATATGCTTTGAGGTCGCGACAATAACTAAGAATAATAGATGCGTGAGAAATGACGTTGATATGGATCGTGATCAATGTTTCTTCTGATATGAACATCGCCTTCATTCAACTGAATTGTCTCTCGATTTCGAAACCAACCAGGCATGCCCAATGTGTTAAAGTAAAGATCAGTCTTAGATGAGCTTTGTCGATAAGGTAACGCCAAGTAGAGATATCCTGGAACCAGCGACGTAGACGACAACTCTCTGAGTTCGATCTTCATTTCAGTCAAAACTCGGGGCTCATTATAGTCATTTGGTTGGCCAGGGCTTTCAAAGACTTGGCCCTCATATTGGCACACCTCTCGAGCCCCCTAATTTCAATAAGGCAGGCTGAGAAAAGTCAAAGAGGGTTCCAGCAGGATGTATTGATATTGTTGCCTGACAATGGCAATTGCCCAAAGTCGAGTCAATGTGATGTTTCAAGAGAAAATCCAAAGAGCACTGTATATTTTCCTGGTGGATTTGACTACTATGAAAAGGTCAACCAAGCTAGGTATTTAGTCCAAATCTATATGAAAATTTGGTAAGTTATTTTCAATTCATTAACTTGCACTCCCCCTATTGGTTATTCGTGATAAGGACTTGCACGGTTAGGTTGTCGTTCATCTAAAGAGCTTCCGACAGCTCGACCTCGTGTAGAATGGAACCCTGATACTTCCGGTGAGAGCGTGATACGTATCACACAATAAAAATGAGCAACATAACCACTCAGTTGCTCAACAACTCGAGTGATATACGTTCAGAAGTCACAATAGTTGTATGATCACAATTTTTTTGGATTGTAGGCATTCTTTCTCTGTATTACTGCATTAATATCTTCTGAAGGCAATCTGTATATGCCATACACGATAACAGGAATCAGCACATTAACATGATATTGCCTGAATCCTACACAATCGAAAACTCACTTTCTAAAGCATGATTATACTTGTATATGACATTTGAATACTCGATTAGTTGTCGTATAATCTGGTGACGCAAGTTGGGGTAGTAAGGAAACTGCCTGGTTCGCTTACTAGTCTATGAGTGGATTGTTTCTACACTGAGCCAACCGTCTACATTTATGCCTAGAAACCCGGATCGGGTCTATCCGATCTCCGTCGGGGATTTACCTTAGATCCCACGGAGATAAGACCACCAAGGATGATCCTCCGACCAACGGGGATGATTAGGGGTAACAATAAGGTTAGACCTGTTCACAAAACTAAGGTCACCTGATCATCCACCAGGGTTCCTGGCCTCCACTACTTTGGCTCAGACGTTCATACTTTATACCACATTAGTCATAAATGGTTGTTTGGCCGAGTGGTCTAAGGCGCCAGGGTAAGGTCACCTTACCGGATATCTCCGGATGTCGCATTCCTGGTCTCTTCGGGGGCGTGGGTTCGAACCCCACAGCAATCATCATTTTTAGGAATTCTTTTTGTAATTCACAAACGATGAGGACCTATTTGATCTCTGGAAGGTTTGATGTTAAGGTCGTCTGTTTTGATTTCTCAATGAATTTCCCACAATTCGCAAAGGCTTCCTTCCTGAATTTGAAGCTGCGTATTTGGCTTAAACCTGTGATAAAAACGAGCAACTAACTGTATGAAAATAGCATATACTATCA